ATCAATCTAGTATTCATTGATTCATAAAATATTAATAAATTTAGATTTTTTATTTATATCTATTTACAACTTTACTTTAAATACGCGATAAGTCAAAATGTTGAAATTATTAGTATATTGTGTGAACGTGCACAGAACGTATGTATGTGCATGTATGTAAGGACACACGAAAGGGGGGTAAGGCATGGACAGCTCAGCATTCATTAGTTCACCAACAGTGTGGAGATCATATGGCAACTATCTTTTACCGATATTAGGCAACTAATTCTCGCGTGGTCAATATCGCTTCAGTCTCTGAGGATTGGGTAAAAAAACTAAAAATGAAAAGTTTATAAAGGAATGGGGGTGGCTCAGATAGGATTTTAATTTTACAATTTAATGAATTTTATGGTTAGAGACATAGAAGAAGCCGTAACTATTTATTGTTCGAAGAATTTTAGAATGTAGGCTTTGTAGCCTGTTACGATTATTACTTACAGCGGTTTCTTACAGTTTAAGTCCGTATGTCCATAGTAGGGTTAGCAGGGCAGTGTATAGATTTTGTTTGTTACTGTAATTTCGATCGCTTGTCAAGCAGTCGTTTTAGCATTCTGAATATTGCATTTAAATTTTTACGTTTATCTCGTATGGTGATTCCACGTAAGTCGTTTATCGAGGTGCAAGGTAACGTACCTGGAACGGGAATAGGAAGATTATGGAAATTGGCAAAGTTAAAAATGAAAGTGTTAAGGTGAGTGGGTAAATCAGCCGTGTTAATTGTGTAGAGGAGAGAAGCGAGTACACTACCCTGTGGATTTTTATTTAAAAAATAAAAACGTGATTTATCGGCAGCCGGTAGAGTAGAATCGGTAGCGTCTTTTTTCTGTATAAAGACCCATAGGGAAAGTCGCAAGTATAAAAGTTTTAACAAGGTTAAGTCCTGCCATACTACATAAAATCTTTTCCTACACCGATTTTCAAAACATTTTCCTCGACCTCGCTCTATTATTTATCGACTAAGTCTGAAGCATCGAGATAATTTAGAAGTAAATTCAAGGCGTAGTTAATACCACTGTTCCGGCCATTTGGAATATAGGATCCCTGAATTCTAGACGAATCGTGATGGGAATTAATTAATTACGTTTTCATCCTAGGCCATCGCGCTAACATTCATAAACTTAATTAACAGATATTTTTCAAACTTCCGAGTTCGATTGTAGATAATATAATGATCACTGCGATGATCTAGTGTGTAATTGTTATTTATAATGCAATGCAAACAAAGATAATAATAAATAGTTTGAATTAGTACTTGTGATTACCTTTTAACACATACTGATTAATTACATAAATCAACATAATAATTTAACGCAATTTTAAATAAACGTTAAAAATGAGTAAAACATCTAGGTCCAGGTTATTTTTAGCAAAAGGCGACTGAAGGGAAAAAATGGGAGAGAAATTATTAGCATTTTCATGCTGGAACTAACCATTTCTACCCTTTTTTCTGCCCAGACGTTATTTCACTTCGGAGAAAAGGGGGCTGGGAACTACACCACCCGCTTGGCGCAATTACTAAAGGAGCTGGTCGTTTTCTTTCCATGGGAAGTAAATTAAACAGACCTTGAAATTGTTACCCCTTGAACGAGTTTTCACGAGATCCGGCCTGTTTCCAGCCCTGGGCCGTTTTCATTCCTGTTATGGACATTAAAAACCCTTCCTACGCCAATCTGGAGGTAGGAATTTTGTAATATTATGCAAATGGAAATTGTTCAATTGGCGCTGTCTTTCCAACTCGCCTGGTACAAGGTTTATAGACCATTTCAATTTTACTGAAGGTAATAAAGTAAAATCTAGTTAAATATTTTGACAGACTAACTATCATTCGTAATAGTATGGAAATAAGAGCTGTAGAGTTATTTAAAGAATGTGAACGTCAGTATTTTGACAAAATTTCAAGGTGCAGATGGTTTTAACAATATATAGATATAGTTAATTTTTATTCAATGGACTCTACAATAATAATCAATAATAATCGCATTTTCCATTTTATTTATTACTGTTTTATAAATATCGTGAGATGGTCCCCTAAAATGATTTGTAACGCCAAATTTATATACACACTGGGTGACTGGCGATGTGTCGAAAATTTCAGGTGTTTCTACTCACTGTATGCAACAAAAAAACTTCCTTTAAAATCCTGTCTAAATATCAACGGTAAAGAAGTAATTTCAGGTTTTTTCTAATTTTTCGACTAAATTGCGTATAAATTTCAGAATTACTGACCACCTGAAAAACGTTAAATTTGATATAAGAAAACTTATTTACATTGCAGGATTGATTAAAAAATTCTGAACGAAAAATTTAAAAAAAATGTTGAAATTTGGAATTTTTTTAAATGTTGGATTGGTAACTGTTAATAACTACAAACTCCTGGAGCTTTGAAAATTCCCTCAAAAGTTCTCGATTCAATTAACTTCCAGCGGTATACCCACCTTTTTGGATTGCACTTCTGGAAGGACCTAAAATTTTGCATTTTACAGTTGAATAAGGTTTTTAGTTGAGATAAAAAAGTCTGTGGCACGAGCGGGATTCGAACCCACGATCTTCGGTTAGATACGCCGCTGCTCTTCCACTTGAGCTATCGTGACTTCGATCCACTCGGACAATTTTTATCTCAACTAAAAACCTTAATTAATTGAAAGATATTAATTGGTCAAGCAGACCACAAAAACTGGTGAATTTAATAAGTAAAAATGAAGTATACCTTCACTAAAGCTCTCCGTGGCCATTTCATTTGTTGCCGAAAATCAAATAGATTACACGACATTTGAAAAATGGCAAAAAAGAGGGAAAATTCAAAAGGTGGGGTTGAGATGGGAAGTTAGAGTCCGAGTGGATCGAGGTATATATATATATATATATATATATATATATGTATGTATATAATTTGCTTACATGACAAACTATTTAGTATTTCAGGTTGAGTGTTGAGAGTTTTTTGAAAGAATAGTTGCTGATGATTTTACATTGACGGAAAAAGACTGTATTCTGTTTATGAGACAAATATGTGAAGGTTTTCAATATATGTACCTCAATCGACTGTTCAACTAGACCAAGTTTTTTAATTAATTATTCTAATTAATTATTGTTTTTATCTAAGGTTTTTGGTTGAAATGAAAAATTAGTGTAATTAGTGTCACGAACGGGATTCGAACCTAAGACCTTCGGCTCAATACACCCTTGCTCTAACCACTTGAGCTACCGTGACTTCTACTAATTTTTCATCTCAACTAAAAACTCCCTTAGATAAAAAGAATAATTAATTGGAATAAGGAATAAGGTCAATTATGGCCACTAAGCAAATATGGATTATTTTGTAATTAATTATTGTTAACTGTTTTATTTCATTGTTAATTATTTTAAGTTATTGTTAATTATTTATTGATTATTGTAATAAGTTAAAATAGAGTGCATATTGCCCTATTCTTGACAAAAGAGCGATTTCAAGAACTTTTCCATGATTTGCCTATTCGGGCTTAAACAGAGATAAGAGACGTTATGCTAAACTTACTCATTATGGCTAAAGTCTCGGCTGAGATAGGACTTGCACCGATTCGGTCAAGTCTTATCTCACGGAAGACCTGCGAGAGGTCAGGAAAGACAAATTCACTTTATCTTCTTGCACTACCCTAGGTCGTTGTTTTTTCCAGGCCAAAAGATCTGATAATCCAATTGAAAAACATGTTAAATATGTTAATTTAAAACGAAACATTAATAACAACGAAATATAAAAGACAAAATTATAAAGTTAATTGATTAAATTGTAGGACATGTATGTAACAACTTGGTCTATTTTTAATTTAAAAATTGTTTAATCTATATACGAAGATAAATAAAGATGATTAAAAAAAAACAAGCTTTTTCAAATTAAAAGGGTCGATAGTGATAAAAAAGGTTACATGCGAAGCCTCAATATTATAAATAACCGAAGGTACTTGAAAAGTCAGAAATAATTTTACAACAAAAAATGAGTTACCTAAATTCAGTCGTGCAAATTAAGTCGAAGAAAGCAAGATTAAAAGTACTTTATTTTGCTATTGTTAAGTTTCGGCGAAAAAAGGTATCATTGGCAGTTTTAAAACTTTTCCCCTGGCATGGGTTTTGTTTATCAGGATAAATAAATATTTAAACGGAAGTGTCCCCTGTTGTTGGGGTTTGTCGCATATTCAATCGGTCAAATTTAAGACCCTCTTCTTTTCACTGGAACTGCCACTATTCCGAAATCCCAGCGGTCGTAGGTAAACTAATTCCCGGAGGTGTCGGAATTTTCCCCCTTCTCGCGACTTTATTCACGGAATTGTCCTTTGATGACGGTAAAAGGACGAACGGTTTTTTTTTTTTTTTTTTGAAAGGGTTAAATCTCCAACGGAGATTGATTTCCCACTGGGCGATAATCCAACCCGGTAATGAATAAAACATGTCATTTTAAATTTATAATAAAGTTTTTTACAGCTTTTTTCAAAACTTATGTCGATCTGAAAACAAAATTTAATATTAATTTCTTTAACATCATTCAATTAAAATTTACACTTATTTTAAAGTAAAATTTGGCAAATAATACTGCAAACTACAACTTTATTTAACATGTTAAATAATTTTATTCCTTTATACAAGATCAAATTTTAAAAACGCTGGACATTAGAATAAATTTATTTTTCTTTTCTTCTTGGAGAAAAGGAATGACTTTGCAGAAAATCAAATATTGGCAGGATCATCTTAAAATAAAAAAAGATTTATCCTTTGTCCTCGATTCGAAGGAAACAGCTGCTTCCTTGCTCTTTCCTTTTTTATACGTTTTATTTGCGTATGTGTCATTTTGACCCGATGGTCGAATTTATTTGACCCATCGAATGAATTTGGTTAGGAATTGGTTTATATATGATTATTTATCATTCATTTCCTAATCAATTTTATAAACTAATATAGCAAGTTACGACAATAATTAATCAATTTTTCAGATCCTGAGCAACAGGCCGGGAATCGTTGCCGAAGAAGAAGAAAAGAATACAGACTGGCTCGACTCGGATTTCATAGCGGAGTGCCTTTGCTGGCATAACGTCTACAGGCAGAGGCACGGCGTACCGGTACTTTCTCTTTGCCCGCAGGTAACGGATTTTTTTTATTTTTTTATTTTTTTTTACAAATATGGAATTTCATACCTTCGGGACGTTTCAGATGTGCGAAAAGGCGCAGTCCTGGGCCAACCACCTGGCCCATACGAATTCCTTTTTCTACAGAAACGACAAGGACGTTGGGCAGAACCTGTTCTGCAGGTTGACCAACTCCCTACAGACCGACGTTACCGGTAACCGCATTTTTATTTATCACCTTATTTTTTGTATTAATACAATTGCATTAAATTTTTACGGATGGATCACTCTTGGATGGCAGGTTGCACTATTTTCGATTACAAAAGCAAACACAAAGAACAGTACGCTCGTCCAAACTCAATCACTGTCTACACAGTGGAATTAACAGCCATAGCTAAAGCGCTTGAACACATTAAAAAAAGGAAGGAAACAAAATTCTGCATATTAACGGACTGTCGAAGCGCTGTAGATAGTATAAGTAAGGTAACTCCAAACTGCAAAGTTAATAATTATATCATCGCGGAAGTTTACCGAAAGATCTTTGAGCTTTAAAAAAATCTGATAATACGCTGGGTTAAAGGTCATGCAGGTATTCATCATAACGAAACAGTGGATGCATTGGTGGAAGTGGCCACTGAATCTTGTGTATTCCATCAGTTGAAAATTTCTAAAACAGACGGTAATTTTTTTTTTCAACGAATCTATGGGATAAAGAATACAGCTCAGCAACAGCTATCGAGCTTTATGCCCAAAGTTTAAAAAAAATCGTGGTTTTCGGAAGGAGGCAAGCAAAAGGCATTCTATTCTATTATTTTCTTAATAAAAACTAACCATCAGTGTTGTGTTGATCTTCGTAAGAGGCGAACGTGTGTGTCTCAATCGAGAGGATTTAACAAGCAATAACAATTGGAGAAAACTGAAATTTTGAATTATTTTATACATTCCTTATTTTTTTATTTTAGCGATTTTCGAAGAAGGAAATAGGAAAAGATGGATCAAAAATAAATAGAGAAGTCGGATGCGCTTGGTACGATGCCCAGACTAAGCCAATTGCCTAAACTTGCAACAGTGTTTACAAGCGAACTAACAGCAATTGAAGAAGCTCTGAAATATGCTTTAACAATTGGAGATATAACTAATATTGTAATTATAACTGACAGCCAAAGTGCTACAGCGGCGATAAGCTCAAATCAGAGCAAAACGTTAAATAATCATATAATATTACGTATTTTAAAACAGGTAAAGGAAAGTAAGAAGCGAAACATTAATATCGAATTTTTACGGACGCCGGCTCACTGTGGTATAATAGAGAATGAAAAAGTTGACAAATTAGCAAAGGAAGCAACTTTAAACGGTGAAAATATAAACTTGAGAATTCCATATACAGACTTAAACGAAGTCATCAAAAAACGCATCATAACATTGTGGCAAGAAGATTATGACAAAGTGGAAAAAGGCCTTTTATATACAAATTTAAATCCAAACGTATCTACCGATTCATGCTGTGACAAATGAATGTTTGATAAAAGATTATGCAGAATAATGTGTAGATTAAAATCCAAAAATGGCTTATGCAAGGCATATTTGAAGAAAATAAATCTAAGTGACAACAACAAATGTAGGTGTCATGAAATTGAAACGATGGAACACATTATGAATTGCCGTTCATTGCAGTCAGAGGGTCAGACTATGTTTAATAGGTTACAACCGATACTGGGATCATCCATAGAGTATAGAACGATATTGGAATCCAAAGATGCAAACGTCTTTAAAACCATTGGTAAATTTCTGAACGAGTCGCAAAAAAAATCTAGATTAAAAAAAATAAATAAATAAAAATAAAACTAATCATGGCTTGTGGGGGAGTTATATGCAAAGAATTGGAATAAGCATTTCCCCAAACTGCCCAGCATGCGACAGTCCATCGAATCCCAGTCATTTAATACTAGAATGCCCAGAGTATGATAACGAGAGGAAAAAATTATTGGATGATTTGTATAGTGACCCCAGTGTATTTGGGCCAATAAATCTTGAAACGCTGTTGGCAAGTAACAGCATGACGGTTTTGGATTTAATATACAAATTTCTTAAATCAATTAACATGTCTTTTTAAGATCCGGGGGAAGAAAAAAAAACTACTAAAATTATGAAGATAATGCTTAAAAAAATCATATGGCAATATTTCCAAAGGAAAAAAGCCAAGAAGAAAAAAATACAATTGCATTATTATTTTAATTAATTACATTTAATTATAACTCTCGTGGCGTGTGTACCATTCGTATAGCAGAGCTATATCATGTTATATAAATTAACTTTTCATTTTTCCGTATGTCTCTTTATTAAATCTGCTGACATCGATTTGAAAGAAAAATTAATGCCTGCAAAAAGAATAAAATATTTACTAAATTTAAAAAAAAATCAGCATAGCTTTATTTTCTAACGCTTTTTTATTTATTTACTATTATTTTTGTAATGAGATAAAATTACAAAAAAATAAACAGAATAGGTAAAACAGTTAAATATGACAACACATAATGTCAACTAGAACTTTCAATTATAAATTTTGGTTCAAATATAGGCTAATTAGTTTCAAAATCCAATAAATATTGAAACAAGTATTTATAAATTTAAACACATGGTGTCCTATGAACAGACGTCAATACTTTATCCTACATGCTAAATTAAACTAAAAGTTCTTCATTGCCCAAAATCTGATTCTCAATTGTATTCGATATATTTCACTTTTCAGATTGCTTCAATAATTCTCGATTTGAATTTTTGTAACTCATAAAATGTTAGACCTAGTGTAAATTCGATTACAACAATCAAACGCACATTAAAAAGACCATGAGTTCCTTTTTTTATTGTAAACTAAACTAAAAAAACTAAGCAAAATACTGCAATAAAATATGTCAGAAACGAATATCAGACTTGCATTCTGCATTTACATTGAAAATTTTGAGCATTTTATTTTAACAGTTTTAACAATTTAGAAGCTTTTTTGTTTTTTCTTATGTTTAATTTTATAGAATAAAGTATATTTTTGTTGTGTATTACTTCCTATGTACACTTGTATTACTTATTTTTGAATGGAAGTTTCAAAATCCTAACGACTAATTTTTTTGAACAGTTTGCAGCCAAAATATCAAATTTTTAACTATAAAACGTTATTTTTACAATGGTGATAATGTACTGGTATAAGTGCCAAATCTTTAAGTATTTGCGGACAAAGAAAATCTCACTTCTTCTTCTTAAAAACTCGTAAACATTTACTTTCTTATTGATATGTTATTTTGTTTTCCTCCAAGTTAGAAATTGAAAAAAAAATTCTCATTAGAGTTTTTGGTGCACTTTTTATCGATGTAATCAAATTTACAGTACGTTTAACATTTCATGAGACACAGGAAACTTTATTGAATAAAATTGTAAAACGTTGAAGCTCTGATAAGCGAATCAGACTTTAGACAATAGAAAGATTTTAGTCTAACTTGACGAACAGAATAACCCCGATAAGTGTTGATGTATATTCACAGGAAATCTTGTATATTTATTATTGGCTATTTTTTTTTTTTTTTGAAACATAAATTCAAGAATTCCAGACGACATTAGCTTCCAAAAATCTTCTATCCAGGTTGTGCAAATTTTTTATTTAGAATGGATGTTGCATCATGGTTGCACCAAATTGCCAAGATTTCTGCCTATAGTTTGCCTTCTTCAGGGCTAAGATATAATGTTGATATATATATATCCAACAGAGACGGTTATTAGTCAATAAGTCAATGGATAGTGTATGTGTTTAATTCTATTGTCAATGTCAATACATTTACATTTTATTTATTTTATCTTTTTAACTTGGAACAATCCCTAAAATATTATATTTTAAAGCAATATGCAGTTGTAAAAGTACTTGCAAATTAAAAATAAAAAATAAAAGTAATAGAAGAATAACATTCTGTTCAACTACTTTTCCAAACAAAAGGTTAAAAATTTTGTTTCGTAAAAATTACGAAAAGAAAATGATTACTAATTATTCAGAAATCGTGAGATGCGGTCTGGTGTGACCTAGGTTTCAGAAAAACATTTTTTTTATCGTGCCAACGTTTCGATCTTTATTGAGATCATCTTCAGGGCTCAAAGTGTTTGTCTTCTGTTTAATTGTGTCATTCTTGCGTGTCGTGAGAGTGCCTTTTCTGAAACCTACATCACACCAGACCGCATCTCACGATTTCTGAATAATTATCGATTAACGGTCACTAATCACAACACGCAGAAAATGATTACGTTATACTTAAACAGAAGTATTAAAATATGAATAATAGTACAAATTTAAACAAACCACAGCATATCGTTTCTCGCCTTTATTTTTTAAATTATATTTTCCGGTATCTTTTTAAGTTATTTCGCCTAATATATCAGATAGTTTAATTAATATCATTCAGATAGATAAACAAACATGTATTGGTTTGTTAATATTTATTTATTTTTTTTATTTTTTTTTTTCTTATTGGCCTTATGATCTTTGCATATTAGGCCATGACGAATTCTTATATACGTTGTTCATAATTGGGGGTTATCGGGAAAAAAGGGCCAGAGGCGACGGTGGGAATCGAACCCACGACCGCAGCGTGAGAGTCTCTCATGCTAACCACTCGGCTACCGCGGTCCCCAATATTTATTTATAAATAGATAATTTATAAATGAAATATTAAAAAAACTTTTGCTAGATTTCCTCAATTAGTACATTTTTGGATATTTATTGTTTTCTAGTTCTTAAGCTGTTTTAATTGTGATTTAGTAGTAAAAAATATTTATTGAATTAAATTCGGTGAGAGTGTATGTATATTTGTGTCTTGATTTATGGAAATTGATAAGTTCTCATTTTCATGTATGATTTTTTTTTCAAAACTGTCCACTTTAGAATATTTTGTCAATGAATTTTAACATACCTGACAGTAAAAATGTTATCTACTAAGTTAAAACGATATTTAATATATGCTAATTGATTTTAATTTTTCCATTTTTTTCAGGCCAGGAGGTCGCATCCTACTGGTACAGTGCGGTAAGGCAGTACAACTATTTCAAGGAACCCGACATCCTCCATGCGAACGTCAATGCAGGTAAATAATTTCGATTAGTACTTTTCTTCAAATTTTAAATAAATCAAATTTCACAGGTCATTTCACACAAATGGTCTGGGCGTCGACGCGAAAGTTCGGAGTCGGAAAAGCTGCCTCCAGGGCGGGTAAAATCCTCGTCGTCGCACATTACTGGCCCCCTGGAAACATTTCCGGCCAATTTCAGGAAAACGTTCTTCCTCCTCTACCAGAGACGGAAACCGACTCCGTATCGGGGAGCGACTCTTCGGCATCAAGGTCTACCGGGGAATACCCCACATAGTGCTGTATCACACATTTTTATATGTAAAGAAACGTCAAACAATCAGTACAAGACTTAACTTGCTGCTTTTGGCGCTTCGACTCAAAAGAAACAATTCCAAATATTCATAAGATTTAAGAAATATGACAGTTATTACAGTTTGTTTTTAAATTTAATAAGTGCTCGCGTCAATTGTTCTACCAAGAACAATCCAAAATGATACGAAAGGTTGCCAATTAGGTTTTAAACTTATAAAAGAAAACTGTATAAAAAAAGACAGTGATACGTATAAAGTGCTTTTTATACCACACTCATATAAAAAAGTTTTTACTTTTTTAACAAGTGGTGAATTATATTCTCTGAAAAATCGGCTTATTTAGTAAACAAAAGTGCTCACGCTTGGCAATCACACTAAAGGCAAAACGCCTTTTTCATGTCCATATTTCTTTTTTGGAAGTATGCAAAAGAAATTGATAAATATTAGTAAAAAAAATTGTTTGACTGGAAGAATGAATTTTCTTTAGACTAGGCTAAAAGCTTTTATCAATGACAAATTTTGAAAAGTTATTAGATAGATTAAAAAAATACCTCTTCATCATATTATGTTATAAAAATAAATTTAATAAATTGGAGAGAATTTTTTAAAAATAGATTTCCGACCATTACAAATAATTAAAAAATAATAATTTTAAATTACAAAATTTCAGTCTATTTGAAAATACACCAAGCATAAAATGATAAATAACTCAATAAAAATGATATATTTTATACCAATTACACTCATTATAATTCAAACATATTACATTAACATTGATCAATTTACGGACGGGAAAGATAGAAAAAATCCATTGTTCAGTAAAATCTTAAAACTATTGTGTCTCAACGTTATTTTTAAGGTAAGAAAATTTTTTTAAAATTGATATTCATTGCTAAACTGTTAATTTACAGTATGACAAAATAATCCGACAGATTTTCTAATGATTTCAATGGATTTGAATAAATTTGGGCTTCTATAAAAATTAAAAAGATTTATAAAAATTCGGAAGATTTCCTGTAAAGTATTTCAAGAAAGATTTTATTAAAAATATATTTGTAGCAGTTGGATAAAAATGGCCAGTTTTTTATTGAAAAATGTTATCAATAATTAATTATTTCAAGCTAAAATCAATTTAATGATATTTTTTAAGAATTACAAGTAATCTGGAGTTACTCAATGATCAAATCAATTTTAAGAGTAACTATCAACTAATATAACGAAAACAACACTCTTTAATAATTTTGTGTATTTTTCTTTTCATAAAAAAATAATAAAAATATAAGCAAACGTTATTTTGGAAGACAGTTTTTTGCAGAAAAGGCAAAACCGTTTGGAGTCTAAAAATACAATTTTTTCGTTATCAGCTTTGTTGTACAATTAATGCCGAAACACAACGTGGCAATTAGAATCACACGTCTTCCAAATTTAAGCATGTACGTGCACAATTAAAGTAATAGATCATACAGTTTTTAAAACTGTTTGAAAATAAAGAACCGTATTTTTTTTATTATTGGCCTGTTTGCAAATACACAGACGAGTACAAATTTTAAAAAATAAATCATTTCTGTTTTAGTTATTAATAGTGTTTTTTATTGTAGCTTGAGGTTTTATTTTGCTTGTTTTCTTTTTATGTACAAAACATAATAGAAATAAAAATTTTACAAAACTTTCTTTACTCCTAAGAAACATAGTCTTGTAAAAAAGAAAATTTTTACAATATTGGTTTCAATAGAAAATTTTATAATAAATTATTTTTAATAAGAATGCCATAATTACTTATAAGCAAGGGTTTGATTATACGATACAATTAAATTAAGAGTGACAATCACTTGATCTGACGCTCATAAACACTCATAAAAAATATATGCTCATTATGAAATGATGAAAAGGTATTTAATTATTGTTCTATATTATTATATATGTGAAATACTTTAATATATTTGAAAGAGCGGTTGCCCCAGGGTAAGAAAATAGAAAATACGGTTTATAGGAAAGAGTTGACGTTTAATTATATACGAGAATTAGTTTTTAAGGAACTAGATTTATACTAAAACAGCCTTATCGTTTAGAATATAGGGGATGATCATAATGATAAGACTAACGCCCGATGTCGGCCGAAAAAAAATCATGGTGATAGTTAATTCCAGAAAAAAAACATTCATGGAGGTTTTATTGGAGTCGAATAAAAAGTTTTCCTTGTTGGAAAATTTTGAAAATTGGTAATTTAAAAGTAAAAAAACTCTTTCATGATTGGTTTATTAGCAACTAAATTTTACGATAGCTCAATAAGAATTAAATTTAATATAATTTTGTTTTTTGAACATATTAAAGGTTAATCTTAATTATTAACGCAAAAACTTAGCATGTGATAATTAGTTCCTTAAGAACAATGCTAAATTAACGCTCATACGTAAATTTTCATTAAAAATTTTGTTTGAACGAGCAATTACATTAAAACACGAGGCTAATCAATGAGGCGTAATAATAACAGTAATGATTTTTTATTTAATTTTTAAACTAATTTTTTATATAGGGTGACCCTGATTTAAATAGTCGCAATCGTTCAATTTTATTTAGAGCATTATTTGAAATTAAAATCAGCATGGTTTATGTTTTGCTGCTCATAATGGATTTTTTTTTAAATTGCAAAACGATATACCCTGCATAAAAAAACAGTCCAATAGAGAAAACATCGCCTGCCTCTGCAGAAAACATGCTAAGCACAATTCTAATTGCTGCAGTATGCCAGAAAGGCTTGCCTTATATTAAATGCATATCACAAAAGCTTGTTAACGATTACTCTATTAATAAAGGTTATTTAGTAATATAGATGTATGATAATTGGAATTTGAAAAGAAAAAAAAACTAAAAAGAAAGAAAAATTCCAATTTTTTTAATAACATTAACCCGAACGTTTAGCAATTAAGAATATTTAGTCGAGTATGAAATAATATTTTTTGTAATTTTAATAACATTAATTGACAAAAAAAATATATAGAAATTGTAGAGCCTGCCAAAATGAAAACACCATTTTTACAACAAAAATAGAAAGACTTTCTGTATTTTAGAAATTTTAGCGTTAGAATTTTAAACAATTACCAATGAGCAAATGAACCAGAAGGTTCGTGTTTTCTAAACAAATGTTTACATTTAATATAAAGAGATTTTAAATTATTCCATTATTTAAATGTATTGAGGAAAAAATTGAATTGTTAAAACACATAAAGTTCGTATATTATATATGGAAAAAATTTGTAGTTTTTAATTGCTTGTGAATGTACATTCTAATCATTCAAACGATTGCTCATTCTAGTTGGTAACAAAAAAGAAAGAAAGTTTGTATTTTGTGTTTTTTATTTTTTATTTTTCCAGTTGCATTTTCTTTCCTAATAATTTGCTCGTATTGTTGTATAGGTAATGTATTTTAAGCCTAATTAAAAATATGTGATAGCCATAATTGGCCCTAACATGGTTTATAAGACGAATATTGTCGCCAAGTTAAGTTTGTCAAATGTTTTAATAGTTTATCGATGGTAAGTCTTTGAAAATGATATATTGTGTATTTAAATATTTTTTGACTGGAGAAATGTATAAGAAATGATAAATATATGAAGGTGTAGAAAATAATTTCTGTATTTTTTTTTAACTTTTCTTCTCCCCCTCCTCTCTCGCTCTCTCTCTCTCTCTCTCTCTCTCTCTCTCTCTTTCTCTCTCTCTCTCTCTCTCTCTCTTAGCTCTCTCTACTTCTCTCTCTCTCTCTCTCTCTCTCTCTCTCGCCTCCATTAATTCTCCTTTTCTGTAGATATTCTTTTTCTCATAAAGCTACTTTTGTCTTCTTTCTCTCCCCTTTACTTTCTTTCTTTTTCTTACTTTCATCACTTACTGTCTTCTCTCTTTTCCCCCTCTATTCCTCTTTCTTCGTTTTTGTCTTTCTTCCTTCATCATTCTCTCTTTGTTTTCTATCAATCTCTTTCTCTTTTTCTTTTTTGCTTTCTCTCTCTCCCTCTCTCTCTCTCTCTCTCTCTCTCTCTCTCTCTCTCTCTCTCTCTCTCTCCGTGTGTGTGTTTGTGTGTGTGTTTTTGGAGAGAAGACTGGAAGAAAATGATTCTAGTTAATACTGATTATATCTGGCATAAAAATGGCTCCAAACCGATATAGTTCAGGAGCTAGAATCTATTGAAATAAATCAAGGACTAAAATACATATAAGGCTATTGAACACTGTGTCAAGGATATTAAAAAGCTAGGTAGTTTGATTGCATCAATAAAAAGAGCATTTAAAACGTGTGGTGTGACCGTTAGTTGATGATTATTTGGAGATCGTGATATGCGCTCTGCTGTGATGTAGGTTTAGAAAAATTATTCAGAAATCGTGAGATGCGGTCTGGTGTGATGCAGGTTTCAGAAAAACATTTTCTTTATCGTGCCAACGTTTCGATCTTTACTGAGATCATCTTCATGGCCTGGGATTTATAAACATTTTAAATTTTACAAATACATGTAGGATGTAAAAAAAGTGAAGTTTTAGACTCAATCAAAGTATTTGTACTCACTCAAAGTGTTTGTTTTCTGTGTAGATGTGTCATTATAGTCTGTCGTATTGAGAGTGCCAGTGAGATATTGCTGTTTTATGTTTATATACTTTGGATTTTGAGGAGGTAGGGAAGAAAATTGAGATAGAAACACATTCTTATATGACAAGTCGGCTTCTTTTAGATGAAAGGAGCCGACAATGGGAAAAAATGGGTAATGATTCGGCCTGTTTATCCTTTCAGGATTATATAGACGGGATAATTACTTAGATTTTAAGTTCTTTTGATTTTACATACTGCTGTTTGTTTTGTTTGTTTTTTTTTTGTTTTTTTTTTACATACTGCTGCATGCTCCCCCTCTTCAGGAGTTATGCTTTAAAACTGCAAAAATAATAATTTAAATTTTTAATGATTAATTTTAATTATTTAAAACCCTATAGAATAGAGTAAGAATTACAATATTAAAAGGTCTTTTTATGTAAGCTATTGGGTAGAGAAAGTGCCACGAGCGGGATTCGACCCCACGACCTTCGGCTCGAAGTGGGTTCAAATCACGCTCGTGAGGCTAATTTTTTCATTTCAAAAGAAGTTATTTGGTCAATCAGACCGCGAAATATAAGGGATTATAAGATAATATAGTTTTATCATTATTTAGTGATTAGACAAACAATTACATTTTTTAATTATTGTGATTTAACTAATTAATAAATTATTTTGAAAAATTAAATACTGAGGAATGGTGAAATGTTATTAATTCAAATCGCATTCATTCCTTGGATAAAAACAAAAAGATTTCATTAAAAAATCATTTCTTTCACATTAGCTCTTAGAAAAACGGTTTCCAAAAATTTTCCCTTGGAGGCGCCGGGTATCGATCCCGGTACCTCTCACATGCTAAGCGAGCGCTCTACCATCTGAGCTACGCCCCCGGTTGAAATTAAAAAACGAAAGTGAACTCGTAACGTAAAAATCCAGGTCAGCATAAAATGTTTGTAAACAAGACGGCCGGCGTCGTTTTGCAACTTTTGATAATTGAAGAAAGAGAGGAAAGAAGAGGAGCCGGCCAGGAGAAAAAGTCACAAGAAGATTTTATAAAATTTAAAAAACTGTTAAGGCTTAAATTAGAAATTTCATGTTTTTTCTCATCACACACTAAATCGTTATTTAATGACAGCCTGTATGTTTTAATGTTAGAAAGAAACATGGATTTCTTGAGTCGGAATTATTCATTCCTATTCAATAATATGAAGTTCGGATGTTTGAGCTGTCAGCTGTTTTTAGCGTTTTAGTCGTTTTGATTTCCCAAATCAAGTCTGTTCGAATTCTGCCGTCGTCCCTGGCCCTTTTTTTCACGATACCCTTCTCCCAAGTACATTGAAACAGTCAACTCAACTACGTACTCTGGATAAGTTGCGAGTTCATAAGACCATTAAAAATAATAATAATATATACAAAAGAAAAAAAAAGGCCGAAAAAAAATCGGTTTTAAAAATTTTCCTTGGAGGCGCCGGGTATCGATCCCGGTACCTCTCACATGCTAAGCGAGCGCTCTACCATCTGAGCTACGCCCCCCGGTTGATCTTAAACACCGAAAATGAAATCAAATAACAAAAAATCCAGGTCAGCAGAAAACATTTGTGAACGAGTCAGCGGGAGTCGTTTCGCAACTGTTGATGTTGCGCAAGGGAAGACAGGAAAGAAACCGTACTGAAGTTCTTTATGAGACGGCGACTGAAAGTTGTTTATATGACAACGCCTAGTGTAATAAGACATATTTTTTGTTAAACATTAAATTTTAACTTTTTTCCTGTGGTGGCTTATATTTTTAGAAGAGGAGTCGGCCAGAGGGAAAAAAGAGAACTGTTTTTCATATTTGACATTGCAAATTTTATAAAATTTACACAACAGACCTGGCTGAAATTACAAATTTCATGTTTTCTCTCATCACACACTAAATCGTTATGTAATGACAGCCTGTGTATGTTTAATGTTAGAAAGAAACATTGCTTTCTTAAGTCGGAATTACTCATGTCCTATTGAATAATATGAAGTTCGGGTGTTTGTTGTTTTTAGTTTTTAATTTTTAATTATTATTTGGAGATTGTGGGATGCGATCTGGTGTGACGTAGGTTTAGAAATACATTTTCTTTATCGTGCCAACGTTTCGATCTTTATTGAGATCATCTTTAGGGCTTAAAGTGTTTGTTTTCTGTGTAGATGAGTCATTCTTTGTGTCGTTTTGACAGTTCCAGTGAGATATTAATGTTTTATGTTTTTACACTTTGGATTTTGAAGAGGTGGGGAAGGAAATTGGGACAGAAAACATTTTTTTTATATGTTTTGTATGATGTGATGATGATATATGTATGTTATCGATATTGAATTTGATTAATGATATTAGAGTAGCTGCGACTGAGTTTATTCGTGTCCGTTCTGTAAACGCGCTATACGCGCGTGTGCGTATCTTTTAAAAACCCCTAAGTTTTAAAATAAAACGTCAGCTGTATTTTCTCGAAATAACAAGTTAGAACAGTCCAACGCAAATAAAAGAGGCGGCCTGGGAATTCCGGTGAAAAGAAAAGTGGAAAAGATCTCATTTTCTCGGAAAAGGAAGCACCCTTGGATGCTTTATTATTTTCTGCCGGATGACCCTTTTTTATATCAATTTCCTTTATTGAAGAAACTGTCCTACTTAATAAAAGATTCTTCAATTAAGAAGAGAAAAAACAATAAAGAAAGAGAAACGAATTTTAAAACGAAATAATTGATGGTGGGGATTGACGTTACAAAATTAAATTCTAAGACGTTAGTTAAATCAGAAACTTCTTTATTTATCAATGCATTTTTGCTTTTTTATTTTAAACCAAGGGTTTTTTGTTTAACAATCTATCGTATTTATTGATACAAATAATGACTTTTATGTGGATATGTCTAAAATTATTACAAATGGGTATTGAAATTGTCATATACTCATTGCAGTTCATCCAAAAAAATAATTTCTACCTTGAACCACAAAAAATACCCAACGTAAAAGCGATTTTGTTGAAAAAAATTAACTGTGTCAGGTGTGGGGTTCGAACCCACGCTCCCAATCGGGAACCAGAGCTTAAATCTGGCGCCTTAGACCGCTCGGCCAACCTGACTCTTGCTCATACCCGCTTTAATCGTGGTACTTGCATACACTGCGCGAATAATATATATTTTTTTTAAATATTATTTAAACTAAATTACATTAAGTTGTAAAAATAAATGTTCACAGAAATCTAACGCGTTCATTTTTGCATGTTGAGCTTGATTAGGTGACTTTGAACACTAGTTTTTTGTGCCTTGTATTGCACAAATATTTCTTTTTCCTCTGTGTTAATATTTAGATATGTTTTAAATTAGTTCTTTTTTTATTTTAGATCAGGTATATAGGCAGGAAGCCTGAAGCCAGTCTTTTAATTTCTTTGTAAATACTGTATGTATTTTGTAAATAAATAAATAATAATTAATTAACTTAGTAATATAATAGTTTAATGTTGTCTAATAATTATTTTTATTTAGAGCTATTATTTATTTACTGTGATTTTTGCACGGGTACAATTTACAGGAGGTCTGGCCCGACAAAGCTTTTTGACTTTACCTACCAGCATGTTTCTATTTGTTTTTTTCATATGCAGAGTAATCAGTTATCAAACTGTACTGAAAAAAAAAAACCAGAAAACCTAGATCATCCCCATCTATTAATTGTTTGTAGATTTTCCTTCGGTATTTGTGTTATTTTTGGCATCCTTTGTGAAATAAAAAAATTAAAAAGTGAAGTACTTCCTGTCTTAACATCCAACTACCCGTTGACTGTCGTGGACAAGGTATCAGAAACACTTTACAATTTTTTTTCCAAATTAATCTCAAATAAAATCTCAATTTCATGCCAGAATTTGAACAATTTGGCAAAAATGAGTCAGACTCCTTAACTACTCAGCCACCCGCTCAACATGGCCTTTGTATAATTCTCTAAAACCATATTTTGCCTTTTTTTAAACACTTTCACTTTTAACTGAATATTGAATATGTTTTCCTAAATATGTTTTTTTTTAAATATCATTAAAATTCAATTACATTAAGTTTTAAAGATAAATGTTCACATAAATCTAGTGCGTTTGTTTTTGCATGTTCAGGTTGATTAGGTGACCTAGTAACATTAGCTTCTTGTGTCTCAGATTACACAAATAATAATTAATTTACTCAGTAATATAAAAGTTTAATATTGTCTAATAGTTATTTTTATTTGTAGATATTATTTATTTATTGTAATTTTTGTACAGGTGCCTTACATAACTTTTTGTCTTTAAATACCAGCATGTTTCTATTTATTGTTTTACATGCAGTTATCAAACTGAACTGAAAAAAACCCAGAAAACTTAGATCATCCCCATCAATTTATTGTTTGTAGATTTTCCTTCAGTATTTTGTTATTTTTGGCATCCTGTGTGAAGTAAAAATTAAAAAATTGAAGTAATTCCTGTCAAACAGGAGGACTTAACAACCAACTACCCATTGACTGTCATGGACAAGGTGTCAGAACCACTTTAAATTTTTTTCCAAATTAGCCTCAAATAAAACTCCTATTTTATGCCAGAATTTGAACAATTTGGCCAAAATGAGTCAGACTCCTTAACTACTCAGCCACTCACTCCACCTTTGTATGGCCTTTGTATAATTTTCTAAAACCATATTTTGCCTTTTTTAAAACACTCACTTGTTATTGGATATTGAATACGTTTTCCTCATTAATTATAGTGAATAAAAGAAATGATAGATTTAAGAAACAAATCTATATTTTGCTAAGGTTACTAGCCCAAAGAAAAAGATTTCATTAGTTAACTTAGGTCCAACAGAATTGTTTCTATTTTTATTTTTAGACATTGATATTAGTTAGTAACCATGTCATTAAATTTTAATGGTTGGGTAAGTACCACTGGCTACATCATAACAATGTTAGGCTTCAAAGTTTGGCAAAGTCAACCTAATATTTATTTTTGTGTTGATTAGTGACCGTTAATCGATATTTATTTAGAAATCATGAGATGCGGTCTAATATTTATTATTATCTTTCAACATTTTTTAAAAGCACATTTCCACTTTTAGAGCCTTAGGCTGTCATATAATCAACTTGGTATTTCATGAATATTTATAATCTTTGTGCTTGCCAATGCATAACAATCATGAAGAGTTAATCATTAAATTTTTTAGGCTTTAGAAATGTCCGTATGAATAAAATATGCAACAACTATTAACTCTAAAAACAATAACTAATAACTATACAATATGACTAACATATAATCAAGCAAAATTTTACGAATGAATTTTCCTAGGTTGATACATTCAATACAATTTTTATTTAATTCTTATGAGTGTGTTGTATACTCAATACAAGTTTTATGTTAAGTTCTTTTCTATACATTGGCCTCAAATGGCTTAACAGGAGTCCTCATACATTAAAAAGTAAATTAAAAACTAAAAAAATTTGCAATTAAAATAAAATCTTGGCCCTTTAGCATTATTGACGAGTCTGTTTTACCAAAATTCATTTAATCATTTAATTATTTAATTGATACATTTGCGTACCTATAAACTAATGCCTTTTTAATAACAATTTATTACATATTTATGATTAGATTAAATTTAAAGTGAACTCCTCTCAACCATCCCTTTCAATAAAAAAATTTCTAATTTTTTTTATGATAGCCTTAAATGAATATTCCTTTAGGGTACCTATCTCTGATTTTTATTTTGTATTGAAGCATTACTTTAATTTTCTTTATGTAAAGGCATTATGTAATAATCTGATTGTATGTTACTGTTTGATTGTTGTAATTAAATACAAATAAAAATGGCAGTAAAAAAATAATTGATATTTGTTAAAAAAGTCAAAAGCTCAATTTAAAAAAAAATATTTGTCATCAACATTTGTACATTTTATGAAATAATATTAATAAAGTGAACTTAATATGATATGGTTGTTGAAATCGTCAGCCAGAGTTCTGGCAGCTACCAAAATAGTCTTTCTTTAGATAATTTTAACAGAAAATCGCCTTAAGCTGTACAGTTTTGAAAACTGGAAAATCAGTAAGAAGGTTTAAAAAAAAATCAAACTGCTTGTATATTTTTTTAATTTTAAATCACAGTTAACAAATTACCAACCAATATTAACTAAAGAGTGAGAAACAAATAAAATGTTTTAAATTTGCACAAAATTTTGATGATTAACACTATTTAAAAAAGAAAATCAGCCGGACACTCCACAATATTTATTTTTGTAAGCAAAGGAGTTGTGTCAAATGTGATAAAACGCTGAATCTTTATTATTTTGAATAGCTGATTGCTCTCTTAAACTACTTCACCATTTTGCCAAATATAACCTTTGGTGCTTTTTTTCTTAATTATTTTTTTTTCTTATACATAATACAACAAAATAATAGTATTGTTTTGTTAATGAAAGGGCTTGACAGTTGAATATTTGCAATTTATATTGAAAAGTGTGCCTTTCTTTGCTAATAATTGAGTTAAAGCTGTTTTTAACGGATTTTATATTCTAATTATTTTGTATTTTGAATGAATTACAAATAAAAATATGTGTTAATAAAAAAAGAGAATTTTTTTGCTTTCTAAATATTTTATTCTAAAATTAATCTATCTGAAATGATCAAATCATCCACTGTATTTTTCCATTCCTTAGTTTATCTCTATGTACAATATTTCTTACTCTGGCCCTGTTTCTCTTGATCCTCAGTTCACCAAGAAAGATTATAATGGAAAGGATCAGACCGATGAAGTATATAGCGATTGCAATCGTCACAGACTCGAGTCTTACAAAAATGAAACCCTGCTTTAATGTGCATTTGGGCTTTTGCGGAAACCACCTCACTTGCCCATAATGTGACAGTCCATTTTCTTTCATCCATATGATCCTAATAAATCATACTATCAGACATGATTGTTTGTAATATTGTTACAATTTTGCTTACGCTTCATTGTATAGCTCTCTTAAATGCGAATGTTTCACAACATACTGTGTGACTAATAAAGACGGCATGGGTAAAATATAGCTCAATTTACATTTAAGCTCTTCATCAAAATATTTATCGATTGCGACATAGATCCAGAAGTATTCAGTACAAAATGCTACATTTTGTTTAATCATCTCTAACCCTTCTTGCAATGAATAAGTCTTTGTCATGTGCTTATCTATTTTTTCGTATATTTTCTTTGGTACGAAAGAATTTCTTACCTAGGAAAAAATAAATTTATTTTATAAATATTGATGCAATATCTAAGAAAATATACTTGTATATTTGTAAAATAGAAAGCATCAACTAGTGCCATTTTTATATCGCTTTTCACTAAATCGTCAATGTTTTTTATCGGCGTTGGGGCTGTCGAGAGGAGTGCATTTGTTGTTTCTCCATTGTATAATATTACCACTATAGTGCCCATTAGGAGCAAGAATAAGCATAATAACCTGGAGGACAAGTTGAATACTTCGATGGTCAAGCCTAAGAACAGTTGAAACTGAAGAAATTAAATTTAAAAAAAAAATTAAAACCAATTTTACCTTGTTGAGAAAATATACCAATCAACTGTAAAAAGCAGGCACTTATATTTTCCTTATGTTTCAAATCCTTTGATTTTTCATATTTGAGCATGATGAAAAGTGTAATCGATGCAACAATTATCAACAGAACTAAAGAGATCCAAACCCCAAGGCTTAAGGGTAGAAAAAGGGATTTGTACGTTCCCAAAATCCTTGGCTGGATGAATATAAACATAAACCTTAAAATAATCAATCAGTTTACTGAATAGTAAATCAATCTTTTGGAAGATAAAGTAAAAGACAAATTACTAAATAACTAATAATAGATAAATTCAATATTAAGGCAAAAACTAGTAATAAAGCATTTAAAAAATAATCTACACAAAAGCGTTATGGATACTCTTTTTTTCTTTTTTTTAAATATTATTGTTGAACTTGTTACTACTTTATGACTACGATTATAATTAAAATGTAATGAAAAAACTAGTAACAAGCTCAGTATTTAAAAAATAAATTGAAAAGAGCTATGCAGTCACTCTTTTGTATGTATTTTTTTAAAAATTGAGGTTGTTACTAGTTTTTGCCCTAGATTCAATTGTTTTATTATTATTATAATTTATTTTTATTACAATCTGTAATTATTATTTGCAATATGTAATTTGCGGATACATGAACTTATGTACAACTATTTACATTGAGGGGAGAAAATAATTAATGTTATCCTCCCTCTTCACTTTGTTTGTTTTTTTTTGTGTTTTTTTTTTTACAGTTTACTCGGAAAGGAGGTTGCGGGGCCATTTCCTCTGAAGACGCCTTATGGGGTTGTAGGGATGGGTTCTATCGGACAGGGCAAGACTATTTGGATGGTGGGAGAGTTTTTTGTGAAACATGGTAAATTTTTGGGGAATAAATTTTTGGATATAAGGAATTTGAAGGTCGTTGTGGAGGATAGCATTTGAGACATAATAAGGAGCATTGAGAACTTTAGATTGAAAGGATTGGAGACGTTGGATATTGGAAGGTTTAGCGGTTCCCCACAGTTCTATTCCGTACGTCCAAATCGGTTGTAGTAGTGTTTTGTAAATTGTAAGTTTGTTTTTTGTCGATAGTGCAGTAGACCATACCGTCTGTTAAGGTTGTCGTGTCAGTCGTGTATGTTGATTCCATGTTAGTCGTGAGTCTAGGTGGAACCCAAGGTAGCGAACGCAGTCAGATTTGGGGATTGGAACGTTGTTATAGTATATCGTGAGAGGAGGTTTGCTTCGGAGTGTAAATGTGACATGGACGCTCCTGCTTTCGTTTATCTTCATTTTCCATTGTCTACACCAATCTGCTATACATGAGATATATTCCTGCAGATCTTCCAAAGCAACCGCAGGATCAGAATTGGAGGATAGTACAGCTGTATCATCGGCGAAGGATGCAAATAGGGTGGTAGATTCAATTAAAATTTAAAGCAAAAACTATTCACAAGATCAATATTTAAAAAATACAAACAAACAAACGACCGAACAATATTTTTTTAAATTGTTTTCTCAAGATTAATAAATAATGCATTAGTATTTATTTAGTTTTACTAACCAGAATTCATGTGTAGTAATTACAGGGTCTACCACATTGAGTCTTTCAATCATGTATCTTGCTGCACCCATAGTCGTATTGACTTCTTTTCTTTCTACTTGACCTAATGCACCAGATAGGGAACCATTGGGCAGCTTTAAACCCCACCGGTCTGCAGTTATTAAAAATATGCTTTTTTTTTTAATAAACACACCACTAGGTGCTAATTGCTAAATACCTATAGTTGTACCATTTTGCAATATGAAGGTTTAGCTCATAGCCAAACCTGTTCGGCAGATCTTCTCCTTCGATATAAGTATGATTTTGCAACTCGGACAAAAACCGCTCGTAGTCATTCGTGTGGTAGATGTCCTGTGTGATCTAACAAATCGGTTATTATGCAATAATAAAATAGTTATTGTATACATACAAACATGGTTGATGTAATCGTCGTCCCATCGAGGGACCGGACGGTTGGAACTCTTTTTAGCTTAAGGACGGTGTTTGGTTTCCATGTTCCCAATCGCACAGTGTTAATGTCATAATCTCCCCTGCTCCTTTGTATATGGTAAAATGTGTTTTCTGAATTGACCATTGTCAAGTCGGCAGTAGAATCTAGAACAGCTCGATGCAGGGTATCAGAAACATGATCAGAGTAAATGAGAAATGTGTGCGAAGTATTGAAAAACCCCAGTCTAGACACCTGAAAATTCACTCTTACACACTTTGGCTTTTTTTCTTAATAGATAAATTTACCAAATTGAAAATTTTCTGGTTTTCCTTGCAATTTAGGTCTAAAAAAATCCCTACTTTATAATGGTGGCCTGTGATTGAAGTCAAGATATCTTTTTCTATCCCATATTGGCCATTTACGGTAAACAACTTTTCTCTATGGTTAACTAAAAAATACTCCACTGTTTGAACTGCTTCTGAAATTTAATCAGCTTATTAAAATAGTGTTTTTAAATGTTTTTCCTCTCATAAAAGCACCTTTCTTTGAACAAAGTAACAAATTTAATGCATAAGTGTTTTTCACTTCGAAAAAATCACTTATTAAACTGTGACTGACATCTAATGGATACACAGTGGCAATGTTGGCAAATAGAACTACAAATAACAGCTCCATGTCAAAAAAGGAAATGAACGTTCACCCTAAACTAAGAAAGTATGAAGAATTATTCATCAAAATTATAGGTAATTGGGTGATAAGGAGAAAAATCAAAGCATTATTACAAAATTACTATATCAATCTGTAAAAAGTTATTACTTTCTCTTTGAATGAGTCTAAACGAGGACGAAAAGTGGTCTATTATTATCTTGTTATGTTATTTACAATTGATCACTTTTCCATAATAATTTAACTAACCTATTTTTTGTTGGGTGTGAATTTTTTTGTTAGTTTATTAATTTTTATATATTTGTGTATTTTTACTACATTATTTATTTAATATGAAGAAAGAAGATCTGATAATAAATATTTCACTTATTTTTTTAATAACTGCAATAAAAAATATATACATATTTATTACAGTAAATATTTTCTTCGTATATTCGTCAATAAGAAAATAAGGCTGTTTTTCGTAGGAATTACTTATTAAAGTACAGCTTTGCTGTAAAATATCATGACACTGTGTTGTTTGCTGACAAACGGAAATCTGTAAGACTATGGAAAAAGAGAGACTGCTTAATTAAAAGAGCTGTGTAGTCTGTGTGAATAATTAAGAAGCACATGTCAGTATAAATTAGGAATTCTGACTGTCTTTTTATATCTAATATCTGCTTGATTTGACATATGCAAGATGAGGCTCCGGGTATTAGCAATTTTTGTATTTTGTGCACAAACCGAATCGAAGTTTTTGCCTAATTTCATACCAGAAATTTTGAGTGAATTGTTTGACAACTTGCAAGGTTGTAATTTTTACTTTTGTCATCAAAGAGGTATTTTTACTTTGTTTTGTCGTCTTTCTCCAGATTATATTTATATTATTGTGTAAGCAGATGCAGAAAATGTTGCAAGGTATTATTCAAATAGAGCAAAATTTGTAAGTACGAGGCTGCTAAAAACTGTCAAATTTAATAAAGAAATACAAATAACCATGGAACAACAGGTACAAAAAGTTGGTGTATTTCTTGATTCATCGTGCGAAGAAGGACAGGATTTTCTTCTAGACGTAATTACTTTATAAATAAATGATAATATTCTGTAAAATATTTTTGCATTTTTTCAGAGTTTGAAACTATTTAACTCATCATATCAATGGCTTATATGGACCAATAATATAACTGAAAATTTATTAACATTATCACCATCTCGTATTAACATTGACAGCAATGTCACTATAGCAACACCTGGAGTAAAACTTTATGATATTTATAGAATTCATAAGTCAGTTAACTTCACAGTAACAGAAATAGGGACGGGGGAAAATGATAAGTTGTACTTTATACCAAGGCCAGATAGAAGAGATTTTAATCAATTTAAATTTAATGCAAGCCTCATGGTAAGTTAAATTAATTGAGCATTTATATAAAAGTAATTAATTCTCAAATTTATAAGATGATAGATCTTAAATTCAACCTGAGTAATTTAATTCCCCCACTACTTGACCAATCTTACGAGCCGGGGATCGACATGGTGAGGCGATACGGTCTATCTTTGTTCATGCATCTGGCAGAGTTCTACAATTTTAGGTGAAAAAAAATATTTATCTAGATACAATACAGCAGGATTTAATTATTATTTTACAGAATGTCATACGTTTTAACAAATGCGTGGGGCGTACAACTTAAAAACGGATCATGGGATGGAATGGTCGGACAAGTGAAAAGGGGTGAAGCTGATTTCGGTTTGGCTCCTGCCAAATTCATCATCAAGAGATATGACATCATAGATTACATCGCATCATTACAAATAGTTAGGTACAGTACAAATAAAAATAAATTTATTCACCATTTGAATTGACAATAATCCAATTAAACCAATAATCTTGGCTTCAGGACTTGTTTCACTTTTCTCCAACCAAAATTGTTTGGTACTTATAAAGCACTTGTGCACCCTCTAGACCCGATTGTGTGGGTATGTCTTGGTGTATGTTCTTTGCTAGGCGTCATAGCATTCAAAGCAGTGTCAAAACATGATAATACTTCAGTGTGCAATGACAACTTAGGAGGCAGTACTCTGCTTGTTATATCCTCGATTGCGCAACAAGGTAAATTGGGTTTTGTAATAAAATCAAATTATTATTTACTATTTAGTATGTTGCAGGTTTCCCTGATAATTCGTATAAACTCTCAACGAGATTAATCTATATATCACTTCTTTTTGTGACATTTTTTACCGCAGTTTACTACAACACAGCTATACTAAACGGACTCTTGCTCCAAGCTCCTAATGCAATTCAGAATGTTCATCAACTTTTAAAAAGTGATATCAAACTCGGCTTACTCGCTGTTCCATACATCTTGAACGAAATACATGTTAGTAATGAACTATAACATAATAGATAAATACTAAGTTTGTTCCTTTTAATAAGACTCTCAATGACTCCTTGACGGTGGCAGTCAGAAAAAAACTTGACAAAATCAAAGATCCAAAAGACAAATATTTAAATGTGGAAGAAGGTGTGGCAAAGCTGAAAAAAGGTCAGTTTGCTTTTTACACAGAGGATGAGGCTATATACACTGAAATCATGCATAAAATGAGTGATGCTGAGATCTGCTCACTGTCTGAAGTAGAAAAATACAGGCCTTTTCATGTAGGAGCTATCGCTCAAGACAACAGCCCGTACAGGGAATTATTTAGCCGAGCGTAGGTTTAAAAATAAAAATAAAAACTACAAGTATTCCATTGTTATTTTATATACGGTTTTTTTAGGTTTGTACTGATGCGCGAGAAAGGATTGATGGACAGACAGGAAAATCGCTGGCTTGTGCAGAAACCGGAATGCCACTGGAGGCAGGACGCCCACTCCCTCGGGCTTGAACCGTTGACCCTTGCTTATGTCATAATGGGACTAGGCTATATTTTAGCATTTGCTGCATACATATATGAACGCTGGATTTACAACAATAAAAATAAAAAGTTACAAATTAAAGCACTCAAATAGAAATAAACTTCTGAACAAATTTTATGTACACAAATACAATTTTGTTGTTTTAATGTCTCTTTTTAGTTGCTGAAGGAAAAAAAATGACCTGAAAGCTAGATGCATGCTTTCCCAGGTGGTAAAAAATTGCCTCATCAACAAAATTCAGAGTTTCATCACACAAGATGGAGCTAGAAGAGATGTATTATGTAAAAATAATAATAATTATTTTAACATGTTATATATCCACATTACTACAAAAAACGTATATTTCTTTAAAATAAAATGCATGTTGCAACCCTTATTGCATGGAATTCCTCCTTCAGTTGACTTGTTACACATAAATAAACTAACAACTAAAACAAAATAAACGGAATGTAGACAACCACAACCCACTTCAATCTGGCCCCTTGACACTAAAAATTCAATAACAAGCTTGATTAAATGAAAGTGGCAGCATCAGTGGGCCAGGCCATAGGAGAAGCTCATGCGTTCGACAGCTATGTTGATAGGTGATTGTCAGAGGACCCGATTCATAGAAGAAAGGTCATGCTCATTACATTGACACACGGACTTTTTGGGCCAAAACCCGCGTATTATACAGCTCTTAAAGGAGGCAGTATAATACATACCCCAATTAATACTACATCTACAAAATTGCATCTGCATCATGTGCTTGGGGGAGTGTATCTCATGATTGCGTATTCATTGTCATTTCACTATAAAGAGGATTAACTGATAGGCATTCTGCAGGCACCACATCTTCTAATTCCTTCTTAAACGATTCAGTTTTTACATTGGGCATTAAATGTACATAAAATAAAACTTGTTCTTAAAGACAGCACATACATTAGACAGAATTATGGGATGCATGCAGTTTAGTAATTGGTGTAATATTAAACCCAGGAAAATACTTTTTTTTTTAAATCAGAGTTCACAGATTGCAACTAGTAATAGAATTATTAAAAATTCAACCTCTGCTACCATGTGTAATAATTGCTTAACAATCGATCAACATACCTTTTCTTGAGGCGATCGTGGAACAGACTCATCTTATCCCACCACTGGATAATAAAATAAAATGAAGGTATGAATAATAATTAAGAGTGATCAAATTACCTAATTTTAAAAGAAAACAGACCTCTATTCAAACACAAATCAAACCAAAACTAAAATATGACCTATTAAGAAAATAAACTGCAGTAAATAAAATTAAAGAATACAGTCAAAAATAAGTGCTCTACACCACACCCAAGGTTATGGCCTCCATTTACTTTTAAAAATAATTTTACTATTTGCACTCTTGAACCTTGTTTCAATTGCATTCAGAACACACCTGCCCCACAACAATGAATCCTACAGGGAGCCATAGTAGGCAGCTGGAGAGAGGCAACTGGCCACATTGATATGCAATGGCTGGGTATTATGATACAGTACATCAGTACAATATACAATAAAGCAACCCTGTTTCCTCCAAGAATTGGAACAGGGGATAAAATACCTTGCTCAAGCGCAACTCTCACATTGGGTGGCATTCCTACTCGCTCTCTATAAAGAGCCAAGGAATGGTACCCTTCAAATAGAAAAGACACATTGAGGAACCTTTCTCTGCATGTCAGATGCGTACTGCAGTCTGCTCCCCCTCTTCGGGCAGTATGACTTAAAATTACAAAAATAATAATTTACTTTTTAATAAAGAATTTTAATAATTTAAAACCCTACAGAATAGATTAAGAATAACAATATTATAAGATAATTAATCTATTGATGTAAGGTATTGGTTGAAATGAAAAAATAAGTGTCACGAGCGGGATTCGAACCTTCGGTTCGAAGTGGGTTCGAATCCCACTCGTGACGCTAACTTTTTTCATTTCAACCAATACCTTACATAAAAACATTAATTAATTGAAAGAAGTTATTTGATCAATCAGACCACGAAATATAATGGATTATAAGACAATATAGTTTTATCATTATTTAGTGATTAGACAAACAATTACATTTTTTAATTATTGTGATTTAACTAATTAATAAATTATTTTGAAAAATTAAATACTGAGGAATGGTGAAATGTTATTAACTCAAATCGCATTCATTCCTTGCATAAAAACAAAAAGATTTCATTAAAAATCATTTCTTTCACATTAGCTCTTAGAAAAACGGTTTCCAAAAATTTTCCCTTGGAGGCGCCGGGTATCGATCCCGGTACCTCTCACATGCTAAGCGAGCGCTCTACCATCTGAGCTACGCCCCCGGTTGACGTTTAAAACCGAAAGTGAACTCCAAGCGTACAAAATCCAGGTCATCAGAAAGCATTTGTGAACGAGTCAGCGGGAGTCGTTTCGTAGCTGTTGATGTTGAAGGGAAGACGGGAAAGAATCCGTACTGAAGTTCATTATGAGACGGCGACTGAAAGTTGTTTATATGACAACGCCTAGTGTAATGTGACATATTTTTTGTTAAACATTAACTTTTTTCCTGTGGTGGCCTCTGTTTTTGTTGATGATTAGATGAGGAGTCGGGCGGGAGGAAAAAGAGAATTGTTTTTCATATTTGACATTGCAAATTTTATAAAATTTAAACAACCTGGCTGAAATTACAAATTTCATGTTTTCTCTCATCACACTAAATCGTTATGTAATGACAGCCTGTATATGTTTTAATGTTAGAAAGAAACATTGCTTTGTTAAGTCGGAAGTATTCACGTCCCATTCAATAATATGAAGTTCGGGTGTTTGAGCTGTTTTTAGTTTTTAATTATTATTTGGAGATCGTGAGATGCGGTCTGCTGTGACGTAGGTTTTAGAAAAACATTTTCTTTATCGTGCGAACGTTTCGATCTTTATTGAGATCATCTTCAGGGCCTGGGATTTATAAATATTGTTTAAATTTTACAAATACATGTAGGATGTGAAAAAATGAATTTATACAATGCTAGAACTTTTAGACTCAATCAAAGTATTTTTACCCAGTCAAAGTTTTTGTTTTCTGTGTAGATGTGTCATTATTGTGTGTCGTTGAGTCGTTTTGAGAGTGTCAATGAGATATGGATATTTTATACGTGGAATTTGAAGGGGATGAGGAAGGAAGTTGGGACAGAAAACATTTTTACATGAAGAGTCGGCTTCTTTGAGGTAAAAGGAGCCGACAATGGGAAAGAATGGGTTCGGCCTGTTTATCTTTTCGGGATTATATAGACTGGGATAATTACTTAGTTTTTAAGTTCTTCCGATGCGATACCCTTCTCTCCAACAACTTTGAAACTATCAACAACTAAACTAAATAATCCGCTTAATATGCGAGTTCGTAAGCCCATAAAAAAAATAAAAAACACGTCCGAAAAAAATCGCTTTTAAAAAATTTTTCCTTGGAGGCGCCGGGTATCGATCCCGGTACCTCTCACATGCTAAGCGAGCGCTCTACCATCTGAGCTACGCCCCCGGTTGAAATTAAAAAACGAAAGTGAACTCGTAACGTAAAAATCCAGGTCAGCATAAAATGTTTGTAAACAAGACGGCCGGCGTCGTTTTGCAACTTTTGATNTCTCAATAAAGATCGAAACGTTGGCACGATAAAGAAAATGTTTTTCTGAAACCTACATCACACCAGACCGCATCTCACGATTTCTGAATAATTATTTATTTTTAATTGAGTGGTACCAACTTGTACATTAATAACGTTTTGTACTAACGTTTTTATAACATTAAAAAATGTACGTATGAGTAAGTTGAAACACAACTTCTAATATTGTATTTTTAGTAGGTATTATGTTAATAAATATTACAATTAATAAAATAGATGATTAAGATAACAAATTGGCAAAAATAAACATTAGTTCACTCGCGTTATTCATTGAAGATTAAAGGTATATAAAAAGATTTTTTTTCCTACCCCGGTCGGCTATCCACTAGAGACATTACCGGCACCTGACGTATGCTTCTCGTTTTTTTTTTTTTTTTTTTTTTTTTTTTTTTTTTTTTTTTTTTTTTTTTTTTTTTTTTTTTTTTTTTTTTTTTTGACGGGCCTACAGAGTACTCGATATTCCTCGACATCCAAATCCATTTACACAAAACATTCACGCTAATAAATACATTCTTATTGGAGACGTCGCAGCATCTCGGCAGTATACTACGACCTTGATAGCGGCGACCTGTCCCTCACATCACATAACAAATATATAATTAATTAAACTAATTTGGTGGGCCTGTAAGCTACTCGATATTCAGTCACAGCCACACCCAGACACACCTCATCACCCACGCTAATAAATACATTCACACTGAATAAAAGGAGATATTCCACGTGTGGTTGGTTACATGTATTTATAAGCGTTTATCAATTTTAAGTAACTAATAAGATTATCTTTGAAGTTACTGTTATGCTTAAGAACTATTTACAGATTAGATGGTCACCCTGTTCTCGGTTCTCTCTTAACCTGTCACGTTCCTCTAATAGGTGTCTCACCGTTACCGGGTTTCCACAGATTGGGCAGCGTTTTTGACTTCTACCCACTAAGAAGTAATCGTGCGTGAGATGGGTGTGACCTATTCGCAAGATTCTTCGTTTCCCTTCTAATAAATGTAACTACGAAAGTTGTTATGTAATGTTCAGATTGGCTATGACTAATTGGAATAATTTCATTTTCATAAAGATCTTCAAGAGCGATTCTTTTTATTTATGTTTAAAGTATGATATTTTTATTGATTATTGGCCGAGATGTTGGCCATAGAAAAAAAAAATAGATCCGTTTATTCATATTTGACTACTGTCGGACGTTTTGGCTCTTTTGGCGTTATCTTCATTATAAAGTCAATAATTTTTTCCGATTTTTTGCGTTTTTCTCGAAAACTACGTGTCCTACGAGCCTAATTCCTTTTCCAATCGACTCAGCCGGTCGATTTACATCGAAAAAGTCAATAAATTTTTTTTCGATTTTTTGTTTTTTTTCTCGAAAACTATGCGTCCTACGAGCCTAATTCCTTTTTCCCATCGACTCAGCCGGTCGATTTACAATTTTTGTGTGATAAGAAGAAAGATGAAATTTTTAATTCCAGCCGCAACAACTGGTCTTGTTTTCTTCCTTAGCTGACTCCTCTAATAATCAGTAAAAGTGAAATCCTACATGACCGGAAATGTAAAAAATAATAGCTAATTAAAAGTTTGACAGAAGATATGTCTCATTGAACATTTAACTTCAGTGTACTCCTTCAGCGGCCATTTCTCAATGAAGATGTCAGTAGTCATCATAATAAAGATCTTCAGAAGCGATTTATACCTTTCTTCCCCCTCCAGTGAGCCAACAGTCGTGAAACGACGCCGGTCGTCTTGTTTACGAACATTTTATGCTGACCTGGATTTTGTACGCTTCGAGTTCACTTTCGTTTTTAAACATCAACCGGGGGCGTAGCTCAGATGGTAGAGCGCTCGCTTAGCATGTGAGAGGTACCGGGATCGATACCCGGCGCCTCCAAGGAAAATTTTTTTTACCATTGTGCCGTCTGACGTAATGCATTGTTTAAAACTTCAATATTTCATTATAAATTAATTTACTTTTATAGAATCAAATAACACATCAAAATCAATTTTAAACATAAAAAAACAACGGTCCTAATTGGTATCCATGAGAATCAAATATTAATTTGTGGAGTAAGTAGTTGTTTAGGTCTGCCTGTTGTTTGATCGTTTCAATTAGCAAAATACTTTTTGGTTTTTAGTAATTGCCTAGAATACAAAATATTTTAGTTTAAAAAATTTGATTGTGCTGATTTAAAAAAATCCCTACTATTGATTTATCATCGTTAATCTTTTACATTTACTTTGTCAGATACTTTTCGTTTTTGTTTATAACTACTTTTCACGTACATAACAAGTTTATAATAGGCCATTAAACTGACCCATTTGGCTTGTAGGTAGTCCTCAAATTATAGCTTCTGTCAGCAAACATAATCAAAAAGATTGTCAAATGGCCAAATTGCATAATAGTGGCCTAGGTCCGACAAACGACCTTTAGACGTTTCATCCCGCATTCGAGTTGTTCTTTCTCAATCGGTATAAATATGAAAATAAAAACTTTAATACTGTTTTTATTGGAAATCAAGATCGCCAAATGCCTCCAGGCTGATCTAATCAGGAACTTCTTCGATTCGAAATTCATTCACGCCATTTACATCAAACCTTGTACTGTCAGGGGTAATTACATTATTATAACTATAATTATATTATTTAATTACAATCAGTAAGTTACAGATACTTTTTATCATAAATGACAATTTAAACAAAGGTTCTTCTGTATAAGCAAAGCACTTCTTCCCTTATTAAACAAGAATCTGCAAATTTTAATATTTAACCTTTTTTTTACACTAATGTATCTTTTTTTTTCTTATTAGATAAATTGATAGATATACTTTTATTGATAAATGTGTGCATAATTAACAAATAAATAATTAATAAATGCATTACAGCAAGGATAGAAAATCCGTGTGCCTAAAGTTGAAATCAAAATAAATTGCTCTTACTTACTGTAAAAACTAATAAATAAAATAAAAATATATAAAATGATAATAAATAAAATAAAAATAATATATCAAAATAAAGTGTGTTTGCTCACATACTAGCTAAAAATCCAGTAAAAACTTAAAAGAGGAAACACATTCATTAGTATTAAACTAAAATTAAGGTGAAAATTAACATAGAAAATCATACGATATCGCATGCCAGGTATACTGCACCAGGATATGAATCGTCTTTCCAGAAAAGCATTTCATGAGATTTTGCTATTAACTAATTACATCAGGAGCTGTAGTCTGTAAAGTTTCCCTTCATGGCTTATAAATGAAAAGTGGTTTTACAGCAGTTTCCAGATAAATTACGTAATTAGGAATCGGAGTAGGCAATGCAAACGGGTTTCTAATAAAATATCTTTGCACTTTTTTCAATCTCTCAAAAGGTTGAAAATCCCATGTCTGACACCTATAACATAATATAGCCTCAAATACTGCATAAAAGTTGGCAAAATTTGTTTTAATGTGGATTATATTTTATAAAATCAGGTGTGCCCAGGTTTACTTTTTGGAAAAGATAGTTCTATTCAGAGAAGTTTTAGGCAAAAAAATAATTATTTGATATACTTTTATTTTATTTATTATAATTTTATATATTTTTATTTTATTTATTATTTTTTGCATTCTATATTATCATTAGAAAGATGAGTAATTTATTTTGGTTGCAACCTCAGGCAGACAGATTTTCTGTCCTTGCTGTAATGCATTTATTAATTATTTATTTGTTAATTATGCACACATTTATCAATAAAAGCATATCTATCAATCTAACAAGAAGAAGAAAAAGATGCACTAGGGGGGGAGTTGTTTTATCTCCTTTTTTCAATATCTTTTTTTAGATTTGTTCAGATTAACCGTAAAGTTATACTTTTCCCAGTAATCTTCCAAATCTTTCTTTCTTTAGAGACCCCATGCACAGTAGGCTAACATGGACTATACCGTCCAAAATTTTTATCTTCATGCCTCAGATACGTATTTCACGTATCTAAGACAGATGGCAGGTCAAGCAAAAGGAGAGAAAATAACATGGGGCTGAGCAGACAGCACAGCCTAAGTCCCAATTTAACCCTAAAAATTTCCTGGTTTTTTTTAAACTCCGTACCTCTTAGAAGATGTAACCGATAAAAGAGAATAAAAGATGCAGAGGATTACTAGCAAAACCCAATTTACTCAATTTAAGGACTACTCCATTCTGGTTTACTGAATCAGATGAAAAAAAAGCAATAGATCTTTTTGTTTAGGCATTTAATATTTAAACATAGGAAAGTACAAATAGGTTGTTAGAAGTAATCTATCCCTTGAAAAATCCAATTTGAGACGCATTTAATAGATTCTTTTCATTCACAAATGACTCTATTCAACTAAAAAGTAAACTGCAAAATATAGAAATGATAAATGATGGGGTGAGTGTGGTGTTCAATCCTTTTTAAAAAAGGTAGTTCCTACTCACAGTAAGTTGTTTTGCAACGATCCGGATTTCGAGCCCTTTATCCCTCATCATCAGGTTGAAGGACTCCTACAACTACGTCTCTCGACATGAATTGCAAAAGTGAACCCGCTGGTACTTCATACCTAGGAATCAACAATAGGACTCAGCCACCCCACCACAAATTAATCATTAGGTTTCCGCTGTTTGGCATACATTGGTGAATTATCAGAAAAAGTTAGTAAAATTTTTAAACAAAAAGGTTTTAGAATAGCTTTTGGAAGTGCGGGTTCGCTTGGAGACATCCTCTTGAGGCCTAGAGACAAGGTAGACAACTTGGCAAAAAGCGGGGTTTACCAACTTAATTGTAATGATTGTGATATTAAAAAAATATATATATTAAACGTGCGTTAAAATGTGATTGAGGGTTTATTTATTACTTTTGTTGTGTTGTTGATTATTCTATTTATAATATTGATTTTTTGTTAAAAGTGTGCCTTTGTGCTATTATTTTTACTGCTATTATATATACACCCTTTTTTAGTATTTTAAATAACGATTGTTTTGTTGTGTTGCTTGACTGTCCTATGCTTGGGTACCTAACCTGTTTGGACTGTAAATAAATTAATTAATTAAATATATAGGACAAAGCGGTAGAGAAATAAAAACGAGAGTAAAAGAACACTTGCCTAAATCGAGCAAATTTTCGGAAATTAAAGACCATCTAAAAGAAACAAAACATAATTTCAATTCAAATTTAAATACAACATGGTGATAAATGCATTAATAATATAACAGATTTTGATCTACCTTCCATTTAAATATGTGCATAAATAATATTAAACGTCCAAATTTAATTGTTATTATTTTTAAAATAATTTAATAATATCAAGGTATCATTCTAATTTTCTATCTTTTATCTTTAATCACTAATTTATAATTAATTTCTTACAGTATTTACTATTATAATATTTATTTGTGTTATAATTTCCGCTTTTCGCACGTTCAAACTGAGTGCCATTAAAAAACTAGCTGCTAATTGGAACCCCCCCCCCTACAGTTTGAAGCTTTGTTTTCATTTCCATTTTTAAAAAGTGGAATTATAAGAGATTCACTAAAATAGTTGGATACTGAGCTAGAATTATATACAAAATCGTGAAAGTTGAAGATTTCAAGGATCTTGTGATGTTAGAGTATCTGGACCAGAAGATTTATTGTTTTTAAAGTTTGCGGTTACCACTTTTAACTCTTGGATGGTATTCTTCTTCTTGTTTGTAATAGATTAAACAGTTATAGAATCGATCTCAGAAATAGTTTTTATAAAATCATTTATTTGGAAAAGATGATACAAATTTAACTTATCAGCATAGTATAATAATGGGCAAAGAGCAAGATCCAGAGAAAGCTAAAGCCAGGGCAGAGGATTTTTTATACTTTTACTTTTGTAAACCTGCTGACCGGAGCACTGGGACTCGTCCAGATGAGTTGTTGTCCTAGCGGTTCTGATGACACCGGAAAGTGTGATAACTTTGATTAATAACCATTAGAGGATTATTAATTGATTCCTTTTTTCCACTTTTTGATATCCATTATACCATCAGAAATGTAAATTAAAGAATTAAAATTAAATTGTGAAATTTCCTCTTGTCTGTGAGAAGATGAACCTATAATTTGATCCTTCCCAATCATATTGTTATTCCTTTCCTAAAAAGATTGGTCTTTTAGATACGTTAGGACATTTCGCCATCTTCACTGTCTCCCTACGTAAACCACGATGGTTGGTAAAATTCAAATTACAATAAAAATCAAAATAAAAAGCTTTTAAGGGGTAAAAGCCCAAATATTTTTGTCATCTAAATAGTATTATTTTTTACATTTTCTAGTATTTTACAATTTATTTTTACTAATTATAAACTTTTTTCATTTTAAGCAATACTAAGGCCAGAGGTCAATATAATTATTTGATTTATTATTTATCTCTATCAAAAAAAGTATATATCACTGGGGTAATTTTATCGGCAGGAAATTTTTATTTTTTTCAGTTTAGCCAGCTCCTGCAGACCTTGGTTCTTTCTCGACTTTCTCCCCAGGCCAGCCTTGGCCTTATCGCAATACCAGGGAGCTCCAGGTTCCCCTCCTCCCGAATTCCTTTTGCTGTTCCTCTGACCCAAATATTGTATTTCTTGTTGCACTTTCTTTTTTCTTTTTCAACTGGAGGGGGGCATAGCTCAGATGGTAGAGCATATGAGAGGTACCGGGATGGATAACTGGCACTTCCAGGAAGAATTTTTTTAAACTGGAAAACAATATTTTTGGTTTAAAACTGTTTTTTGTTTTTATTATTTTTCAATGTCTCTTTCAAAAATCCAAACACAAAAACCTGGAAACTAATTTCTGAAAGAACTTTCCTATGTTTTACACAATTTTAATTATTTTATTGAACAATCTATTCACAAATTTGAGTTGCATAATTCAATATATAAAGAATAGATTTTAAACAAATATATTTTGACACAAAGCCACCATTGAAGATGCGAATGCTGACAGACCAAAGCAGAAAGGATAGGCATACCAGGTTGACAGGAAACAGACTGGTCCATAATCTCACACACAGCTGCTAAAATCCTCACAATTTATAATTTCTTTTTTCCATCTTTTTTAAAACATTCGATTAGTCCAATCATTCTTATCTTTATATTCAAAAATTTTCACCCTACATTTTCTTATTAATAGAACTTTTCATTTTATCTGTACGGTGGACAAAAACTCAATGTCCTAATACAACAGGACCTAATTTTGTTCAACTTGATTTCACTTTTGGTTTTTAAAATCGACAGGGGATGTAGTTTTTAGAGTGCGAGAGTTTCCAGGATCGATACCCGGCGCCTCTAAGAACCAAAGTTTTTAATAAATAATTTAATAATAATAAAAAGATGGAGGATTTTTTGATTATAGCTACAATTCTTGTTTCGAGATGATGCCACTTAATATTTTCATATGAGACTAGCAAGCTTACAATTTAAAAAAGTACAGTTTTTCGTTGACTCCGGCGATGGTGAATTGGTGTTTGTCAGCCGATAAATACTGAACATACATACAATTAATATTTATTATAGGAATAAAATTAATTACCACGGGAAAACTGTTTAAACTAAGAAAAAGAAGATTTAGTACTGTAATTAAACGATCGAGGGATGATTTTATAATATATCGTAAACATTTCACACCCACACACACACAACCTATCGAAAATATATTCTTTAAGTAATTTTTGTATTAAAAATAAAATCTTTTTATTCATCTTCCAGTTAATAATAATATTTACTATAAGAGAATAGGTTTTCAAAATAGGTCGAGAAAAACAAGGCGTTAAAGTTATACACTTTGTGAAAACTTCTCAGTCGTGCACAACTGTATAACCAGCGCCTTAAAGATGCGAAATATGTTTCGCTTTAGCTTTTATTTTTACTTTTCAACGAATTACAATGTAAATCTACATACTAAAAAAGTGAGTGAAAATAATTAAGAAAGAAAGTTAGAGAGTGAGTGAGAGGGAGAGAAGAGAAGTGAAAAGGAAATAATAGAAAAAGAGAGATTATTGTTATCATTAAGAATAATAAAGTTCTGAGTGAGTAATAATGAAACTGAAAATAAAACATTAAACAAAAACAAACAAACAAATAAGTTTATAAAACAATATATATAAGGGAATGTTTGACAAATATAGAACTAAAAGACAAAACTTGATTCATTAATAATACTTTTCTGAAGTAACTATTACAGTACATTCGTGCTTGCTCTTGGGCTTTTATTTCTTCTTATTCTTCATAGGAGAATGGGTTTTCAAAATAGGTCGAGAAAATCAAGGCGTTAAAGTTATACACTTTGTGAAAACTTCTCAGTCGTGCACAACTGTATAACCAGCGCCCTAAAGATGCGAAATCTGTTTCCCTTTAAATTTTATTTTTACTACTTAACGAATTACAATGAAATCTAGATCCAGCGAAAGTGAGTGAAAAAATTGACATAGAAAGTGAGAGAGAGCAGTGAGAGAATGAGTGGGAGGGAGAGAAGAGAAGTGAAAAGAAAATTATAGAAAAAAAGATATTATTATTATCATTAAGTATACATTTCTGAGTGTGCAATAATTAAATAAAAAACAAAACATTAAACAAAATAATAAATTTATAAAACAATACATATAAACAAATGGTAATGTTTGACAAATACAGAACTAAAAGACAAAAATTTGAATCATTATTAATACTTTTCTGAAAACTATTACAGTGCATTCTTGCTTCCTCTTATGCTTTTATTGCTTCTTATTCTTCTTCCAGTTAATAAAAAGTTAATAATAATAATATTTACTATAGGAGAAAGAGGTTCTCAATTTTTCAAGTTCGAAAAAATAACGGCGTTAAAGTTATACAGTTTGTGAAAGCTTCTCAGTCGTTCACAACTGTATAACCAGTGCCTTAAAGATGCGAAATATGATTCGCTTTATCGTTTATTTTTAATTTTTAACGAATTACAATGCAAATACATTATGATAAAAAGTGAGTGAAAGTTAATAAGGGAGAGAGAGAGAGAGAGAGAGAGAGAATTAAAGAGAAAAAGAGAAAAAGACAAATATATATAAAGAGAGATATGAGATGCAGAGAGAGAAAGAGTGAGAGTGAGTGAGAAAGAGAGAGAGAGAAATAGAAAGTAAGAAAAATAAAGAGAATGTTAAGAGAAAGGAGAAAAGAGGAGAGAGAGAAAAAAAGAATAAGAAAAAGAAAGACAATGGCAAGAGAAATGAGCAGAGAAAGTGAGTGAAAGTTAATGAGAAAGGGAGAGATAGAGAGAGTGAGAGATAGTCTGAAAAAAGGAAGACAAAAAAGTAGAAAATATAGGAAAAAGCACGGTGAAAATAGGGAGGGAGAGGGAGAGAGAGAGAGAGAGAGAGAGAGAGAGAGAGAGAGAATGAGAGTGAGCGTGAGTAGAATAAATAATTTTTTCAATTAATTAATCTTTATGTAAGGTATTGATTGAAAAGAAAGAGTTAATGTCACAAGCAGGATTCGAACCCACGATCTTTGGCTCAATAAGTCACTGCTCTAACCACTTGAGCTATTGACTTCTAACTTTCTTCGACTTCTTGAACTTCATAACTTCTTCGAATCCCGCTCGTGACACTAACTTTTTCATTTTAACCAATACCTTACATAAAGATTAATTAATTGAAAGAAGTTATTTGGTCAATCAGACCGCAAAATATAATGGCTAGAACAAATAATGTTTATTCAATTTTTCATATAATTGTGGATATTTTGTCACACATTATTATTAGGATATTAATAAATAAACTGATGTCTATTCATATTATTTTTTATGCCAAACATTAAGATTATTTGTGTTAACTTAATTGGTCAAGCGGACCATGAAAAATAGTGAATTTAATTAATATTTTATTTTAATGTGCCCAAAAATTTAATAGATTTGTTTAATTTTAGATGGTTTTATGGTTTGGAAAGATTTAACATTGTATGGAAAGAAAACATTGTCATCTTTAGATAATATCAAATATCTTACGACGACGTTTCACAAAATAGGTATTTATGCTGATCTCACCTGTCAGTGCAATGTTAACTACATGGGAAAGGTAATATTTTTAATTTAAAACTTTTTTTTTGCATTTCATCTAAAAATGATTGCAGGAAAGCCATGTACAAAACTTGTTCAATTTGACATTCACTTGGCTTATAAAATTGGAGTCGTCAGATAGCCAAAAATTGCTTTCGACCTTGCCCTTAAGGCTTGATAGTGACGTTACATGGACTTCAGACGGAAAGTACTTTTTCGATGCATACAAAAATTTAGAAATGCGTAATGTCGAAATTTCACCTGCTTACATCTGGTCAGTGCGAACAGGATTATTTGATATCTCCACTAAAAGAAACTACAACTTGAATCGAGTTAAAATCATTGGAGGAATTGTGGTTTGTCAATCAAATTAATAATGTAATAAAATTGTGTAATGTGTATTTATACTTTCCCCAGGTAAATAAAAATGTATACAGTAGTTACAATTTTTCAAAAGAATTACAAAACAGGACTTATAATGAATACAATGATTTTGTAAATAGATATTTCTACTCGCTTCATTTACACCTTGCTTATTTATATAATTACAAGTAAGTTATTGATTTACATAAATGTACAACCAATAATTTGAATTAAAGCTTGCAGCTTAAAATGGCTGACATCAACGGGTTAATTCATTCAAATCAGTTTACTGGAATGATCGGACAGCTTTTACAAGGAGAAACTAACATTACCGTAGGGCCTGTCCAAATGGAAAAAAAATTGATGGACGTCTTTCATGCCACTGTTCCAGCGCATGAATTACAGTGTGTATAAATTAGAAAATGGTTGAGTGTAATTTAAATAATTTATTTGAAACATAGGTTAAGTTTTTTATTTAAACAACCAAAACGTGTGGAAACGTACCAAGCTATATTTCTTCAACTCCACTTCAGTGCTTGGTTAGGTGTTGGAATATTGTGTTTGGCCGCGATTTTAACTTTTTACCTGTCAGAACGTGTCCGGGAAAAATATTTCAACTACAAAGACCCTCATCACGGTTCTTTTGTCAATTGTGTTTTATTGGTTGTAGGATCAATAACAGCTCAAGGTAAAAAATATAAAAATTTATTTGAAAATTATATAATATTTGTTTATATTTTTTAAGGTGCTGAGACAACACCAAGAGATTTAGTTGGTCGTATCATATGCATTTTTAGCCATGTTCTTGGAGTAATGGTGGTAATATATTACAATGCCGCAACAGTGAATGCAGTTCTATCTCCTGCTTCTTTATCAATAATAGACATTAAAAGTCTATTAGATAGTAACCTCAAATTAGTATTTATGGATTCTTATTTTACACAAAATGAAGTAATAAACCAAATTCCTAAAGTTAGATATAAAGTAAGACTTTTTTTTTTTTTTAAGACAATTGAGAGACTTGTAACAAATGAAGTTCTGAATAAAGCTTATGAAAGTAATACACCTCCCTTAGAACTTGAAAAAGGACTTCCTTTGATTTTAAACAGATACGCTTATTGCGGAGAGATCAATACCCTTTATAAAGGGATTAACAGACTGTTCACTGAAGAACAGAAATGTGATTTATCGTCAATAACTGCTTTTCCAAAACTACCAATGACAAACCTCTTAAAGAAGGAGTCACCATTGCAAGAAATCATAGCCAGAGGGTAATTGTAAACAAGTATGTACTTTGCATAAAACTTCATTGTTAAATATATTTTTTAAGGTTAATAAGACTCAAGGAAAATGGAATAAGCAAAAGAGAACGAGCGTGAGTATTTTTTCTATTTTTTATTTAGAGCTGTTAAAAAATTAACCTTTTAAGTTTATCTAAGTTTAGTTTCTTGTCAAATTTTCTAAACTATTGCTAATTTATTTGCACTTTTCTAACGTCTCTTTAATAGATCAAGTTCTCCCAATAAATTATCATCATCTCACTTAATCAACATTTTCTCTATTTACATAAAGCCTTTCAAAGTATTACATAAATTGTCATTTTGAATGAAATGAAGAGAGTTGGGCAAGATCAGATTCTTTCTGGGGCAATGCTGTTCCCATTCTATCATTTTTATTTTAAAAAATCCCTTTCTCTTGGTCAGTTCACAAAGGCTTCAGTTACATTGTTCCCATATACAAGAGTGGTGTTAAGCAGATATTAAGAATAACAGGCCAGTCTGTATTCAGTCAGTTATCGCAAAGGTGTTTGAATCAGTCTTGGAGGAAGACATTTCTAATTTAAATAGTATTACAGTTATTTACAAACTTAACACTTATGGTGCACACAGTACATTTCTCTGAGAGCTAGAAACCTACTTAATTGGAAGAGTTCAGATGGTCAAAATTAAATTTTATCATCCTCCCTATTTGTTGCTCAGGTATTCCTCAGAGATGTCACCTGGGCCCTATGCCATTTAAAAAATTTAATAACGACAAATACGATTATTAATAACAATGTAATTAAAGTTCCCCATTTGCTGTTGTTCCTAGAGGATGCTGGAAATCTGCAAAATTTGTGACACAACCTTCAAACGTGGTGCTTTAAAAATAATATTTCACTGAATATAAAAAAAATATATGGTGATAACATTTCACAGAATTTTATCTCCTTACCATACAACATTTTCATTATTTCTCTTGAAAAGGTTTACTTGTTCCCTGATCTTTAAATTTTAATGTAACAACTTTACTTTCGCATCTAGCATAAATAACATAATAGGCAAATTCTACAGAACTTAGCTTTATATTTAAATCCAGTAAAAACTTAGTAATACATTCACTATTAGGACAATTCATTTCCAATACTCTCCATCGACTCTTTCCAAATACACAACTTTAGATTGCAATTTAAAATTCTAAGTCTTGAATCTAGCAGATAATTTTCAGACTTTTTACTTCTCTACAAACTTATTCATAATCCATTATGTCTAGTGGTCTGATTGACAAAATTACTTCTTTCAATGAATTATTCTTTGTATGTAAGGTCTCGGCTGAAATGAAAAAGTCTATGTCACGAGCGGGATTCGAACCTACGACCTTCGGCTCAATACGCCACTGCTCTAACAACTTGAGCTATCGTGACTTCGATCCACTCGGACACCAACTCCCCGTCTAAACCTACAACTTTTCTAATTTTCCCTCCTTTTTGCCATTTTTCATTATTCATAATACATTAGATAGCTTTGTACTTTTACTTATCCTAAAATTTCATATTCCCGATGCTCTACCAGACAAATTATCACTTTTAATATATCTTCCTCTATCAAATACTGACTACATTAAATGGAGTCCTCTTCCTCAAGCCATGTGACTTTTCCTGATATAAACTTTTTTATCCCTAAGGCAATACAGATTATTATACCAGTCAGGAGTGTTCAAGGGATGATAGATTTATTTTCGTATTAAATGTTATTTGTTAAATATTATTATATAAAAATTCACTAATTTCGTGGTCTGCTTGACCAATTAATATATTACAATTAATTAAGGTATTTAGTTGAGATAAAAAAAGTCAATGGCACGCGCGGGATTCGAACCCACGATCTTCAGCTAGATACGCCGCTGCTCTACCACTTGAGCTATCGTGACCTAGATCCACTCGGACACCTAAACTATATCAACTATATAAACTATTTTATCTCAACTAAAAACCTTAATTAATTGTATTATATAAAAATATAAATTAAATTGGATATTTATGTATAACTATTTGTTATATTTTGTAATTGGGTTTTTCCCTTATAGTAAATAAATATGTTTTAGGATTGCAGCCCTAACAAATCTATAAAAACACAATAAACAATAAATGTAGTGGCATGGATTAAGATACTATTAGAACAAAATAAAAATAACTTATATTTGATTACTCAGACATATCAGTCTGACACAGATTAATAACACATATCATAAAAAATGTGTTTTATTTAGCTTAAAAACAAAAATAAAAAACACAGAACATAATATGTAGCAAAATTTTTAGTTTACTGATATGTACAAAAATTTACAAAACACAATTTGGTATACATTCATTAATTTTTTTTCACCCAGTACTTGCAATTTTCTTGACATTGTATATGTTCTTGGTCTAAAATTGTGCAAAAATTTAAAATTAGGGTAGTTGCCTTTCAATTTACAAATTTTAAATGAGAAAACAACATGATAAAATCTTTAAAAATTTTAATTGCTTTTTCTTTTATGTTTTTTATAAATCAGATACTGGTTTCCCAGACGTCCACGGTGTGTTATGAATCGTCCATATCACAATGTCAACCTGGAATCTGTATTAATAGCATTGGGTGTGGTATCTGCTGGAGTATTGATGGCAGTGCTCATCTTAATCTTTGAGTTTCTCTTCAAGCAAATGGCAAAAATATTTCATTTAAAACAATATTAAATAAGCATAAGGAATTTTTAAATATTCGCACATCTGTAATTTGTCATATAATAACACATATCATAAAAAATGTGTTTTATTTAGCTTAAAAACAAAAATAAAAAACACAGAACATAATATGTAGCAAAATTTTTAGTTTATTGATATGTACAAAAATTTACAAAACACAATTTGGTATATGTTCATGTAGTCTTATTAAAATTTTGATGCCCGGTGTTGAGAAGCATCTTCACTCTTTTATGAGCAGGTTTTATCCTCAAGATCTGCTCTTGCCACTCAATGATGTAGTCGTCGAAACAGTCATCTTCTAGCAGTAAGTATAAAGTACGGAGTAAGAGATGAATGAGCTGCCGAAAAAGAGAGAGAGCGCATTGATGCGGCGGTCTAAATATCACTACTGCTCCAACCGCATCAAGCTCCAGTTCGGTCTGGACGATTCATCCGATCTCCTTGGGACGGGCGGTTTCCAAGATGATTCGACATCAGGCGACTTGATGGATATCAAATTTACCACAACCGGGATCACAACTTCTTCCGACACATCAATTTTGGATGAGTTGATATTTAAATCCCGGATAGAATCGCCTACTAGGTCCAATATCAGGCTCGATCTCATGGATGACTCCCTTTTTGACTGCGATCTTTCGACAAACCGATCTCTTCTGGATCAACTTATCAAAGAGGATTTAGATATTATTTTTCCAAGAGGAGAAACGAGTGGGCAAACTGCAAGTGAGTGCGAGGGACAGCCTTTGAAAAATTTCCCCTCAAATGATGAACACGGCTTTAAAAATGAAGAAAACAAAATTGACAAAGAAAAATCAAGTGAATTTGGAAATGAAACCGATCATATGCTTAATAACACAAATGATAATTGTTCTGAAAAAATATTTATTTGCACAAATGTACAGAGTCAGGAACCAGTTGCAGATAAACAAATTAATGAGAATGATGAAAAAAATTACAATGAATTATGTATTGGTCAATTTGCAGATCTTCCTTGTCATGATCCACAATTCCATGGTTCAGATTTGTGTGAAAATGATTGTCAAACAGTATGCTATGAACAATTAAATTCAGTTAAGTTAGATGATGTTCGTTGCAACAGCAAGAATTTATTCAATCCATTTGAAGTAAAAATTGATTTAGGTTTGCCTCAGCACAATGATTTTCATGCGACTTTAGCTCTCAAAGCTTTCCTGAAAATCAATTCGAGGCAACCTGTTGTGGATGGCGAACAAAAACATCAACAAACTGAAAATAAAGCATCACTTTCTTTGTCCGATTATACAAACGATGAAGATACTACAGGAACCGATGACTACACGGAAAGTACATATCCCAAAAAGCTCATTTACAAAACACCATTCAAATCTTACTTAACTATGAAAGCTCCTTGGAGAAAACTTTCATACAGGAATCATTTAAAAAGATTCAAATTCAAAAGTAGATTACATCACAATTCAATAGAATCTTCCAAAAATGAAACAGTCCCAGTCAATTCTTTGTCGGATTTTGAAAAAAGATTAGAAGAAGTTGAACTGAGTGTCAAAGCGAATGAAAGAAACAATGTTAAACTTAATGATGATCTCAAAGAAAACTCTGTGAAGCTTTTGTCCCTCGAAGAGAAAATATTGACTTTGAAATCGTGCTCGTCCTTTGTGTCGACCGAAGAGAATACAACTTCAGAGTGCACTTCAATCCCGTACAACGACTCGGGAAATACGGTAACTGAACCTTCTTTGGACATCAACAGAGATTCAAAGCAGGATGAAACAAACAAAGCGCCTTGCATAGAACGTAGTGAAGAATTATCCCAAGCTACAGGAAAAATGAAAAACTTGAAAGGTAATTCATGTCCTTTTTAATTGTACAAATTGTTAAAATTTTAGTGTTTAATGTTTCATACAAAATTAAATCATCTGTTTACAATATTATTTTTGTACAGCAAATATAGTTTATCTTTGAAAAAAGAGATTAAATCTAAAAAAAAAGACTACAAGATTTAGATTATTTTTAATTAATTAAATATAATACAAAATTAATAAATTTGTGCTTCATAAATTAATCAAACTTTGTAGAAATAACATGTATAATTTATTCGTCTGTATTTAAGAATAAGTAGTTAAAAAATTAATTGTGTCATAGATTTAAAGAAATTTTTGCAACTGGAACAATTGCATTATTAATATAGGTTGTTTTGCCTGAAATGCTTACATATAGTTATAAATGCTTATGAAAATAAATAAATTAAAGTAGAGTGTAAAAATAAATCTTTTTCTTTAACAAAAATAACCCAAAGCGCAATCATTACAATTATATTAATTTAAATGTTTCAGGCGTTTCATTAAAGCGTTTGAAGAAACACATTTCATGGCAGAACATAAAACCAGCAAATCTCAAATTACATGCATATTATCACCTTGAAACTACGAACTTCTCTAAAGCAGAGTATGGCCATTTGAACTTTGGTACCCCACCGATTAAGTCCTTGGACAGTTCGCTTAAATCTAAAAAATCTCTATTGAAAGAAAATGATTATAAACCGGAACAGACTGTATCCGTGGTTAAAAAAAAGCCCATCATCATTAAAAGAGGCGCCAAAAAGGGCCGAAGGTCTTTCCTGTACAAAATGGACTCACGCAGAGGAAGTTCAAAAGAAAAATCCAAGTCTTCCGAAATGGAATTGAAAGAGAGTTTATTAAAAGTAATAACAGAAAACAAAGAGTGCCCGAACTCTCCAAAAAATCTTATTAAATTCCCAGAAGAGAAAATTTACAGTCTTACCATCCAGAAAAATAAAATGGACAGCTTTGAAACTTGTACCTCACCAAATAAATCAGTCATTCTTCCACTCTCAGAGTTTAAAAGACTGTCCGAGGACAAATTTGACAGTCCTAAAGTATCTAAGAGTAAGTTGACTATAGAATCAAAGCCTCAACTTATACAAGACAATGATGTTTTGAATGATGAAAAACCAAACAATGATAAAAACTCGGAGGATAAAGATCTTGATGAAAAAACTAGCACGGAGACTAATATTTCAGAAAGAGGTGAAAAAAATAGCAAAGTAATTTTAATTTTGGAAGGACCTGACATAGTGCCAAAAAACAAAATAGAAATTGATGTATCTGTGATAAAAGAACTGAAGGAACAATTACTTCAAGATGATTGTTTGTCAACAGGAAGTGCGAAAGTCTCGGTGCTAAAAAGTTCTTTATCCACTCAATCCTTGCTGGATAAGAAAATCTTTTTAACACCATCTTTGAGCAAACTAGAAGGAATCAATATCAACTCCAATGAAAACTCACGTTCAGATCCCCCAACAGATTTCTTTTCAAACAATTCAAATAACACAGACTGTCTCAACGAAATAAATAATCTTGAACTCAACCAAAATGAAAATATTTATAAGTCTCAAATATTGAACAAAGTCTGCGTGTCGATAGACAAATTGGGATCTGAAAATACTAATAATTCTACAGAAGGCACTTCGGAAAATACATTGGAAGAACATCAGCGAGACAGCCGATTGAAAATCAAATCAGAGATAAACAGACTTATTGATGATGTTATGGAAAGAACAAATCAAGTTTTGATTAAAAACAAACAATCAGATCACTCTATTCAAAAAATTGCAACACCATTACCATCAGTGAATAAAGTGCATGATCAAATGGTTCCTTTGAATATTTCAAGTCCTGATGTTTCAACAGACAATTCAAAAAATAAAACAGACAATCACTTAGACAAACAACCTTCTACCACTGACCCAAAAATACTAGATGTATCTAATTCTAAAAATGTAATAGTTGATGGTGGTTTAATCAATGACAAGATGATTTTAAGTAACAGTAATTTAACAGCTAAAAATTTTGATATGCCTGAAATGACAGAATATGACAATGTACTGATGCCTCCAAGTAAAAAGCTGGAAATCTTAAATGATTCTGAGCAAAATGAAGTGCAAAATACAATTGAAAAATCTTTAAGTAAATCAAAAGTAGCATTGCAAGAAACAACAGTTGAAAAAAAATCAATTGCTGATTTTCTAGATGTTTACAATCCAACTGAAATCAGTTCTTTTGAGAAAAATAACTTGCCTGTTCAAGAGTTAAAAAGTGATGTATTAAACAAAAAAACAATAAAATCTCCCTCTTTAACGAGAAAAAGTCAATTTTCATTTGAAGGACAAGTTGATTCCAAAAGTGACAATGAAGAGACAAATAACTTTCTTATGCTAAAAAAGCATTTGCAGGCAAAGTTAATGTCTTCAAATTTAGAACCTATAAAAGAAGTTTCGACTGTTACACTCGAAAAAAACTGGGATCGCATTTCACAGAAAAAAATTACGTTAAATATATGCGAAGAAAATAATCCTCAGCTCTGTGGTGAAGAAGAAGAAATAAGTGAAAAGAAATTACACTATTTGGAAATTATTAAAAAGATCATGTCAGAGATATATAAAGTATCTGTAAAAAACACCGAATCAAAAGAAAAATTTGAAAATATGGAAAATATAAATTTAAAAGATATAATCAAGCTTGAAAAGGACAGTTCAATAAAAGTTTTGACTGATGAAAATCCAGAGAGTATAGAGATGACAACAATGCACTTTGCTCATTCAGCTAATCATTATAAACCGCCTTTTGATATTAATTCTAAGAAGTTAGATGTTGAAACTCCACAAAATGAAGAAACAAATGAAGGAACTAAGCTCGTTTCGCATTCTCTTGCAGGAAAAACAATTCTTCTTCCGGCAGAGAGAATGTTCAATAAAAAAAATAATTTAGAAGACCATTACACAAATCAGCCACCGAGGCCTGTACAAATTGGAAAGAAAAGAGAAATTCAAAGTGAACAAAGTTTCAATTCAAACAACGAACTGAAACAAATCCTTCCGTCTCAGCAGCCAATTTTTTGCCCATCTAGAAACATACTACATCTTGATCAGTTTGGAAAAGACTTTCAATCAAAAACTCCTATTGTTCAATCAAATTCACCAAAAATTCATAAAGAAGGCAAAACTTTAATTTCTCCTCTTAAAACCCAGGATGCCAAACTGAACGTACTTGAAAATCCAAAACAGTTCGAAACCCATGAGACAAACACAAATACTTCGAATAGTGATAATCATAAATACTTAAAAGTTTTAACGCCTACAAAATTCAGATCAAACAAAGATGAATTCAGCCGAGTCGAAAGTACAAAACAACTTGAAAGAGAAAACGAAGCAGTGAAGAGCAAGCATGGAGGTGTAAATATTAGAAGAGAATTGAGAACAAAAATATTAAATCTCAATCCTCAAATTCCTAAACAAGAATTTGTATATACAAAACCTTGCGATGAAGCTGAAACTACAAACAGTACAACAAGTTCCACTGACAATCCTAAAACTGAAAGTATAGAAAATACAATTCACAAGACAGAAAAGCTTTTCAACAGACTTGAAGAAATTAAAAACCTTACAGTGAAAATACAGAAGAATATCAATAATGTGCAAATGCCAGGTAAAGAATTTACAGAAAAACTATGCAAAAATTCACCATCTACAAGTAGTGCTTTGAATTTCCAAAATTCTAATGAAGAACAGTCTTGTCTTACTAAATCTCAAGGTTATGAGAATTTAGCCGAAGAGTTTGGCATAAGAGAACGTCCTCCCAAAAAATTTACACACTCACCTCCGACAACACCAGGTGGAAAACCTTTGTTTTGGAAAGACATACTCCCAAAAAAGACCAATTTACAACCGGCATTTAACGAAAGGTGGAGGCTCAAAAAACTAAAACAAACTCAGTCACTTGACGATGCAAGAATCCACATGGATATGTCAACCCAGATGTCCCCAAATCAAACCAACCGGGGGATTTTATGCAGCAAAAAACTTTGCGCTGTTCACCCGAACGATGAATCTGATGGTAAATTAAAACCTGAAGTTCTGAGAGAAGCTTTAGACAAAGCAATTAAAAAAAATATGATTCAGCCACATGTCACTTTTAATCCAGATTTATCTTTTAAGAATCAATCAGCATTGATAAACAAAGAAAGTGAGAAGTTATTGGATCAAAACAACTTTGAAACAAATGCAAATGAAGTAAATGATCGAGACAGTAGTAAATCTGCAGATACGTCTGAGAATCGAAAGTCTGTGTCTACTCTACGTTCTAGTAACTCTAATGAACGAAGTTTTACCAAACTTCATAGGAGTCCAGATGCAGGAAGGAGTGGGCTAATATTGAAATCAGAAAATGAATCCCTGCCTAATCCTCAGTTAATCGGTCCTTCAAAATCAGGGTTGTATCTGAGTAGAGATAGAACTGATATGGATCCTCCGATTTCCACTCGACAAGACCTCAGTTACTTGACAGGTTCAACTTGGGATAGAAAGAGCTCCAATCCACTTGGGCTTATAAGCAACCAGTCACAAAGAAAACATATTAACGGATTAGAAAGAAGAGTACCTTCATCCATAGGTCTAATAGGCCTTAAAAACCCTCATGGCAATCAAACCGACACCACCACCAACATGTTTCATGGTCCACAAAACAGGAGTACTTTAATTTTTGAAAACGAAAATATCGAATGTGGTTCAAGTGAGTTTTCAGACAATATTGAACATTTTCACAGTTCATCCTCTAAAAACTTGATTAAACAATTGGAAAATATAAGAAGCAATGTGAATGATAAAAAATCAAATTTAAGCATATTCTCAACGAATTGTAATAAATATTCAAATCTTCAGAAAAATGATTCTCAAAAAACGTACAATGTATCAAACACTAAACCACAATCAGCCAACCAGGGTACAACGACAAATCATCCAAGTCACCATGAACTGAAGCCTGCGAAAAAATTTGGCATGGATACAGGAGAAAGTCCTCCACCTCCTCCTCCTGTGGATATTAAAAACAAAATGTCAATAGAATCAGCAGAAAGATTTCTGAATAGTCTACCAAATACATCGAAAAAATTGAAGCAAACGATGTGCCCATTGGCAACACCGAAACAGGTAGGCTATTCCTGTAAAATATTGTAATATTTATATTAAACTTGGATATCTGGGTATGTAAAATCTAGTTATTCAAAAGTTGTTATATGACTTGTTATAACAACACCATATTAATTCAATGCGACAAAATAAAATGTTTACATACTCAATGTAAAGATATAAAAAAAAATTCTATAATACTCTTCTTATATAAAAAAGTTTTTCAAAATAAAACGAAAAATCTAAAAGATTTCTAGACGTTTTAAATTTATTTTCAACAAACTTCAAGAAAATAAAAATCTGGAGATCTTAGATCTAATGCACTTGCAAACAAACAAAATGGCCAAATCTTCCAACCTTTGTTTCTTTTTTTGTCATCAAGATCATGTTTTTATTTAAAAAAAAAATGTTTGTGATCAAAAGAATATTACTTATCTGTGGATATTACACATCCTGTCTCGTTGCTCATAATAAATCGCAGAGTTGTGCTCAATCTCATGTGCCTTCAATTGAAGATAATCAGGAAACCTACAAAAAATATGTACACAGAGAAACACCATGCAAAAAGGTAAGTAAAAAACAGCAAAACAAAATATTGTAAAAATTTTAATATCTGGCAAAAAAACTATATTCAATGCAACCATAGAATAACACTTTTTAATGTTGCAATTTAAATTTTGTTTCTTTACTAATTTTTTGCAACTTTGCTTTCTTGATCAAAATCCCTCATAATATTTTATTAATGTCAATATCATACTAATTCCCACCCATGTTCAATCAAATACTTTTAAAAAATTCTCAAAAGTCATTTTGTTTTAAATTTATTTAAAATATTTCAGGCACAATATTTCATACATACATCCAACCTCCAAGTAAAATCATTTCTTTGTAAAATCCTTTTAAAAATGAACTAAGAGCCTTATAATTAATTATAGTTTATGTTTTGTTATATTGTCACTTAAATTATGTGTACATGTATTTAATGTACTAGTTAAACATTTTAAATAGTTCAATAGCTTAATGTCAATTTCTGAAGAGGACTGCTTGCAAATTGTCCACAGTATTTTCAACCGAAAACCGCGGTTCCACAGTACTTCCAGACCGCATCTCACAATTTTGGAATAAGTATTTTCAACTTTTGAGAAAAATCAAATACTTTAGCAATTTGACTTAAGTTTGACTTAAGATTAATAAAAGTATGTATTAAAAACAACAGTGGTTAATTGTTTAATTGTTAAATCTGAAGATAAACTAAAAGCATTACTTAAAAAACAAACAGGGAAAATTTCAAATGATTTCATGTGTTAATGATTTTTCTAAAACGATTTTTTTTATAGTGTTATTTATATTATTACAGAAGGGTTTTAAGATAAATCATCTCAGCCTGGCAAGTAAGAGAATATCTACTTTTCAACCGAAACAAAATTGTCTTTTGTGTAATATTAATTTTGATCACAAACACAGTATAGTTTTTTAAATAATTAAATCAAAAGATGTAAGTGTAAGTGCATTTGGTACGAGATTCATACATAAATTACTTTAAAACTTGGAGGTTTGGTGTGTTTTGGTTGTTTTGAATATATAAAAAGGAAATACCCTAAACATAAGTACTTTATCGGTACTTGACTTTTAATAAAAATATCCAAAATCATGCTAAAAAGTAATTAAGGGTTTGTTAAATATATGTAAATTTGTTTTTATTTAAGGATGTTTCTGTACTTCTTAAATTGGTGCCTTTGGACGAACAAAAACAAGACACTAATACAAGGGAATGTCTGATTGTCGGGAAAACGGTCAGCAAAAGTTTGCGTAGAATGGATCCTTACCAGGCCATTCTGGCCAAGTCGCTTATCGGAACCGTATTGACTAAAGGGCTATTGAAGAAGCTAAGCGAGGGGACCAAGGTTCAAGAGGCCGAAGGGAAGAAACTACTCGACAGCGAGGAAAATTCTAAAATATCTTTTTCGCACCAGATCGGGACGGATTCTCTCAAAACTCCCGATTTGTCGACCACCTCCAGCACGTTTCACTTTCCTTCCCTTGAAGATGTGCCGTCTCTTAACACATTCCCACCCCAGGACCACACGATACCATTCTCCATGAAATCAGATATTTATATTTGTAAATGTTATAAATGTATTTGTGAAACTGTTGATGGCGCGAAAATGCTTTTAGAATAAAATCTTTTGTCTTGTTGAGCTTTTTTCCTTTATGTTTCAAACATTTTCACCCAAAAATTAAACACTCCTGAAACAACACTTTTACTATTAATATTTTATTCTGTTCTTATTTGATTTCTGACAAACATTTTAGGAGAGGCTTTGTTCACTTTCTCCTGAAAAAGACAATAAGAAGTTCATTAAACCAACAAGCTCTGAAGAAAGCATGGTATATTTAAACATATTAAAATAAAATTAAAAATTTTGTAATATAAAAATTTACTCTTTTAGTGTAAAAAAGTGGCTGGTCTGTTTGAGTGTAGTGTAAATTCTGAAAATTCATCATCCACAAAAGTAAATTGCAATCAGCACGATTTAAAATCTATCCAATACTAAATCTAAAATATTTTCTTTTTATTTAAAGGAATCGGGACTTGTGGAACAATTGAAAGGAAAAGAAAACAATAATAATCCAATTCAACAAAAATCAGCATTATCTTGGTTGAGTCATGTAAGTACAACAATATTAATTAAATCATAAAATCTAATATTCTTATTACAGCTTTTATATAAATAATAATAATAACTTTATCTAGGATTTGGATAGGGCTAAAAATTCTGAGGTTTGTACAAAATTGTTAAAATTATTGCATGATATTTATTTATTTTTAAATTGTAGAAATCACAGAATAACAATGAGGATTCTTGTAAAATCCCAGTTAAGGAGGTAAGATGATTTGCAGCAGTTTATTTTATTTTTTAAATTTATACTTGGACCTGTGTGATTATATTAGTAAGATTCAAGTAAAATATGAAAGAAATACTTGTTTTTAAAAATGAATATTGTTCTTAAATAATAAGCTCATCATAAAATATTTATGGATGTATTTTATTTTTTTAAGCGGTTCAAGTATTCTCCCAAGTCATTTTTTCCATGTGCAGCAGCAAAAAATAAGACGGTAAACTTTAACCAATAATAAATCTTTCATTTACATTAATATTTTCACTTAATTTAGAGTATGAAAGAGAAATTAAAGACAATGCCTAAAAAAGAGAAAGAATTTCTAAAAGACCCAGACATGTTTAAGGAAGTTGTATGTATTATTGTGCGTATGTTGATTAAATGTAACAATTAATTTTACCTTAATAAACTTTCATACAGTTAGGACATGTTAGAAGGATGAGGCAGAAATATGCAAACATGGTCGAAGAGGCGTTGAAATATCCTAAAAATTTCAAAATTAATTCTTCAATGACGCCGTTTACATATCCAGTATTTCCATTTTACGACAAAGACAGAACTGGCATATCAATAAGCAGTAATGATTTAAATTTAGACACGGCATATAAAAAGAGGAAAGATATATTCTATAAATTTGTAAGTACAATGGAAAAAATATGTTTGAAAAACTTGTACAAAACCATGTTTTTTTTTGTCCAGTTAAAAATGATGATGAAAAAAGTAAAAGAAATAGAAGAAATGGAGAATAGGCAAAGTTTGAACAGGATTGAACCTCTTGCAGAGATCAAGGTAATTACTTATTTTTATGAAGAATTTTATAATAATATATATTACATATTTTTAACTTCCCTTATTTGCAGAATAAAGATCAAACGCTGTTAATATCCGACAAGCCTTCAGTTTCAAGGTTTTAAATGCAACATAACTTTCATACCTAATGTCATATCTGTCGAATTTTAAATTTAATTTTTGTTACTTTAGACTTGACACTGGAGTTCAGACTGTGAGAAACATAAGTATTCAAGCGAGTTTGAGTAAAAGCTTAGAATTTCTACAGAAAAAAACTTACACCAAAGAAGATTTAATAGCCGAATTTAAACCAACTGAAGAGATCATTAAAGAACAGAATAAAGAACAGTCTGTCTACAACATGAACCCACTTTATAAAAAAAGCTCTATTTTAAAATTTAAAAATCCAAAAAGGGCTAAGGAAAAGAGCTTTGGGAAAATTTCTAAAACATCCAGGTCAAAAAGCAGATCTAATAAATCGGATGAGTTAATCGCAGAAACTAGCAATATCCAGAAACCAGACCAACAACCCAATTTGCCACCGGAAAAGAAACCCATTTTACCACTGGAAAAACAACCCGTTTTGCCACTGGAAAAACAACCCGTTTTGCCATCAGACAAACAACCTGTTTCCTCTTCTAAACAGAAACTGAAAACCAAGGAAAAGTCAACTGAATCTATTAATGTTTCAGACTGTAAAACCAATACTTCAGACAATAATAATAGTAATAATGAAAAAAGAAATTCAACAACTCCAAACATTTCAAACATTTATGGGTTACCACCTAAGAATGTAAGCCATCATGAACATTCGTCTTTACTTATAAATTTAAAAGATAACAATTCACATAGTAATTCTGCTACTAATCTAGATAAAACGATATCATCAGATAATGAACGTCCTAAGTATAAAATAGCGAATGTCATGTTGGATGATGAAGATATCGTGAAGAACAAGAAACTAAAAGAAGCTGTGATCATTTTAGGTGATACTCACGGAAAGCGAGAGGCTGTTAAAATCAGTATAACATCTCAACCTTTAAACAAAAACACTTCTGATAAAAAATTACCATTATTGATTTCATATGATGAAAAAATGGAAAAAGAGAAAAAAGAGAAAATAAATTTCCTCAGCTTGAAGAGTGTGAATGATATCATATCACACATTGAAGCACAAGTAAAAGAAAGAATCTTTGATGAATCGGCTCGAAAGAATAGTTGTTCATTTCACAAAAGTAGTTCAACCAAAAAAAGCTTTGCAAGTCATACTAAAAAAAGAGCAGTGCGTGCACCCAGAGCGAAACCAGTATTAAGCACAGGACGAAAGCTAAAGAAAAGAAGTTTTTTTGGCACTGTATCTGAATCACCGGAAGAAGCAGAAAAATACTTGAAACACAGGAGACGGAAGTGCAAATGTAACCGAACGCCCAGTGAAACATATTCAGTTGAGGAAAAGAAAAGAAGTAAAACCAGTTTATTTTCAAATGAAAACACAAAAACTTCGCGTGATAGTAGACAGACATCAAAACATAGCCAAATGGGTAAATGCACTGGTAGTAATATGACCTGTGCAAGTTGTTTGAAGGAATTTAGCCAAAATGACAAAGTAAGCAGTGAAGAAATGTATTCTCACAATGGATCATCACATGACTACGAAATTGTGAAAAAATGTAAACCAACTCTCGTAAGAATGAGAAAAGAAAGTAATCAAAGTACTGAAAAAAGCTCAGCTGAAGGTAAAACCACTCCGACACATTATAATAAAGCTGAAGTAGTAAATGAAAGAATGAAAAAAACTAAAACAAAGTTTGCAGATGAGTGTTACAAAGGAAATCACTATGTCAACTCAAACAGAGACAAAACATCAAAAGGAAATGAAAGTAAGGTAAAAAAGGTCAATAAAAGTGTGAAAACCAATTTTAACGATATAGAAAATGAATCTAAAGACATTAAATATAAAAGTTCTGTTGAAGCCATAATCCCAAGAAAAGGAGCATTGAAAAATTCAACAATTATAAAACCAGCTTCCACGGATAGCGAGACAAAGATGTATAAAAGGGCAATTTCAAATGATTCCAAAGTAGAGATTAACGAAGTTCAAAGCACAACTACAATTAAACCTAGTAGAGTCACAGTACTTTCTGATAAAAATGCATGCCTGTTGCCAAAAAATTCATCTCTATCAATACTTAAACACACGCTTGATGAAAAACCTGAAAATATATATAGTGATTACATAAAAAAGGCCTTTAAGTCCGATGAGAGTTTAAAAACTAGTATGCAAATTATTAATAAATTATTGTCACAAAGGGGTGTAAGCACCGATGAATCGAGTGATGTCAGCAAATCTACTATTGTATCTGAAAAAAGCGTAAAATCAAAATATAAAAATGCATCTGCATCAACGAATAAAGCAAATAAAAAAAAGAATTTTTTTCCTCGGGTAAAACAGCCACGAGGGATGAACATTTCGCTTTATGCCTGTTCGAACATCCAAGACGAAATGTCAAAAGGAACGGGGGTCAAACAGATCGCTGAACCTTTAAACCATGCAAAAATAAATGACGTCTTGATCAATGGGCAGAAGGTAAAAAGCCGAAAGCAACTGAGGAAAGCAATCTACACAGAAAAAAATCGTATTCCGAATATTGAACTCATTAAGAAGCATAAAAAAAAAATTACCTCTACATCTACAACACATCAGATGGATACAAACCCATTAGAGAAAGTCAATAAAAATACCAGCACGGACACCGTAAAAGAGAAAATGAATGTAAAATCTACAATCGCGTTAAATAAAAACTTGAAAGGCAGAAGCAAAAATACAATCCACAAAGAAAAGATGTCCGTCACAAAAACAAAAAGTAAAAACAAGCTTCCACCTGCACATTCAGAAAATGTTGGCATGTGTCTTACAGAACCAAATGCAAAGGATACAATTGACGCTGTGATTAATGAGAATAGTTTCACAAATATCAACCTAACAGAACTTATTGATAAGCTGACAGTCCTCGAAAGGGCTGAAAAAATGTTAAAAGAAAAGACTTCAGGCTCAAAAAGATACTGGAAATACTAAATAAATTGATTTTTATACTATTTATACAGCACAATTTTAAAATTTTACATTTAAAATAGGTTTATTATCAAATAAAAACTGTATTAACATTTTTGAGAAGAAATTATTCAATAATGCATAGTAACCTTAAAGAATGCCAGTAATTTATTTTCGCTATAAAAAAATCTTTTTTGGTCACATGTTTCAAATTCATAATGATTTTAATTGTTCTAAATAAATTTATGTTTACAATTAGAAAAATAATTTGCTGTGCATGTCACTTTAATCTGGATTTTGGACATATTACCCTCTAGATTTCAGTTAAGAAATATTTTGAAATTTCACCATAAAAAATTAACACATATGATATATAACAGAAGATCTTTCAGAATTATTTCTTCAAACACATTGGCATATAAATACTAAACATTTTGGACACAAAAGTTGAGGATCAGAAGTCTTTCGGAAATGGTAATATTTTTAACAATTCAGTATGTTTTCAAGTGCTCCTCCATCTTTCTACCAAAAATTTTTCATTTGCATGTTTTAAGACTACAGGAGGTCAGGGGTTCAGTATATTAATCAAATTAAGCATTAAGTCATAAATAAGAGCCTTTCCAATTTAAATCAGAAACAAAAAGCCAGACACGATGAAGAAAGAAAACAGAGACAGAAAGGATTTAAACAAATCTTATAAACAAAAAGTATTATTTTAGGCATGTAAAACTTTAAATGTGGATATTATACAAGTGTCTTTTCTGCAGAAAGTAGTGCCAGCAATGAAAACGTATAAGAAACAAAAGGATAAATCAAGCACAACATTCGCTAAGTACAAAATAAAAGTCAAACCAGGAGATAAATGCGTTAGGAAAAACATTAAAAAACCAAATATAATTCTAATTAAGGAGAATGTAAGCTATGCCTAATGAAACCTCTATTTTTTTTATTTTTTTTTTTTATTGTTTTCACGATAGGACGATAAAACTGCAGCTGCTCTTTTTCGGAGAAAAAGAAGATATTTCAAGATATTGGTAACACACTTTTGAATAAAAAATTAATTCTAAGTTAACAATGAAAACTTAAAAATATTAAAATTTCTTAGAACTGTTATCTGAAATTCTATCTACCAGTAATAATGACATATGAAGCAGATATGGCTTTGGAGGACAAATTATATTTCGCACGTGTTAAAGACATGTTCATGAGAGTGGTAAGGCGCAAGTAGATAATTTTCTGTTTTAACTTGTGACCATTTGTTTTTTGACAGTATCATTACTTGGGAATGTTACAATCCAAATTTGGCATAGTCTTGGACGAATGCAAAGATGATCTTGTTGATAAAATGCCAAGAGGCGACAGCTGGGAGCTTGACAATTACTTTCGTTCTGCAATCAATGAGTTAAAAGATGACTGCTTAACGCCTGAAGACAAGAAGGAATTCGATGCATTTTTGAAGATTGTAAGTCTGATGTAGTGGCAATTAGACGTCTCATTTTGAATTATGTTATTTTTCAGCTGAACTGCTTGCAGAAGTTCAAATATCCTCTTAATGTGGTAAGAAGTTTGAGTCTTAGTGTTCCAGAAGGAATTGATTCGACTTGTTCTGTTTCTTTTTAGCCTGGAATAGAGTCAAAAATATTTTCAGATATGCTCAGAAAGTACTCGAACATCACAATGCTTGGTTACGATGGGCTGCTATGAATAGGCCAAACTGAAGTTGCTTAATTTAGAAATACTCAATTGGCTAGTCTATGCTTTCTTTCTTCCAAATGGTAATAAACGGCTTGAGACGAATTGTTATTCTCTTTACACTACACTTTTATAACAAAAAATGCATTAAAAACAAAGATCGTGTACATTTATGCAAAACAGATGCAAATCAGGCAACATGTGTCAATCATGTGATTTTAGTCAAGAATTATTATAAAATGTAAATGAATACCATTTAAAACACAAACATTATGAAATACAAGAGTAAATTAACAGTGTAGTTATTAAAAAATTATACTTTTACAAGATGTCAAATGGCAAGCATAATTCCAAGAAGAGCATGAAAGAACTCAAACCTTGGACACTGCCAAAAACAATTTCCATCGATTCTTGGTTGCAGGCTAGAAACGATTCTCAGACAAGGCCAGGGGGAAATGTAAAATGAATCACAAATGATTATTATTTCTGCTTAAACATGTTTGCCATGAGGAAATTATTTTGGATCGTTTTGAACGACTAAAATTATCAATAGTGTAGTGGTGGTCCATAAAGTTGGCTTGCTCATAGCACTCTTTTCCGTACCTAGAATTAAATATTCTTTAGGGACGGAAACATGAAAACAGGATATAATAAAATATACAGAATTTTATTTAGTACTAAAGGATAACTGAACTTGAACATAAAAGAAAAATGGAAACACATTTTATTGGATATAATGTAAAATTTATCCATTAACAAAAATTGTACCAATATTAGGGACTTTTTTAAATTACTACTACACTATTGAATTACTCAAGCAACATTTCTTTTTGCTTTTATTAATACAAATTTTTTTTTGACCAATTCATTCATTATCCATTCAACCATATAAATTTATGATTTATAATTTAATTGTACATTTTGTATTATTTTATGTCAATTACATTTGTGGTGTGTGAATAAAAATAATTCAAAATTGTTGAGAAAACGGAAGACCACTTAAAATATCTGTAATTGATTAATTAAAGGCATATACAAAATACAAAAAAATTGACCAATTTAATTTTATTCTAGGATGTTAGTTCTAGTGGTAGCAGTGGATCATATAGCATAGAATCTACTAGCCCAGCTAGGGAAGATACTTCAGTAAAAATTTATTAGAGATGTTATTAATTTAAATCTCAAAAAAAAAAATTAAAATGTAATTATTATTTAGGCACCGACTGTTGAAGAATTTTACCAGGAGTTCAGACCGACTTTATTTTATGATTGGTGGGTGCATATGAATCAACAGTTGCCACAGCAGCAAAACCCGAGGATCGTTCCCGGTAGTTCTCAGGGAAGAAAAACGCGCATTCCACCGAATCCCCCTTTGAATTTATACATCTGTCCACCTTTGATCATTCCCCAATTGGCACAACCTGTACCTCATTCAGTGTCATGGGTGAACAATTTTGAGGGATATCCGGCCGGTTTTTACCAATCGCCTCAGCACGCATTCTTTTCATTGCCGTTTTTCTCTGGTTTTAACTACACTGAAATTCCTTCAACTTCTAAAGTTTTCATCGAGCCTAATGGCACCCGGATCGAGCAGGGAACGAGCAGTACTGTTGAAAATAAAAATATTAGACAATCAGAAAACGTCAATTCTGAAAATCAAGTAACGGCCAAAACAAAAAATAAAGACAAATTAAACACGTTTGATAACAAGCAAAAACATTGCTTTAACAAAATTAAAATCGTAAGTCCATATACACAATAAAAAAAGTATGTTAAATAATATCATATACATGTAATGTATGTAGGAGGAGGCAATAGAAGATTCGGAGTCTGAAGAGGAACACGAAGATGAAATTGATTTTGAATTTTAATGTGAGAAAAACTGGCAAAATGAGTTGTTTCTGCTTTTAATAATGAAAAAAGAACAAATATGTACATACAAAAATAAATAAAGCAAGATGATTCAACATGTCTACTGTTACTTCATTGAATACCCTTTTTATTTTATATGATTTAATTTTAGGGAATATGTGTCTTTTAAATTTTTACCAAGTTTTTCTGTATAATTCTTGATCTAGCTAGCTATTTCTAATCTATATAGACACAATTCTCAGGTTAAAACTAAATACTTTATTAGTACATTCTTTTCTTTTTGATACAAGACACTAAAAAGCCCAGTCCTTTTTGTTTTTATTGCATATTTTTAAAGGCACAAAGCATTATGATATTACATGAGAATAATAAATTAGTTATATGCCCAAAAGGAATTTGTTTCTGTACAGTAATACTAAAACTACTAGTTTTAGTGAGTGTAAATTTTGTAAATTTTAGTGAGTGTATATAAATTTGAGATAAACGTATGCAACAAGCAAGGGATTTTATTTTGTATGAAGGATCGAAGTACTAACATATATAAAGGGTGACAATGTTTTAGTCAATCAGACATTGAAAATGTGCATTAAAAAAACCCACACAAGCAATATTCACATGTTTTAATAATTACACAGGTGTTTTCAGCAAATATACAAAACAAAGTTGAACATGTAAACTGTAAGTACAGAAAAAATATTGAGTTGCCACTTCTGTATCGCTAAATAAATGTTACGTTGTTAAACCTGGATTTTAGAAATGAAACAAAATCCCTAGGAGGGACAAAGTATAAAGGCAAAGGTCACGGTTTAAGATGCCTACAAAGGAGGATACGAAAGCAAAAAAGGCATCAGGCAAGTCCTCGCATCATTGCATCTGCCACAAAGATGCGAAGAAAGAAAAGAAATCACAAAAAAGTAAGCAGATAAACCATTCGTCACAGCAGGGTGCTTCAAAGGGTATGAAGCAACGATCCCCTTTTTGTGCAGGCTTCCACTATAACACCCGAAAAGTATGATGTGTATAATTAAAATGTTTCGGGCTTGTGATAAATAATGATATTTTTCAGTTCTCTTATAGTTTATCAAGCTCTTCCTCTGAATCAGAATCTTCTGAAGAAGTAAATAGTTATTAACTAAGAAATTTTATCGATTGTTCTAAAATATTTTATTTACAGGAATCGTCATCGGATGAAGATGAACAACCAGCGATGCAATATGTTCCCCAAATGGTAAATTATTTTGCTACATTATTCACCAAATCTGAATTAAAGATAGCTCGTTCGTTGTCCTGCTTCCCTGGGATTTTTTGTCTTTGGCCTTTTAATCACATTTCTTAGATCGAACTAAAGATAGAATACATAATAATGTTCAACAAAAATATACTCCAGGAACAATGAACATACAAATCTATTCATGTCATAAAAGCAAATTCAAATTTTAAAAAGACAATTTTTACATTATATTAAACAAAAAACTATGTTTTTTCAGTTGATGGACCCTAATATTTATTCGTACTATGGCCAAGGACCGCCAATGGTAGGACCTCTGATGGTAGGCCCGATGGCTGGTTCTGACATGGGACCGGCTGTAGGCCCGCTGATGGGGGGCCAACCAATGGCATGTCCTTCAATGGGATATTCCATGGGCCCTTCAATGGGTTACTATCCGCCTGCACAGATATATTATCAGCCACCGCCGATGAATTGGCCACCAGTACCAATGGTAAAAATGTCACGTTTGTAGATAAATGTTTATTTTATTTATTTTTTTATTATAGATGCAGCAGGACCTTCGACCCTGTCCGTTTGGACCACAAGTGGTATGTTTTTATATTTTAAATAGATTTTTTTTCTTAAGTTTCATTTTATTTACAGGAACTAACTGTAGGAGGACCACCCGGATATGCTGGAAATCCATATGCAAGCTCAGTTAAGGTATATAGTTTTTCATTTTTTTAAACAATTAATTGTGGCTCTAATTGTGAAAATATACAAAGTAAACACCATTATCTTTTCAAGAACCACTTTTAAGGCCATTTCAAAGGAAAATATTTTTTTAACGATGTTGTCTCATCATCAATTGTCTAGATTATACTAATGGTATTGATTTAATATTCAATAAGTGTTCAATATTTTTTCTAAATCAATTTGCAGAATGTAGACTCAAGGTATGCATTCAACGTCGAACCAATCCAAGAGTGAGTTGTACAATTTTTAAGCTTATAAAAATATATAAATTCTAATTTTTTAAATATTTTTAATCTCAGAGCAAGGAAAGCGCAATGATCACTGATTCCAGTTTACCGAATAATTTCACTGAATATCCTCAATGATAATAACAGAATTCCAGTTCCACTAGGTAAGTTAATAATTAAACAATAAATAATTAATTTAAGTATCATTCATTTTTACTATTTATTATAAAAACAAAGTTTTTTTTTTTTAAATCACAGCCTGATAAAATTTGTCAATCTAGATTTTGGGTTGTTATTTTGTCAACAGCGAGTTGTTATTGTTCCAAGTTTCGAACAAACTTGACCACTGATTATGTGAACAAGGTTAAGGGGGGGGAATGGGGGAAAGGTACAATTTAATCAATATCTGTTGACAAAAAATCCAAAAATAATGTTAGTAACAGCAGTCAATCGAAGAAGTTACATTTTAATTCCTGGTTATATTCAATTTTTAAAAATCAAGTTCGTTATCTTGCATTTTTTTTTAATAAATAAAAAATCAGCGTAGGACAGTAATTAAATGATGGCTTAAAATTATCTTGATTTTCCTGGCCTGCCTGTCAGTTTTGTCAGGCCAAAATCACTGATGATATGTACGAAACAAGCTTGACGGACAAAACCGGTGAGAATAGGCAGATTGGGAACATCAAGCTACTAATTATCAGAATATTTCTTTTTGATTTGCACCATGTGTTACCATTAAAATGAAAAATCATCTTAATGTGCATAAATACAATACATGCTTTAAAATTTAGGCAAGTAATACTAGAAAGACAAGTTGCTCTCAAAACACGATCAATAACCAAAGAATTTTATACTGTAGTGGTTCAATAGAGTAGGTAGAAGCTATCTTTTGAAGAAATTCTCTATAAATTTAATTGTTTATGTTGGGTGATTTCATTTTAATTAATCATATAAACTCTTACAATTTGAATACTGGACTGACGGCCCACATAATTTTTTTTTTTTTATACATAAACAATAGTTATACAGATTCAAACATTTTCATATAACAATTATTGTACTATTCATTTGATGTAAAAAAATACAATTTAATTTAGTGACAAATTGTCATTTCATAAAAATGATATATACACAGTATTTGACAAGATCTAAATATCAACATTTTTTACAATATAAATTTACATTTATTTGTATTATTTTATTTATATGCCTATATATGTAGGCTGTGAATGTGTTTTTCACATAATACATTATTACAATGGATTTATCTCTTTAAAGGGGTTGATCAATAATATATCACTTTGTAAAACTTTAGTAAAATAAATCTAGTGTGATCACATCTCTCAGTTTGTGTCGATGAAGAAAGCTGAAAATGCAAATATAAGGAATACTACACCTCCAATCATTGTGACCGAGCGGACAGATATCCTTTGGGCGACGAACCGCCCGCCGATGACAGCCAAACAGGTGCAAATTGAGTGGCCGATGATGCCTCCCAATGTAACTCCGCAGACGTCTTCCCTCGCAGCGAGTAAAATAGTTGCGAATTGCGACCGGTCACCCCATTCTGCAAGAAACGTCAATGTGAATGCTTGAATGACGATCTTCGAGACGAGCAAGAAGACGTTTTTCTGCCCCCTGGCGCCTGACTCTATGTCGCCGACTAGTGCTTCCTTTTCAAAATCCTCCTCCCTCTTACGCAGGTCGGACTGGACCTCATCGAACTCCTCCTGGCCTTCGTTGGGAGACATCTTGTATCCCTCGTAAAGCATCTTGAGACCGCAGAAGGTAAAAAGGGCGGTGGATATGTAATAAGTGTACGACTTGGGTATTATGGTGACGGCCCAACCGAAGACAACAGACAGCACGGTCATGAGCGCCAGGGCGGACATGGCACCGATGAACACCGTCATCCTCGAATGCTTCATCGCCATGATAGCAGCGATGAAGAAAGTCTTATCGCCGATCTCAGAGACAATTATCACCGAAAACGAAGCCAAGAAGCCATGGACGAATCCGAGGCTGTCTTCAGGTTTTTTCACATCTTCAACTAGCACACTCACCAAAGTTGTGACAGCTTCTGCTTTTCGACCTTCGTCGTCGAACGGCTCCTTTTCGGCGAGGGAGCCGACAAACGTACACAGCAACAGGAAGACATGACCGCCGTTCAAACTCATCACTGGCAAATATTAAACACTGGAAATATTTACCTGAAAAATTCTGACTCCTATGTCAAATCATCGCCGTTTCAACTATTTCTATTGTCTAAAGTGTATACAATCAGTACCCACTTCACCGGAGCCAGGGTCAGCACCTCTGAGCCTGACTGAGTGCTGAGGTTCGTGTCACTTCATTCCACGTCACGAGATTCCCAGTTTCCTATTGGAAGATGTTCGAATTCCATTGAGCAAAGGGGGTAAAGTAAAGGTTCTACAATTAGTTACAATTGACGCCACAACCCCTCCAAAACTTATTATTTACGGTTTAACATACTTATACGGTTTTGAATTGGAAAATTTGAATAAATCATATCCATTTATCCAACAGATATACGTTGGTTACACACATTGGCCACTATTAGGCCGTAGATGTGCAGATGCCGGATTTTGGCGCCAACGATCCACGCCCATAGGCCACAACTTAATTGTCCACTAATACACAGATTATTGTAATAATGTAATAAAATTCCTTTCATTGTTAATCCTGCATTATTAGATAAAGCGTATTCTTGAATTTATGAAAGAAATGACTTCTGCCTTTACAATCTTCGTAATTAAAACTCTACATCAACCATAATTTTACAGTGCTTTCGGGATTTCCTATTTGGAAACTTGAAAATGTCTGATTTTTCATCCTCTAGTTCTAAAAAAAGATCATCAGGTCTTAAACTAACCTAATAACCAACTCTTATCAGACCTTCCTGTCCGACATTTCTCAAGGTGCAATTTTAGGCCTACTAATTTCTTATTCTGTTTCTCCAGCTGAGTTACAATATTTTATGGTACAATGGTAACCAACTCTCTCTTTTCTTTGTCCTATTGTTAGCTTCTCTGTACCTCAGGGCCTTGTCCATTGTGGATAAAATAAGACAACAAATGCACAGAAACATGATAGTCTGGTTAGCAGTCATGCTACCAAGAATACTCGATATTCCTCGGTGTAATTGAGAAGAAAGCCTTCCATTCATGCTAATAAATTACATTCACACTACCCAAGAATACTCGATATCCCTCAGGGGTACTTTGGGATATGCCCTTTCATTCACGCTAATAAATTACACTTAACATTCATTCACACCCCAGAGTACTCGGTATTCTTCGGGGTAATTGGGAATAAACCCTACCATTCATGTTAATAAATTACATGTATACAGCATATTCATTAACACTACCTCTGATTACTCGATATTCCTCAAGGTAATTGAAGATTTCCGTTCCATTCATGCTAATAATTACACTCACGCATTCATTAACACTACTCCAGAATACTCGATATTCCTTGGGGTATTTGGGGATAAGCCACTCCACTCACACAAATAAATATATTTGTTCCAATAAATAACATGTATTACATACATGAAGACACAAAATCCTATATACAATTAAAAATATTTATGACCCTGAGATATTGGAACAGCGATTGGTGCTTGCTGCCAGGGCTCAAGACCGTAGGTCATTGAGTATGTTGTATTTCTTTCTTTTCTGACTTAGTTCTTTGCAGTCTGTTATTATTGCACTACCATGATAAACTCTCCACATAACAGACACCTGCTTGGTCTCATCCCCATTCGAATGTGGCCATGTGTAATCTTGGTATGACCTATGCACAACCAGAGGTTTCAATTTTAATTAAAGACCTCCCTTCTTGTTTAAATTACTCCAAATTTTACTTACATGTTGATTACACCTACATCTATGTCCCCTTCATTTAATCTCTGATTCCATTCAACTCATTAACAAAGACCTTTCTAGCTTGGTTAATTGGGCTTCTATCAATGGTCTCAAACTTAACCCACTCAAATCCCAATTTTAATTATTTACAACACACCAGTGGAGGATTTTGCTTGCATTTCTCTTGGTGGCTGTTTAGTAGTTTGTTATTGTTATTTCGTAGTTAGTTATTATTATTTAGTTTAGTAGAATTATTTTTTAGTTAGTTATTATTATTTAGTTTAGTAGANTGGTTGAGAATCGGACCATGGACAATATGAACTTTTTTGTTCATTTTAGGGTGAAGAATCTACTGGAGAAGTTTGTAGCACGAGTAGCAATTCACCCTGTATAGCTAATATATGAAAATATGATCCATATATCGGTTTATGTTAATGTTCAGTTTAGACATCATTGAACATTAAAAATATGTATATTTGGGCGACAATGTTTTTATTTATTTATAAGTAATAAATAAAATTTATAAATTCCAAGTTGAGAAACAGTGATAAAATATGTAATTTACAACTTGTATTATACCAAAATAAAATACACTTTTTTAAATTTCAATTTTTTGTAATTATTTATATAATCTGATGTGAAAATAAACATTTCTAGTAAAAAAGTGTATTATCTAAAACTAAAATCTTATCTTTTATATTTTCTGTTTTTACCAAATAGACAAAAAAATCATTTCTTTACTGCTATCAACAATGCTGATTACTTAATTATTTGTTTACATCACTTCCGATGAATAATATAAGAAACTATTTCACTATTTTTCAGATTATGTGGTCTCCAACAATGCTGTGCTCTACTTTGAGACTGTTGAAGTTGTATTCTTTTAATCAACCTTCGCTGTGACCCGACGGTTTTGGTCGGCATCTGAATAAACCAGTCGACCTTTCCTCGAACTGTTTCAAATTTATTCTCTATACAATTATATTAGCTTAAGGACAAATTAAATATGTAATTTTAAGGAAACTCATGGAAGTAGTTTAGTTTAAATTTAATGTAGGATTTAATATAAAATACAAAAGTTTATACATAATATGATGGCACATCACGTACTTTTATTCCATGTTGTTAACTTTCCATAATCCTAAAAGAAAATTATTTTTTTAAACAAAATATAAATTTTTTAAATTATTTATTTACCTTCAATTCAAAACCAGAATCATTGAGTTCGTTTCTTAGAGAATCACAAGCATTTAATAAACTATTTTTATTTTCAAGTATTTCCTGAAAAAATGTATAAATAATAAGGTTAAATTTTGATTATTTACATAAATCAATTTGGCCAAACCTTTGAATTTTGTTTATTAATGCTCAAGGCAACCTGTCTCACTGTCGTTCTAAAATTAACGACAGATTCAATCACACTGTCCAATCTATAGCTCAGCACACTTTCCTAAATATTTATGAAAATAAGAACAAAATTTATATGAATGAAATTCTTTAAGTTTTACCTGATTATAAGAAAAGCCAAATTTATTCAAGAAACTGCTTACGTAATTTGAAATAGCGAGTATAGAGTATGAGGGACTTTCTGAAACTGTCTAAATATTGCGAATAAAACAAAGAATTTATTATTATTTTTTTATAACTTACTGTTCTATTTTGTAGCTGTGAATTTGTTTCAGATAGAAGTTTAGTCACATGTAAAAGTGCGGAAGAAGTGTCAAAGTCATTACTTAAGCATTTCAAGACAGAATTTCTTGTATTTTCTAATTCCTTAAAGAAAAAAATTAATTTTTTTTTTTAATAATAGGCATTTCATATCTTTCCTCATACTTTAAGCAAGCTAGATTCGTTAATTGAGACCAATTCATTCCTTTTAAAATAAGAATTGCAGTCTGAGAGAAAGTTCGTAAACTTTTTTTCCACTGCAACTGCATTTTCAATTACCTCTTTAGAGTACTCAATGGCTGTAAAATTTAAACTGTTTGCAATAATGAAAAAATGTTTCGAAAAAAAATCTTTCTTATTCAAAACTTGAAATACATACGGTTTCTATACGGCACCATCATACACAACATTCTTAAATGGTTTGCTGAATACTCGGAGAGGAAGTCTTGAATTGATATGGTATTATTGAGTGATTTGGACATTTTTGCATCATCGCTTTGATGTAAATGGCCTGTAAAATTATTTGATTAATATTAAATGTATTAGTTTTCTTTTTTTATCCTAGCTACCTGTATGTAACCAATAATTAACCCATTGGTCTATTTTGTGATGGGCGCAACATTGGGCTTCTTCGTTTTCATGATGAGGGAATTTCAGGTCAATCCCACCCGTATGAAAATCTATCGTAGTCCCAAGAAGCTTACTAAAATAATATATGCGTTTTTTATGACTTTTTAAATAATATAATAATTATACCTGGCTATGGTGGAACATTCTATGTGCCAGCCGGGCCTGCCAGGGCCCCACGGACTTGGCCAACTCGGCTCGTCTGGCTTTGCACCTTTCCACATAGCGAAATCTCTGTTTGACAATTTCCCTCCACTTTCCTCCTCTTCACAAGTGCTTACTAGTTTCCCGTATGCCGGGAACTTTCCTGTATTGAAGTTCACTGTCCCTGGATTTAAAAAAAAATTTAGATTGTTTGAAATATACGGACCTGTCAATTTAAATAATTCTCACTTATATATGATTTTTATACGAACAGGCCCTTGAAAAATAGGAAATGTTTTTTTGTAGAAAATTTTTACCCACCATCTGGCATAACATACCCTAAACCGCTGTCAACAATGACACTTATGAATTTAACAATATCCTCAATGTAATCAGTGACTCTCGCTTTAAATGTTGGCATTTTTATATTGAGACTGGCCAAATCGTTAAAAAACTCCTGTTCATACTTTTTCGATACATCTCTGAACTCGACACCAAGTCGGTTCGCCTTGGCGATTATTTTGTCGTCTATGTCAGTCACTCCCATGACAAAGATGACATTAATACCGAAATAATCTTCGAGTATCCTTCTCATCAAATCGTACTGCATGTAACAGCTGAAATAAAAATATGCATATATGGGCTATGTATTGTTAAAATTTTAAAAATCAATATTGTGCTAGTTATAATATATACAAAAAACAAAACCAGGCCTTTATTCTCCAAAAGATATCTTTGTTACATATGTATCATATATCATAGTATATTCCTTTAATATCTTCCACAGTTATTTTGATTCAAGATGAATATGTATGGTACAAGGTAGTATTCAGAATGTAAAAGATATATCGGGTTGAAACTTTTAGAATGTATCACAGAAATATGCCAGTTTGTGCTGTACAATGGTAAATCTTAATCATTCATCTATGAATTTTTTTACCTGCCACAAATGCTGAGCTTTAAGACTAAAGTCAGAAACTGGTATTAATGGAAATAAACTAAGGAATATAATTCATATACTAGGGAAATATGGGGGGAGGGTACCATGATTGTCAAATGGTTAGGGTATCAGACTCGTATTGCCACGCTAAACGTTCTGGGTTCGAATCCCAGCAGAGCCCATGTGGCTTTTAAATTGATGATTGTATGAAAAATATATTGTAAAGCGGTTTGACTCTCTCCGCTTCACCTATCAGCCCTGTACCCTTTTGTGGCCAAACTGCCAAAAGCGTGGATCCATCAGTCAGTGGATTAAAAACAAGTCCTCTATTCAATGGGACTGTAGTCTAGAACAGTGGCATGTGAAAAATTAATCCAAGGGCAATCTCAGAAACTAACAGAACATCTACTAAATCTAGGATGTGTTAGAATAATAATTGGACTACTAACTGGACTTTGCAGACTCCAGAGGTATTTGAAAAGACTCAGAGTGGTAGAAACTGCTTGTGCAGATATTGCCAGGAAAAAGAAGAGACAACAGAACATGTCTCTGTTGGTGTGAAGGCTTATGTATGCTGAGATTCCTACTCCTGGGAGAAGAAAAGCCCGGGTCTGAAGGATACACATGAGATTCCTTGAAAATTTGAAAGAGCTTTGGGATCTGGTAAACTTAAATTTAATACGGAGTTCACAAGGTCCTGTAACAAAATACTCAGAACCCACAGGAAAATACACCAGTATCTTCCAAGCTGAGGTCCATGTAAACGAAAAATGGACCCAATTCAATCTAAAGGGTACAAAAACAAAAATATAGATATATCGGATAGCCAAGCAGCCATCAAAGCGTTAAGTTCAATCATCAATAGCTCAAAGATGGTGCTGAATTGCAAAACTAGGCTAAATAAATTAGGTTTGAAAAGCAGTGCTGGGTCCCAGGACATGGGGGAGTAGAAGGCGGAATGGGAAAGCGAACATCCTTGCAAGAAAAGGGCTATACTGGTGATCAGACTCGAGACCTTCTGTGGCATAGGAATCCACATTTTTCAATCAGCACCTCAGATAGAATGATAAAAAGAAAATGAAACAATGGAACTCATTCATTGGACACAAACAATCCAAGAAGCTTCTAACAAACTTTGGAAGGAAAAAGGTATCAGAATGCACTAAAGGAAGCAAGAAAAACTGCAAATCCTAAACAGGATTCTTGACAGGACTCTGTGAACTAAATAGGCATCTGAAGAAGATTGACATAACCCAACATAGTTCTGTAAGGTTCTGCAACCCTTCTGTGGCATAGGAATCCACACTATTAACGAGCATCTCAGACAGAAGGAAAAAAAGAAAATGAGGGAACTTTGGAATTCACTCATTGGACACAGACAATCCAAGAATCTTCTAACCAATTTTGATAGGAAAGAAATTACAGAATGCGTCAAGAGAAGCAGGAACAAACCGAATCCTAATAGGACACTGCAAATTAAATGAAAATTGGAATAATGATGGTACATGTAGATTCTGCAAGGAGGCAGAAGAGACACCAACACATTTATTAACAAACTGCGGAGCCACACTAGCCCACAGGAGGAAATGTTTTGGGATGTATAATGTGACCGTAGAAGAGCTTCAACCATTGAAACTGGGCCTCTACTAATCAAGTTTCTTGATGAAATAGAGCACACCGATGTGCTCTAGGCAAGCATGGGGATACAATAGCTCTTAAAAGGTGCAGTATACTCCCTGGAACCATATCTACAAGGTTCTAAAAAGAAGCAGAGTAAACGCCAACACATGTACTAACAAACTGGTGCTACTGTACTCCTGCAGGCAAGTGTTTTGGTATGTACAATGTAATCATAGAAGAGATTCAACCTCTGGCTTACTAATCAAGTTCCGTGATGAACTAGGCCGTGATGCTGTAGGTAAAGAACGGTACAATAGCTCTTAAAGGGTGCAGTATAATGTAACCACGACTAATACATCTACATATTGTAGATTCTGCAAGTTTCAGCATGTTTTCGTTAGGTTGAAATTACCATGCGTGTCCTATGTGAGCCGAGTCGTAAACGGTAGGACCGCAGCTGTACCACGAGAGGATTCGATCGCGTTTGGTCACCAGGTCAACTTTGCACCTAGTCAACGAATTGTGCACCTTCAATCCAGTCTCGAATCCATCGGGCTTTCTCCAGGATTTCGAGTAGTTTCTTAATAAAATGCGGAAAATCCGTCTCGCCGGCCAGCCTCTGCCAATCATTTTACAAACGGGAACCTCACCGATAATTATCTGTGAACCTCGTCTGATAATGTTAACCATCTGCGAACCTCGTCTGATAAGAGATTTTTGTAAACAAGAAAAACAGATCAGGATCGTTGAAAAATATGGCTTTGGACTCACAAGGAAACGTTTTGGTCGATGATTCTCCCTGTGCAGGAATCAGGGCCGATCTCAAATTGTGCCTGCTTGAAAGTGATTGTGTCAAAAAGGTATAATTAAAAAAACAACAAAAACATTTTCCCCACCACGAATTAATTACAATTTCAGATTAAACTAAAATTTGTAATGAGATTAGAACTAAAATTGAATAGGTGACTATTCAAACATTGTAACTATCGGTATGTCTGTCACCAGCCAAGATCAATTGTTACAAGTAGTTATAGTTGAAGTATGAGATTTCTTGGATCTACAGCGTAAGGACCATGCAGTTTAGTCATTTCCCATAATTTTGGTCTGCTTATCTTCTCTGTTTCATAGAACCAGTATTAAAGATGACGAGAAGCTGAAACGGATCTGACAGGAATAAAGAGACCAAAATGATCAGAAATGATCAACATAAAGTTTTAGTTGAGGGGTCTACAGGGTGATTTAGTTTAGGCATTTCTGATCATTTTGGAGGAAAGACCTTGGTATGACATTAGACATACGCTCGTGATGGTAATGCACGAAAAAAAAAATCAGAAATAACCAAAGCAAAATTATAGTTGATAAGAGTTGGAAAAACAGTTTATTTGCTAGTGATGAATCGAATGTTATTTCAACAATCTCTAGGGGACCACGGTGTTGAGTGGTTATGACAGCCTACTTGTATTTGCCATGCTAGCGGTTGTGGGTTCGAATTCCCTCATTGCCCATGGGTTTTTTTTAATTGAATGTGATGTGGAAGAAAGTTATGTAAACTGATTTGGCCCCTTGTCCACTATACTACAATATGACAGAAATTACGTAATTCTTTGAAGCAATCCAAAGCAGTTTTTTGAGCATTTCAGAATGATTTTTTTTTTTTTGTTCCAAATAGAATTGTTATCAAATAATAATTAATTTTTTGATATCCTTAGCAAAGAAGGGTAGTATTGAATGAAGGATTATCAAACTGGACACTGGGTATACTTAAAAAATCAGCATATTTGAACCTAGTTCAGAAATGTTTATTTAACATCTGAAGAAGCTGTTATACCCAAACAATTTCATCAGATTCTGTGAGAACTCACATCCACTGTATTATGCCTTAAACTGTACATAATTATCTGAAAATGACTACAAATTATGAACAAATTGGTTTCATTTGTAGTAAGCGTCAGCTACTTCAAAATATTATGAAGGCACCATGTGCAAGCAATCTTTAAAATGATTATTTAGAAATTGTGAGATGTGGTCTGGTGTGATGTAAATTTAGAAAAAAAAAACCATTTTCTTTATCGTGCCAACATTTCGATCTTTATTCAGAACATTTTCAGGGCCTGGGATGTAGATGTAGTTTTTCAGTGTATAGTATACTGCACCCTTTAAGAGCTATTGTATCCCTCGTATCTGCCAAAAGCACATCGGTGAGTCCTATTTCATCAAGAAACTTGATTAATAGGCCCGGTTTCAGTGAAGGTCCTGGGATTTATACATATTGTTTAAATTATTCATAAGATATGACCATTAAAACTTGGTTTACCATTCCATCTTTTCAATGTCAACAAGTGAATATGTTATTTTATTGAGAAGTTTAAAAACATCCTGTTTTATACATTCTTGGATACTCGAAGAAAGGCACTAAAACGGCCTGGCGCCAAGTTGAAAAAAAAAAAAAAATTAAATGCATTAATGCAAAATCTCTGCATTCTTTTTCTTCTATAGCATTTATACTGCAGAAATATGACAGCTTCATAATTTAAATCATCACTGTCAATGATCAATGACAGGGATGATAGATATATTAGTCATGGTGTGTTGTACTGCTTCCTTTAAGAGCTATTGTATCCCCTGTTCAGTCCTAGTTCATCAAGGAACTTGATTAATAGGCCCAATTCAGTGGTTAAATCTCTTCTACAGTTACGTTGTACGTCCCAAAACACATCTTCTTGTGGGCAAGTGTAGCACCATAATTTGTTAGTAGGTGTGTTGGTGTCTCCCCTGCTCCTTTGCAGAATCTGTACGTGCCTTGTTAATGTTCCTTCCACGATTTCTAGTCACAAAGCAGTTCCGTTTATAGTAGCTCTATATGTAGATGGCCTAAAAGAGACAATTGCAATTATTCCATAGTACAGAGTTTTGCTATTGTTTAATTGAGTTTTATTTTATTATTTTAACTCTAAAGTGTCAAAAAGGATTAGGCAGTTGAATTGTTAAAAAGACAATACATGCATGGCAGACCAAGTGAATGTAAACAACCCACAAGAAATCTCATAATGTTTACATAAGTTGTTTTGTTCCATTAAATTTATCTTTTCTTTTGTTTTTCTTATTTATTTTAGCATAAAAAAACACCTAGGGAGTGCTTATATGGTTACGATGAGTACACAGCAGTAGACTGCCAAGCCTTGCGGAATTTGTTTTTTGAGTGTAAAAGATCATTAGTAAGTTTCTTCCTTACAGATTAATCATTGAGTCATTTTAATTGTACGATTTTCTTCCTACTTTTCAGCTGGATAACAGGCAGCGTTTTCGTGGAAGGAAAGGGTATTAGTATTAATAAATTAATAAGTACATTTTATTATTTTCTTGTATTAATAGTTTGTTGAATATCTGTCAAATAAAATTTGTTATAAAGCAATATATGATTAAATAAGTCCAACTTCTTAAGTTGATATAGAAAACCCAAGAATTTTTAATAAAATATCACAGCTCCTAGTGTACAATTTGTAGTCAATAGAATGTGAAGTTATGCTGGGTTCTTATAGTCTGCAAAGTGTTTCGTGAGGATCATGTCAGGATGATGATTTTCTTCCTACAGCTTATGAATTTTTGTGTAGTAAATAATGTGTAGGAAATAAAGGATTATTACTAAAAACCTGGATGATGTAGAAATGCAACAACCAAATAGCTGCAATAAATAAAACAAAGTATATGGTGAGTTATTTATTAAGTGAAAGTTCTTATATATCATGGACAGAGCTCATCAAGCTAGAGTCACCATAAATTTAAGATCGCACCAACCAGGATGCTGCATAATCGAAACTTTCAAGAATTTGGAGCATTACATGTGGTGACTGCCAGGGGCCATGACCCATTCTAAAAGAAAGGGCTGTCACCAGGCCTCTGAATTTGTTTTTCCTCCCCTTTGCCCTTGTTTTTGCAACCAATATAAAAGAGGAGTATTGGAAAATCAAATCAGTCGAGCCCTGGGTAAAAGGCAGAGATGAATCAAATAGAGTTGACTGATGAATATCCCTAAGTCGAGACCAGGAAAGGCAGAAGATACAGAAGGATGTGAAATTGGTGTTAGCTTGGGTAAGTGCTTGTGAATCCACTCACCCCTTGGAGTTGTGACTTACAAGTTATAAATTTAATCAATGTAAAGACGATGTGTGTACAAATCTTATCTCGTTTTCTGACCTTTCCTTCCTTCTGCACAAAAAGTAAACAAGCATAGGCAATACTTAAATTTACCAATCTATCTGTTTCTGCATAAAAATATGTACAGAGGCTTTCTAGTGCAGGAATTCAATTTTTGAGAGTGCTATCCTGCCCAATGTACATGCTCAGTGGTTGTCTGATCTTACAATTTTTTTTCTCTTTTATAAAGAATAATTTAATTTTACCACAGATCAAATTTAATCACAAAATAATTTTTTCCCAATTCGGCAGACAAACATTTGGTTCATGCCTAAGTCTAACCTTGCATAAATACACCCCTGTTGAGCCTATCACTTCTCATCTAACTAGCAATTCTAGATTTTTGTAATTTACTATAAATTACCAGCAAGCCTCGAGAATCACCCTCCCCAAGTGCTGCCAGTCCTAGGTCTGATTTCAGTCTTAACCATTCAGCTGCTGAGGTTGAGGGCTCCAGAGGCTATCAGCTATGTCGTGATCCCTCAACACAATCAGTTCCTAAATTCTAACCCATTTACTCTCTCACATATCTTCTTATTTACATACCATTCTCTCAGTTAGAGTACTCAATATTCCATCATCGATCCTCTCACACAACCCATTTACACCAATCTGCATGTGCCATCTTGGATTATTCCAATCTTCTTTAAGTGTCCATTTAGCTTGCAGTGTCCTGTTAAGAATCATGTTAGGGTTCACAGTTTATTCCTGCTTCCGTTGACTCATTCTGTAACTTCTTTCCTTCTGAAATTTGTTAGGAGATTCTTGGATTGTTAGTGTCCAATGAGTGAATTCCATTGTTCGTTCATTTTCTTTTTGTCCTTCTGTCTGGGATACACATTGATAGTGTGGGTTCCTATGCCACAGAAAGGGTGTCCGCTTCCTCAGTGCTTTCTACTCCCATGTGTCCCGGGGAGCAGTGGCTGACTTTGTTCTACGTATCTAATAAGTTTAATTTGGTTTTGCAGCTCAACACCATCTTTGAACTAATGATATTTGAGCTTAGTGCCTTGATGGCTGCTTGGCTATTTGACATGATAGCTATGTTCTTGTTTTTGTACCCAATGCATGCAATTCAGCTTGGAAGTTACTGGTGTGTGGATGACTTAGGGATGACTTTTCTCCTATGAGTCAAATCCTCCGAGCGCCGCCTATTAACGTGCTCTTGTTACTTCAGAGCTTCTCTGCTGATCTACCACTGATGGTGCCACTTTCTTCTAATCATGTTTTTAATGGAGTTTAATGTAATTTGGGACATCTCACCCTTTTTTTTATTTTAACTAAAATAAAAACTTGGCACACACCATCGTTTGGTTAAAAAAAATGTTGAAAAAATTCTTTATTTCTAACATTACTTGTAAATAGAAAAACATATTCTGTAATAAAATATGACACAAATAATAAAGAAGTGACACTTTATTTCTATCAGATTTTCTTTTATACTAAGGAAGACAAAAAGATGTTCTATGTAAATATATGTTTTTTTACAAAATGGCACTTTTTATATATTTTATTTCTGGGGCCAAATAATTAGCAAAAAATAATATATTTATCTTCCATTTGGTGTTACATTTTTTTAAACTATTTAAATTGACAAAAATATACACATTTTCTGTTTTTCAAGTGTAAAAAAAACCACAACATATTTATAATGGTAAAATTTTAAAATTGTTCTGAAATATTAAAAATCAAGATATGGTTGAATTTATTTTATTCCCTACTATTTACTTAATTTAGTATACATATTTCTAATTTATTTTTTAATGATCCAATTCCAAATCAAACTATTTCCATTCTTCCTGACAAAACTTCTAGATTGTAATTATAAACAATTTTTAGTTTATTTGTAATAGCTAGTCTTCTTTTGGAAGTAGTTTAACAGTTAAAAATCTAATTTAGCCTTGAAAGTTTATTGAAAAAATAAAAATCAGCGAAGCTTCAATATCGTACAGCATCACACAAACATTGGTTTTTAAATTTTTTTATTATTATCCTTGTGGTAAACTGATAAATACACTTATAATAAAACTCCCTCACTTAATAAAAATATGTATTTACAAATAATAAAATAAATATATTTTTTAATTATTAACTCAATGTCTCGTTCTAGGTGAACGTGCGTGCTTCTTAATTTTTTTCATAAAATAAATGTACATAAATACAACATATATGGCAGTATAATAGTTAAATGAGTTACATAACAAAGTTTGTGAGCTTTTCTAACAAAACATGATTCGGTTTAGTTTGGGTGGAATGATTTCTCAAAAATTCACTATAAAATATGGTCATAAAGAAAAATAAACTTTTATTTTGGTCATCATCATCAAACTGAATGATTATTTATTATGTGATATGTGACTTGAAAGCGATATAAGATTTTTTTGTAAATAACTACGCATAGAATATATTTTCTTTTGAAAAATCTTATATACCTTTAAAATTGAGCTCTCAGTTTGGCGCTAAAGTTGCTAATAAAGCTGTAGAATATTTCTTTGTTTTGTCGATACAATAAACTATTATTTCTTAACTAAATTCATCTTATTTTATGTTAATTAATCACCTATATTCGATTGAATTCAAGAGGAAGACAATATTTCTACTTTTGAAATGTATGCAATCATTGTACTAAGGCTAGAAATAACTTATTTAACAGCCGATGATATTTATTGTTATTAAATACCCTAAAAGCACCAAGTATCAGTATTTCAATTTTAATTAGCATATTTGGCATCACAGCCTATAATTTTTGTATTATTAAACCACCTAGTTTTATTTATTGTTTACAATACAAACTTACTTCAACTATTCTATATAATAATTGTTCCTATTTTGTTCCTATATTTATGTTTTAATAAATAAAAGTTGCCAATCTGAGTGAATAAGATGGTCCAAATACTCATAAAGATTTCAATGAGATGTAATATTCTTATAGTTAATTGTGCTTTTTTTTAAATTTTCTTAGTTTGTTTGTAAAAAAAAATTATGCCTTCTCCGTTAGATTTCGAAAATGTACAATCAGCCAATTACATTTGCTTTTGATTGAGTTATCCTTTCTTCTTTGGAAAAGATAACACAAAATATAAGCAAGGCATACTTATCGTCATCATACTTGGCGCAACAACCCACGAGGGGTCAAGGCCTCCTTTAAGGCAGACTTAACCTTTACAACACGGTATAAATCAAAAATTTAAAAAAGCTTTAATTCATCAAGCTTTCAAAACTAGTTACATATAACAGATCAATTATATTTTTAATATCTTCTAAGATATGGTTTTAGTTTGATCATTTCTGATTTTACTGGGTTTTTTATGGTATTTCACCAACTACAATGATTGATCCGCGTATTATCTCATCATTCATCATCATAATCATAGATCTCTACTTCCCTCTAACCAGTGTGCGGTTACCTCATCAGCAATGACCTTTTTATACATTTGATAAATGTAAAGGGTTGAAATGGATTGTCAAAGGACAAAGGGTTTTTGGCAAATTTATAAAAAGGCCATGATTGTCAACTGACATTGAGGGTGGTAACAAATTGACACAGAATAAACAGACAGTATGATCATATTTGATCGAACTACAGGCTTATCACTTCCCAGTTCTATCCACAATATTTTAAAAACAAATTGTGTGATATTTAACTGAATACTCCAAGGTTCCATTTTTTTTAAACATCATGGTTTATTTGTTAAATATCACGACTTTTATTATAAAGTGCTAGGCAGCTTAAGCTGGTATCAATTTCAAAAGTTTCAAAATGATGTTGGCAGACGTACATTAAAATCACATGTGCTTTTTGCATAAAAGCCAAATTTATGTTGAATATCAAAATTTTCCACTTGTAATTTTTTTTTTAATGTGCTAGAGAAAGTATAATGGATTTTATTGTTCTTTATCTTTTAAATTTAACGCTAATTAATTGTAAAGCTTAAGATAAAATTGTACTGATCACGTTGTTAAAACGGACACTATGGACAATTGTGCTGGATTGGCCCGTGTCGAGATAGGTGCCACAGAGGCTTAGAAAACCGCAGTGGTTCTGTACAACCCCGTGTAACCACAAAGCCTGGCCCTCAGGGCCGGAATCAGGATGGCAGCAGCGGTGAGATCGTGCAGGAAGTTTGAGCATTCCACGAGTAGCAGGTACAACTTGTCACCATTCGAGACGGACTTGTGAAGGGTTATTCTCCTAAGCCCCACCGACTTAGGTAGCGACCTGTATATCATCCTTGCACCTATAAAGTAAATTGTTGTTAATTGTATTTGAAGGATTTTATTTTTGTAGTTATTTTCACCTGTCCAATAAAGCCAGTTCTTTTCGAAATTCTCGCCATCATCGCCCTCGAAGACTTTGTAAACGGAGACTATGAATCCTGTCGCGTTTGACCTAGGCCGTTTGGATGTAGGGTCGAGTGGTGGCCTGGCGATCGTCGCCACCTCGTTGAACAAGTCGAAGGTGTGGGCCGCCGAATATCTCAGGCACTTGGGGTCGAATTTCCTCAAAGAGGCCGCCCTACAGTTGTGAAAGAATTCGCCGGGATCCGTTTGAGCCTTGTTTATCACATAGTACGATATGAAAGGGAATTCAGCTGGAAGGAAAACGAAATAAAGTCAGACAACGTGTATAATTATACAAAAAGTGAAAAATTCACCGTTTTTCTCTAAATTAGCGAGAAGCATGCCTTCCATGGCGGTTCTGGACGCTCCGACTTCTGTCAGAAGATCACAGGCTGTGCTTTTTTGCTTGACGAGGGGCATGGACAGAGGCGACTCGAGGATTGGTTCGATCGGCTCCATTTGGGTCATTAGGTGGATCAAGACGCAGAGTTTCGGGTCGTCAACTTCTACGACAGACAGTTGGCTCTGTTTCGTCTCGATAAGTGGCATCTGAAAAGATTTATTAAATTTTCACCAAAAATTGTTTTTTAACCCAGTATAAACAGTTTTGAGGATAGAACAATACTGACAGCTTCAAGCGACTAAGACAGTTCAGCACAGTTCAGATTTATCTTACCTCTTTTTAAAGGTTTCTTTGTTATTTATATTTACAGCTATATACAAAAGATATAACAAGCAAATGTGCTACAAGAGGTTAAATTGCGTGAAAACCTTGAACAACGATGTACTACATCTATTGTCGGGTCTGGCTGATGGTTATCTCTTGGATACCGCCGTTACCATGGAAGGGTATGGGAAATGGGACTTTGGCAAAATACTAGTCCTTATTTCAATGAGATTTAAAGTGGCAGCATTTGTCATGGTACGGAAATTTTTGAATTGGAAGAGATCATATTTCTTTGACGTCCCATAAAGTTCCAGTCCATATTGCTGAATGAATTTTCTTCAGATTCTTTGTTTGGAACTCCTGTCTTATAAACTTTGGTTATTTTGTACCTCAGACAATAAGCAATTAAAGTTGAGTGTGAGGTTTGTAGTTTAAACCTCAGTCTAGGTACACTCCTAAATAGCATAAGTAGTTTGTCGATGAGGAAGAGTCTTTCGATATAAGGTGAACATGGAGCACTCACACTATGCACGAAACCAGCGTTCTAAGATGTGAGAAGGTGTTGGATTCACGGGTAGGATATGGCAGAATGACAAGATCTGTGTTGGGGGAAAGGATCGGCGAATATAAAAGTTATGGTAACACGGTCAATAGTTTAGAGGGACTGAGAAGTGGTGCTAGGGTAAATCCTCGAGGAACAACAGCGTGGTAAAAAGAACATTGGACTATGAAAGAAACCATTAGTAAAAGATGCCTCTCAGTTTTCACAAGCCAAGGTGCCATATCTGGTCAACTGCTTGATAAATTCTCTACTAAGGACTGAATGATGGTGTTTACAACTTGACTGGTACGGGTATGGTGGAATGGTAGTGCACTACACTTGGTGAATTGTCGGTATACTACTAGAGTCTTTCAATTTTTTTAATGTTAGTTTAGTTCCGTTATTAAAAGTGCCACAGAGTGATGATTTTTTGGTCTTGCTCTCGAAGGTCTTCACTTAAGTCAACTTGCAATGAGACCGTAAGTGAAATTTGCTTCTTTATTAAATAAAAAAAGCATAAGTTTATTACCATCACTGATAAATAACTACACGTCTTTCAGACACCAGGATGATCGGTTCAAGGTTAATAATATATATTGTTAATATATTTCACAATAAGTTTTTTAGTTTCAAAGAAGTAAAGTTATAGGCCAGTGGTGTTGACTATTACAATGGGTCCGCTTGTTTTATAAGTATTCTCTGTACTTACGGGCACTCCTGCTGGCAGGAATCTGTCGACGCTAGCCACCGGGATGATGAAGCAGTCTTTGTCCAAAGTCTTAAGTTCTGTGATTTCCGCTTTTGGTACTGGGTGAAGGGAAATCGGCTTTGTCGTCCTCCCTGCATATCCTTGGTTATCGTTCGTGAAGCTGACCTAAAGTCGGAAATAAACGTGTAGCATGTTTTTGAAAATAAAACAGGACATAGTGGTTTAATGGTCCAAAAGACAGCAGGGTAAATATATTTAAAAATTGACACGGCTATTTATATTAGCTTAGTTATTTGTTCAAGGGTGAACCGGTTTTATAAAGACGTTCTTTTCATTTAGATGCGTATTTTGCATTTTAAATTTACCCGAGTCGTATGAATGTATTGGGCGGAAATAAAATACAAAAGGCCCGACAGAGGAAGACATCCCGCTTGACCTACGACACGTTTTTAAACGTAGAACCACCCTCACTACCACGACAGGGCCAAAAGTCCTGTTGCTATTCTCGGCTATTAAGACGGAAGAAACGGGAGATAATACCAGTAAATTACGCAGCTGATAATATACAATTGGTGTGAAAGTTGAAACGGAGCCAGGAGCTAGCAACAACCGGACGGACGGGTATGCCAGGATACTTCGGCACGGGGTCAGATTAAGAACTTGAGAAAGTTTCTATCAGAGCGGCTAATTGCTTTGGGACTTGTACCAGAAGGTTCATCACTGGCCATGGTACTAATTAAAACTTTTCGCCTTTTGGCTGCCATCTGTCCTTTTACTTTTCCCACCGCCTTTTGGCGAGAGTTGCAAAACGTTCCCTTAGACAAATTAGCTGGACCAGGAGAAGAAATGTTCGCTGATTAAGCAGTATGAAATAAAACAATAAAGTGGAATAAAAAATTGACATGAATAATAACTAAAACTGTCAAAATTCCACCTATAAACAAGTAACAAATAGTTGCCAACTACTTTTAACTTCTGGAACATGAATAATCTTTTAGAATGACATGAAATATCTTTATGCATGAAAAATAAACCCCCCCCCCTAACCTGCTACTACACTATCATTATTGTTATCGTTAATGTATAATATGAAATAAAAAAAAGAATCCTTACTCAGATAATCAACTGGTTAGTTAAAACAAGTAGTGAGCCGTGCAAAATTTGGCAGTGAGTTTGGCCAAATAATTTTTCCCCGTCTTAGTTAAAAAATGACATTAATGGCTTTTTCCAACACATGGGCTCGGGATTTATTTCGTCGTGTTTCACTCGGCTGAATAAAACGAAATGTTTTCCGTTCTAAAATAGCCCAACACTTCGCAAACAGGGTTTCTTAAAAGAAGCTCAAGAAAATCCATTCAGGTGTGTTCAAGGAGTGAAAGTTTCCTTTTTCCCCACCCCTTTAGACTAAGCAGAAATTGTTTCGGGTGAATTCTATCTTTTCACAACCTGTTTTTACTCCTTTTTACTTGCAAAAAACAATGCCTGAAATATTAAGTTTATTTCTCAACTTATTTAAATTTCAATAAAATAGCAATGAATACATATTTATCCATGTAACTTAAATTATACAAGGACCTTTCTATAAAACTTATTAAGGTTATAAGGAAAAATTGAGAATGGAAAAAGCATTAATTCTACAAAAGAAAACAAAAAAAGGATCAAATCTATATTATAATGACATAAAAACCATTAAAATAAAATATATCAAATCTACTTAAAGCCAAAAAAGCATTAATATAAATCTTCAGCGATGAACTGGATTCAAAGAAAAACGTTAATTGTATTTTAATTTTTTAAAAACTAAGGCAATTCTTTCTTCTATATAAGCACAAAATAAAATTTTTAAAAGAAAAAAGAAGCGAAACCTTCTATAATAAAAGAAAATTCCGTCCTTAATATAAGAATCTTTATAAAATAAGATTTGAAAATATATAGTTCCTAATTTTATAAAAGGAACCCTAATTTGATTTGTGTGTGTGTGTGTGTGTGTGTGTGTGTGTGTGTGTGTGTTGCCTGTTTTTACCTTTTTGTAAGGAAGGCAATCTACGTAGTCATCGCGAGCTAATTCTTTTTCTGTCTTTCTCGTGTTTTATTCCTTCCAATTTTCATGTTAATCCAGCCAAGTTATTGGCATTATGTGATAGGTAACCGGCTTCTTTTTTGTTTATACTATTACTAGTCTCTCTGTACCTCAGGACCTCGCCAATTGTGAATAACAAATAATAAATACGTTACAAAAACATAATAAATAATACTTAATAGTCTGGTTAGCATTCGCTCTACTCCAGAGAGTTCGATATTTCTTGGGGTTATTGGGGGGCCCCACATTCGCGCTAATAAATTACATTCAGATATCAGACGTCGTTGCCACTACCCCAGAGTACTCAATATTCCTCGGGGTATTGGAACAACTTTCCATTTACGCTAATAAATTGCATTAACGCAATTATTCACAAATCTCTGAGTCGTGATATTCCTTGAGGTAATTGGAGATGAACCCACATTCGCGCTAATAAATTACATTAAAATTCATTCATACAAGCCCAGAGTACTCGATATTTCTTGATCTATATACAATTAAAAAGATTAATGGACCTGAGGTATTGGATCAGCGATCTGTGCTTGCTGCCCAGCCTGCAGGTCATTCTGGGTGACTTATGTCTTTCTTTCCAGACTTAGTGTTAGTTCTTTGCAGTCTGTTATTATGTACTTTATCGTTAATGCCTCTAACACCAACTCAGTAAAATACAAACTTTTTTATTAATATTTATTTGTATCCTATATATGAATACTGCTAATCATAGCTATATAAAGCTAGCTAATGCTGCGACTAAGTTTGTTATCGGGTTAAGGCCTCGTCTTGGGGCCATTGTCGTTTGAGACGACTTGTAGAGTTCTTGGGAAGTGGAGAGTGCTTGAGCAGTAGGGTTAAGACGAGCTGAAAGATGTAGTGAAACTTGAAGAAGCGGGAAGGGATCACTTTTTTGAAAAAGGGAATGTTAAGGTCATTGTGGATATTGAGGTTGGAGACATAGTAAGAAGTTTGAAAAATTCTTCTGAGTACTTTTGATTGAAATGCTTGTATTCGTTGGGTGTTAGATGGCTTGCGGTATCCTACAGCTCCGCTCCGTGTCCAAATATTTCGAAGTAAAGTTTTGTTCTTTACCGTCATGTCTGATTTCGGTGTTATAAGACTTCGTAGTTGTCCAAATAGTGTATTTAGTTCTTGTAGATTGAGTCTTGTGTGAGGGTTCCATGTAAGTCTACTTTATAACTATAGTCCTAAGTATTTTACTGTATAGTTCTTTTTTAATGTATAGACCTAAACAAGGCTTTGATTAAGGTGCACGTAATTTGGGTGCATTTGATCTCGTTCAGGTTTTTGTTGTCAAGGGAGAGCTTAGATCTGTTGGATAGTAGTCTTTTAAGTAATCGGTATCGTCGTGTATGGGGATTCCAGTGAGTCGTTTGTCTAGGTACAGCCCTGTGTAGCGGATGACCTTTTCGGTGGGAAAGGTGAGGTTATAATTTAAGGTTATGTTTTGGGATTTGTTGTGTTTAGTTTGATTTGCATTTTTTTACACCATTGGTCAATAGAATATAGGTGTGTCTGGAGAGTTCGGTGAGCGGTGAGTCGAATTTAAAGGGTAGAATGACGTATGTTAGGTAGTGGTGTCGGGATGGGAAGGGATATCAGTTGTATAAACAGAGTACAGTAGCGGGCCGAGGACGCTACCCTGAGGCACTCCGGCGTCCATCCTGTATCAGAGCAAACCCGGGTGCCAGACTCTATCGAAAACCTCTTCTGCTCTAGAAAGATTCCCTAGCAGCGTTCTTTCTTCTCAAGAGAGGACGCGATGGCACTGTTGAAAAAATTATTATCAATTAAATTTCCTTTCCATTGCCCTTTGATGCTATAAAACACATAACAATACATCAAAATGTGTTTGTTTTTAAATATTTTAGGTTTTTTTTTATAATAAGAACGGTTATAAATAAATATTCCCTAAATTAGTGGTAATGATAAAATTAGCCTTGGACGCGGGAAACAGGGCTGTGATTTATTCTGAGATAGATTTCATTTTCCTTGAAAGTTGGAAAATATTATTTCGTGTTACATTTTGTTGACTCTTGTCAAATTTTAGAAGAAATAATTTATTTCTGATATATATTAATGATCCGGCTTTTAGCAAAATTAATGCTCCCGTCTATGAAAAGGATGAACATTTTTTGATTAATGGCCACTTCCTTTGTCGGTATTCAAGGAGGGCGTAACTGCAGCGTCGGTATCTGATTGAAGAACCAACGATAGAGCGGTTTTGCAAAGGACGAAGCCAAAAAGACGTATCAATCATCACTAATGGAGGCTAGACCGAATGAAGGACGTTCCCTTTTTGTTCGAGTTTATTTATAAACGGTCACAGATTCCCCGTTCCGTTTACCCGGCTCATTACAGGGCCGAATTGGCAATTGTTTAACATCAAAGAATGAAGAATATTTGAACTTTCGAATGTAAGTGGGCTTGTTATCGCCCCGGTTCTATTTCCGTGAGGAGGGGCGCGTTTAATAAACGTTCCATCTACAAAAAGCAGGGCGATGATATCGCTTTTACTAACGAGGCCTTATCCAGAAACGCCATCATACTTTTTTTCCAACCTTACAAAATTGCACGGTTAATGTTTTTCTTAATATTTATTTACAATGTATCTATTATCCCTGTGATAGTATTAGAATTTGGCCACTAGCCATTTTTACGCATGAGAAGGAAAGGTCATCGAGTGCTATAAGTAGTTTCAATTTTAATACATAAAAAATTTATAAATTGTTTATGTTTAGTATTTTTATATTAAGGTGATGAACCGGCACCTTGATTCCTGATCATCATGTCATCCTATCTTATAGGTTTGTCTTTGCCTTATTCTGCTAGTCATGTCTTTTTAAGCCTTCTTAATTTTAGAAAGATAAAAATATAATCCAAAACAAACCACTGAACAAGACGATAAAACGACATAATCATCAATAATAGGCTGATCGTGATAGGATCTACTTCTTATTGTACAAAGAGGAACTCCTTGCTCAGAAAAGTTCACGACCTTTACCACCCCCATTTTAAACATTTAGATCCTTCATCTAATTAAAAAAAGACACAAAATGATTATCATTATTATACAGATTGAGCCAAAATTAACTTGTCATCGTGATGGGTTTAAAATTTATAATTTTGAAACTAACTCAAAAAGACTTTCCATGCGACCTACATTTCTCTAATTATTTTCGAACGTGTGTGTTTTATTCAAAAATAGAATTTATAAATCTGCTAAGCGAAGGAACTTAATAAAGATCGCTTGGCGTCCGAGCAAAGTTTGGTTTTGAAAAAAAAAATTTAATAAAAACAATGATATGACTACGACTTATATACTGCTAGACGTTCAAATATCTTCTTTGTATAGTTATTCGAATATATGTTAAGTCTTGTCTACAGAAAATGCTTAATTATGAACCTGAATTTTCGGATAACTAGGTCTCCCTGTTCTTGGATGTTTTATCTGTCGGATTCGTTAGAAACTATAAAAAGGACGTACGCACAGAACAACGAACAGAACAACCACTGATGATGGTGAACTGCCGAAACCAGTATGACCAGAGACGACCAAGATACGTTGTGGATGCTAATCGCTATTCTATTTTACTAATTCGCCCATAATCTTCCTTTTGTTTATTCATACAGATGCTTTATTCGACCGCAACACCAGTTGAAAACAGACCATTCTCCTTTATTGCTGTATTTCCCGGACGTTGGCATAATGTTGGCTCGGGCGGGCCCTGTTTATTGCCCAGTTGTAAATCACTGTCCGGAAATTTGATTATGGTTATGAATAGGGAGCCACGGGATATCCGTGGATCGGGGAGTCTGTATAGCCGTTTACCAGATGTCTGTAAGGACCATACAGGCTATAAATATGTACAGTTGAAGAATCAGATATTGTCCAAATTAAGCCACTGACGAAGGAAACTAAAATAAAAATGGTTTCATTATTCTAACGAATTATAAACAACAATTAATTAATTGTTTATCTTCATCAACTCCATAGACGTAGACAATCAAAAACCCAATTTCATAAAAAGTAATCTTTAAAAAAAGGATCGATTTCGATGTGCTTTTTTTGTGTTTTGGTTGTCTACGTCTACGGAGTGGATGAAGATAAAAAATTAATTTTAGAAACAACCTACAGAATAAAATAACAAACAACAGTATTATCAATATAAGAAGAAATCTAGATTATTCTTAACCAAAATTACACTATATTTTAGCCGTTTCCGATCCTCACATCACCCTGCCTGTTTTGACCTGACAGACCCATACAAAGACACCATTGAAGCTTGCGAAATGCCTAACCGCGATTGTGTATTGGTTTATTTATTTTTTTATTGTGCTTTGATTAGACTAAAATTAGCTGTTTGTTTTAAATATGCAGTGTTTGTATGGTTTCAATTTCATTTTTAATCTGTTTAAAATGGGTACGTTTTTGGGCTGGATATAGGAATTTTCTTTCGCGACAATTTTCGAGTGATCGATTTCTCGTTATCGGGGACGCTTGAGTTGGTAGGTTAGGTTCCGTTAGGTTAGGTTAAGTATGGTTAGAGTTAATATTAAAAACGAGATAGGGGTTAGAATTATAGTTAGGGGTTAACATTAGAAAGGCTTAAGTTAAGTAAGGTTAGAGTTAGGGTAGTGACGGGTTAGGAGATGGTATGTTTGAGTAAGGTTAAAGTTAGTGTTAAAACGGGTTGGGTTAAATAAATAAATTAAATTTAGTTCATATGTATGTTTTAAATGTGTCGATTTTTTGTATATATATAAGTTACATCCGAAATTTATAACTTATATATATTTTTTAGTTTTGCTAAGTGTGCTTATTTTATGTACAATCGTTTTTTTATTGTTTTATGTCACATGTGCGGAGAAAGGCGTCATATTTTCATCGAATCTAGGCTTATTGTTAGTAGTGACGTTCAGAGACTTCCAGGACCATCACACAACAAATTCATCCTCAGCAGGATCATATTATATATATTATGCAGGGTGGGCGACCAAGGCCCGAGGGGTTAAATGCCTGGGTAGGCTCGTCCCCCATCCCTAAAAGGTCCGGGACTTGGTCGGCTCACGTGTCCTGCATAAACCTCTTGGACCTGTTCACAAACCCAAAGATTTTGGACCATTTAATCTCGGGAAGTGATTTGGTGATGTTCTCTCCTTCAAAAGTTTTAAATCTATACCTAGCATACCTATCACAATCTGCGAGGTAGTGCCTTGCCGTTTCTTCTTTTATTTCGCAAAAGCGGCAAAAGGGATCTGGTAGGATACCCATTACGGATAGGTGTCTTCCGTGGGCAGTGGCCCGTCAGGATACCTATCAGCCTCCTAATTCCCTTCTCATCAGGAACATCACTCCTCCCATCTACGACAACTCTAGCTAACTATTTGAGACTTTACACTGACAAAAGATTTACTTGGAACTCCCTGACTCGATTCAAAATAATAGAACTGAACAGACGAGATTAATTAATTAAACTGTGGGGTTCAACCAAGAGCTTCAATCTCCAAAGAATCCAATCACACAGGTCATCCTACGAACCGTTGCCAAAGCTTCCTTCTTCCTAATCAAACTTACTACCCTAACACGGAGTTACTCAAAATAAGTTAAAATAATAAATCAGTCACCAAATCATTCATTAGTGACTTTGACCCACACACGAAGCTACTCAAAAACATCAAAATCAGTAGTTTCTTCAGGATATCATCAGTGATATGAAGGAACTTCATCCCAGTCAATTTTGATTAAGCAGTCACATTACTGTACTATGATCTCTATAGAAGACTTCATACATGCCATTTCAATGTCTTTCTTTCCGGTATCCAGGAAGCGTAAAGTTGTAACGGGATGATAAAATAATGTTTATATGTAGGTCACCTAACCTTAAAATCACCTGAAAATGGCCAACTTCAGTCATTAGTGATTCGGCAGCCGAATTGCCTGGAATTGATTACTAACGCGTCGATTGCAGTGCCCCATTCATTCTCATTGGAAGTGATTCTTTGTGGACTGCAACTTAGGTCACCAATCCGTTTCTTTTCAGTTGCTTCGTGAGTAGACGGTTTAGGTACCATCTGTCCTCGAAACTGCTGGAAGTGATACATTCGCCTCCATAAAACTCTAGACCTTCATCCCAATGAATCCATCCGTCCTGAACGCTTCCACACAGTCCATTAAAACTACTAAAGTATTAATGGTCGGGCGATTTTTTTTTCTAGTGTGGAAAGTGGATATTGTTGTGATAGTGTGATGATATGTGTAACATACTGGATTACTTCACTCTTTTAAAACAAAATTTAATAGCTACAAAAACTTAAAGAACTTAGTTAAAATTATTTAGAGTAAATTGTTGAATTGAATTATTGTTTTCTAAAATAAACGTAAAGAAATTATTTAATAAATTTGACTGAGATAAACCCATAGAGTTGTTCTGACTCCGGTCTATTTCGATTCAATTAGAACAAAAATCCTCGCACTACCGAAAATTTTGGCAGTTTAGTTGGAAAACAAGTTGAGAAAAAATATGTTAGTTGGCAGCTGTTAGTTCGATTTTAAAACAGACACGTGATCCTTGCACGTGCAACGCCATGTTTCTTCCTCTTGAAGGCAAACTAATCAAAAACATTTGCCCTGATAAGTTGCCAACTATATCAGGATCGGAGCACACGTATTCCCTTAAATTTATTATTAGGCCATATTCAATAACCTTGAAAAACCCGCTTTTGAAATAATCAACTGTTTGTCGATGATGAAGTTTTCAAACAGGAGCTGGGTTAAGGGATTGCTGCCAAAAAAGGGTCCAATAATAGCAAAAAGGATTTATAGAGCTGTCAAAAACAATAAACGGGTGTTTTATAGAAAAGTATCTGTATAACGAGTTTAAGAAGTAAATGTATAATAATGGTTACCTCCGGTTCACCGAAGAGGGAGGAGGATGGTTTCCTCCTCTGTTGAAGATTCCACTTAAGCTGCTGGATCGAACCGGAAGAACGTCTAGAGGTGAGCCCCCCAGAAATGGCACTGCCGCAACCGAGTTCTTCGGATTCGAGGGAAAAGGATGGCGAAAGGAAAATGTGGGTCCTGAAACCGTAGTGGTCCTCGAGGACGGCGGCCGCCCTCGAACGACCACCTATCTTGCCCTTCCTCGCCCTCGCGGCGGACTTGCCCAAAGATTTGCTACCGCCTCCGCCACCCCCACCCTCGTTGAAATTTTTTCGGAAAAGTATGTTCATCCCTCGGCGAGTGATGTCCGACTGGGGGACTTGGCTCGTGCCACGGCCCCCACTCGCCCCGGGGCGTCGAGGGGGCCCGTTGCCAGTACGGACCCGACCTAGGAACACGGCTAAACTAAAGACCAAACACTCATTTTTTTTTTAACAAAACAAAAATTGCGGATTAAATCACTTCACAGGTAAAGAACAATACAACAAAAAAGCACAAGCAAACACGATGGATTAAAAAAACAACCTTTGCAAATTTTTGAATTTTACACCCAAAACAAAAGAAGACAATTTGACTCTAGTTTAAATTAGTCTGAGATTTATGTTAATTGAAGAAAAAATTTAATAAAATGTATAGAGAATTGTAGTAAAAAGCTAGGCTACGCTTTTTGTTAAAAAGGGGCAAACGCAAGCGGTATTGTCAAATCTTTCGAGGACAAGGATGATTTTTGTTCGGTTTTATTTTCTCAAGCTGATGATGATCGGATGATTCGATCCGGCAAACCTTTGGGTAGTTATAATTTTGCAGAGGGGCGTTCTTCAGTTTCAAAAGGGCTCCAGTCTTTCCTTTCTTCGGCCTGTTTCCCAATTTGCCGAATTTCTCCTTTCCTCCGCCTCCGCCGCCTTCCCCGCTGAAATTTTTACGGAACAGAATGTTCATCCCTTGACCGCCTGGTCTCGACTGGCGAGGTTGGCACTTCTCCCCCACTGCCGTTTTCCTTTTTTCCCGTCTTATTCATTCACTGGACACAATCTAATTGGACTTGTTACATCTTATTTTAAACGTTTACCAAAGGAAAAAGGGTGCTTATTATAAAAATTGTACATTTTCCGAAGGTTGCATGGTCTATATCAAAAACGGACAGGTTAACAAATAACCCAAACAAAAGGAAACTTCAGAAAAACAATCATAACAACCTAATTTTATTTGTTTCCCTATAATAACAAACAATATTTAAAACATTTTCTCTTAGATTTCACATTAAAAATCAAAACTGAAAAATCCATGTAACAACTAACAAGGGAACATTGAGCCAAAATAGATCCCATTCAAAATCAACCCGTCCTCAAACAGGCTCCTGTTAAAAGTGAAAATTTAAAATTTCATCTTGACCTAATCAAACGGTTAATAGATAAGATCCGTGATTTTTCTTTTGGCTCAATGAATTTTTGGCCTCCCGCCTGGGAGGAGGAAATAATCCGGTGGCAGTTTAATTATAGAATTATCAGTTATAACCGGTGTGTGAACTATGAGACCCTTTGGCGTCTCCCTGTTTATTTATAAATCCAAATAAATTATATTTAAACCGTGTCGTTATTAAATTTGTTTAAAAACAATAAAAAAAACATGTATAGTAAGTATTTTCTATAATAAAATCTGTTTTTACAAAATTTCTCAAAATTGCTATATTTATGGATTTTCACAAAACCGATGATACGAACGATATTAAATTCGCTAACTAAGTTGCCAAGCGATGTGAGAAGGTGGAAGTCATTGGAAACGTATAGCCTGGATGCTGTTGAGCCGGAAAAGGGTCCCCAAGTAAAGAGGCCATTAGGGTTATTGATGGCAGAAACGGTAGCAGGGGGTAATATCGTTTTGCACAGATTACCTGCAAGTATACATTCCCCCCTTTGGTTATCTTTCCCTGAACTGTGTCGCAATAAAATCAGAAGGGGTTACTGAACGGACTATGCCGATGGCGATTTCCAAAATTCCCTCGGCCATAAAAGCTTAACCGGGCCTATCTGCGTATTTATTGCCGGATCGTTTAGCCTCCGACGATCGTGTCTTTTAGTAACAAATTTGATTTGATTATTCCCATCTTGACTAAGTCGTGATATGTCTTGAATTCTGCAAGGGGTGATGAACCTTTAGTTAAATCGTTTAAGATCGTTATGATCTGCCTATTCTTGCAGACATACTGAAAATAGACACGGATGGAAAAAACCGCTCAGGCCAACCAGCGAACAGACTTTGGTCGCCAGATTAAATTGGCAAAATAGTACATTAGATGATTGATCAGATTTCTTGTTGCGATTTACAAACAGGGCCTGTTTGGACCTACGCAAATGACATACACGACCGGAAACACCAGAGCAACACAAAATATGAATAAAAGCCGAAAACCTTTTGACAGACAGCAACAGAAAACGGCAAGGAAATACAGACGAAATTGATCAAAATAGACCAAACTACATCTTTATAAATTTTATCATTTCCTTATTGGCTAAAAACCATGGTTCAAATCTCCATCTGATAATGTAAGAGTATCATTTTTAAATATAGCTATAATATAAAAAAATATAATATACATGCCATAAAAAAGAAGTCAACTGTAGGATCTATTTAACAAATTAGGCAAAGATTACTATAGACCGTGAACACAATCAGAAAATTGTAGAAATGAGTACAAATTAAGGAAAGTTGAATGTTGGAATAAATTGAAATGTTAATACTAAATTTTATCAGCTTCTATTAAATATATAAATACTTATTTAGAAATCGTGAGATGCGGTCTGGTGTGATGTAGGTTTCAGAAAAACATTTTCTTTATCGTGCCAACGTTTCGATCTTTATTGAGATCATTTTCAGGGCCTGGGATTTACAAACATTGTTTACATATTACAATTACATTTTGGATGTGGAAAAGTGAATTTATACAATGCAAAATATATTTTATATATTCAATCAAAGTATAAATATATAAATTCTCAATTAATTATACACAATTTTTTTCGAGATGAAAAATTTGTGTCACATGCGGGATTCGAACCCACGACTTTCGGCTCAATACGCCGCTGCTCTACCACTTGAGCTACCGTGACTTCGATCGCCCATGCCACAAACCTCTCATTTCGACTACCCGATAATCATACACAGTCCCGCTAATTTAGTATAATCGTTAATAAAAAGTGTTTCGATATGAAGCCGCGATTTGCTTATAATTAGAATAAAATCGGGTAGTCGAAATGAGAAGTTTGTGGCATGGTCGATCGAAGTTACGGTAGCTCAAGTGGTAGAGCAGCGGCGTATTGAGCCGAAAGTCGTGGGTTCGAATCCCGCCTGTGACACAAATTTTTCATTTCGAAAAACTTGTGTATAATTAATTGAGTATTTACAAATTGAAATGTTTTAAAATTTCGTTCTGTCTAATAACAAATATAGGGTAGAGATTACCTGGAGGCAATTTTTATATACAGGGTGTCAGTATACTGGCGTCACAAACCTGGTCAGTGAATTCACACCATAAATTTAAAAAAAAAATTGGTTTGATTCTCAACCCTTTCGCAGATATTCAATGTTTTATATTTTTTACAAGAAACTTCTCAAAAATGAGTAGGGATATTTGTAATTTATTCTTAGTATATTAAATTCATTTAAATTAAACGATATATTTTTGTTAGTTGGATAAAACAAAATAAAAAAATACAAATCAGATACAAACATACGTTAAACCTCATTTGTAATAACGGATTTACTTAAGAATAATAAGCATGAAAAATACTCATTTTGTAAATAAACACCTTTTCTCGTCTTTTCTCCATTTTAATCCAGTTTATTCCATTTATCCATGGAAAGACATCATCTTGAACCAGATTATTGTGAGAATAAGTCATCGAGAGCCCGGCAAGTGGATATCGCAGAGGCGGTTGGCGTTTCTCAGAGCGGTCTTTGGTTCGATTCCGAGAGACTGGAAGTGCCACTAGGAGAGCTGGTAGTGTTATGTTTTCTGATGAGTCGCGATTCCGTCTGTATAGTGGCAGCAGGCGCTGAAAAGTCTAAGAACAGGGCATACATACAATCTTCGTGTTCCCTTCAGCGCAGTTTGGAGGAGGCGATGTAATGGTCTGTGCTGGGATTTACAATAGAGGTCGGTCTGGACTCCATATTGTTGAAGGCAACCTCACAGCAGTCCGATATGTCCAAGAAATTATCGAAGAATACATCACTCAAACTATGGATCTTATTGGCAGGGATTTTCGGATGACCTCATAGAGGCTGAGTTGCTCATCAATGGAAAACCTGGGAATTTCTCATCTGCCCCCTTCTTCATTGTCTCTAGACCTCAATTCGTCGGGATGCGTTGCAGATAAAGGCTTTTCGATCAGCCGGTTGGGCTGCAACAACTAAGTGCAACTTTGCAACATCTATGGCGTAAAATTCCTTATGAAATTAGTCACAACATTATTAACGTATGCTTAACAGATGTCCAGAGGTTTTTAAATGAAATTATACAGGGTATTAATTGCTTTAAAAAATTATTGTGCCCAATACAAACTTATGGAATTAAAACCATTTATTTTGTTATTTTTCAAAATCCCTTAATTAAATTTTTCTTTAGTAAAAACGTAATAATTTCTAGTAAATTTTAAATCAATTTTAAATAAAAATGAAAATGCTATGGAAAGTAAATACTACAAAATTGGCAATATCCCTCAATTCATTTTGAAGCAGTTTATTATGAAATTTAATCATAAACCTTTAATCCTCTTATCCTCGCCAGTTCGGTAATATTCAATCAGTTGTTCCATACAAATTAATAAACCACTTTATAACACGGGCCGACAACAGGGAAATATTGTCAACTGACGTTCATGATTTGGATTAGACGAGTTGACGGGTATTTATTGAAATTGATCACCTCTGATCCGCCGAACCTTGCTGTCAGATGTCAAAGGATTTACGCTGAAGGCTCGGCTGACGGGAAAAACCGACAAGGATCGATTTTGACATAATTTCATATTCAAAATAACGACAACTTACGATTTTTGCATAAAAATCAAAAGAAAAAAAACTACTTAGTTTATACATTGAAAACTGGACGGACTATGCTGTCTTACGACGACCAGAGGGCCGTTTAGAATATGACAACTGCCAACACAAATGAAGAATAAAAGACCCGGTCTTCATGTGTTACAGCGAAAAAAGAATTTGAAGAACCATTGTCAAGACTTTCAAAATTATGCCAATTAATTGTAAACAATGGTTGTAATGGATGGCAAATGAGCTCTTCATGAAGAGAAGCGAGGTTAAGCGGACCGTAGAAGAACCATAACCTAACCTAATCTAACCCACGCGCCCTCTTCTGCAACACGAAAACGGTCAAACACAAAAAAGTGATGTGTAACTAGTCCACAATGTTAAAATGAAAATTTTTACACCAAACAATTGAATCGCATAAAATTATTTTAAAATATAAAAATGATCGTTTTGTATCACTTAATATTTAGTTCATTTGTTGCTTGATTCTTCCGGTTTTTCGCCATCGTCAGTAGTAAAGACTACTTATTAATACTTAATTTATTTATTGATAATTACTTTGTTATAGCTAATTAAGGCATACAGAGGAGCTTGGTTTAATACAACATAAAATGTAAGTAAAGCAAACATAAAATAAGACATACAAATAAGAATAACATTACATTGACATTATATTAAATCTTTCAATTAACTAATCTTTTTATGCACAAAGTAAAAAAAAATCTTTTT